GGTCGCCTCAGCCTGTCAAGAGAATCGTCCACTCGAGGCAACGGGTACACGTTTTTCTTTGTGACGTTATTCAGCTTCCTATAATCAACATAAAAGCAAAGTGTACCATCTTTCTTTTTTACAAGGACCACTGGCGTTGTCCAAGGGCTGCTTGATGGCTGTATTACACCGTTTTGAATCATTTCCTTCACTTGCTTTTGAATCACGCGTCGTTCGGTTGATGAAACGCGTTAAGGCTGTTGCCATATAGGGTGCCTGTCGCCGTAGGTGATAATACGGTGTTCGGTAATCGATGTTTGACGGATTCTCGATGAACGTGTAAAACAGGCGTGGAATTCTATCAACAGGTCGTTAAGCCTTCGTTTGTTTTCGTCAGAAAGCGTTGGATTTATATCGACGCCCTGGAGAGGTGCTTCGTCATTATCGGTTGCCTCGGAAGCAAAACACTCAGTCACATTGGTTACTGGGTAGGCATAGGCGATGACAGTACCAGGGAAAAGGTGTTGGCGCTCGTAGCTGAAGTTTGTAACAAGTACCTCGCAGTGGCCAGCCTGTAGGTCTACTAGGCTTCGTGCTACGCAGACACCTTGGGAAAAGCGTAGGGATCGATTGCTTTCCGCCACCATTTCACCGTGTGCTGATTTGTTACACGCCACTTGAACCATAACACTTGAGCGCGGTGGTATCGTCACAGCATCGTCAATTACCCGCAGACATACTCGATCGTGGCTGGGATTATGCTTTGTTGTGGCGCGCTTTTTGTTGAGAACGTGACGAGGCGTTGTCGAATGTCGATGATAGCACCGTGCTCCCTCAGGAAGCCCATGCCAATGATCAGGTCTCGAGAACACTGACGGAGAACGCTCAAGCTGACTACGAAGGTAGAACCACGAATATATATTCGTACTGTGCAAACGCCGAGTGGCATGACGATGTGCCTGCCAGCAGTAAGAATTGGCCTGAGCGTGACTACTGCAAGGATGACAAAGTTCCGCGCTGTTGAGCCACATACTCTTCAATTTCAGGGGGCCACTGACCGAACCTGGGTGGTGGTGAGTTCGTCGAAAATCTGCGTAGTCCAAGTTGTCGGTAAGGACACTGTCATACAGGTGCCCAGCTTCACCACAATGGAAGCAGAGAGGAGGGCGATCTGGCGCACGCCAGACATATGATTTCCGCGAGATCAGGCGAGGTGCGCTGTAATATGGCGCCGCTTGGACCGTCTGCAGCATGGCTGGGGCCACGGTGGGATGCGGAATTGCCGGTGTAACAGGTTGCCGCACAGCTTGAGCATACGACATGCGGGAGAAGTCATGCTGGACTTCATCTCGGACAACGAGGAAATAGTGGGCTTCGAGGGCACTGACAGCTTCTGGAGTTCTTCGCGGATGACTGAACGTATGAGCTCTCGGAAGAAATCCATTTGGCCACCGAAAGCTCCTAAGTAGTCCGTAGGTGAAGCGTTGACGTGCCGTTCCTATGACGGGGCCTGGTGCCTAAGAGTGCTTTTGATGGTGACGGCTTCCGTGAGAAATTCTGACACAGTCTTGGGTGGACTGCGCACAAGCCCACTGAAAAACTGCTCTTTCACCCCGCGCATGAGGTACCGTACCTTCTTTTCTTCGGGCATGGTGGGGTCAGCTCGGTGAAAAAGGCGCGTCATTTGCTCGACATACATCGCAACCCTTTCGTTCAGCAGTTGTATGCGGGACTGCAGATCGCGCTCAGCTCTCTCCCGACGGTCAGGGCTGGCATATGTCCCAAGAAGTCGGCGTTTGAAGTCTTCCCATGATGTAAGAATACCTGTCCGGTTCTCATGCCAGATACGTGCGCTGTCCAAAAGACTGAAATAGACGTGCCACAGTTTGTCTGCGTCGTTCCACTGGTTGTGCGCGGCAACGAACTCGTAATGAACAAGCCAATCTTTCACATCCTCAAGTGCTGTGCCATGAAAGGGATTTGGCGTTCGCGATGTGTGTAAGGTGCAATGAAGTGGTGTTGTGCCGTTCGTACCGGTTGGGTTGGCGTCGGTAGGGCTGGTCGGAGCTGCCATGTTGTTTGCGAGCAGTCTAAAGTCAGGGAATTGCCCTCGGATTCTTCTGCTAGCGCGATGCACAGGAATGACCACCGGTACGACACTTATGTTTCTGCTATGTGGAGGGGCACGGTGCATAGATTACCCAGCATGTTCACCAGTTTTTCACGCACCAAGAGCCGTAGAGACAAGACAGGAACAGCGGGGCAGAAAGACACGAGCGTGTATTTTCAATTGAAGTGCTAACCACACTTTTTCTTCGTTCTCTTTGCCCTTTTTTGGCTTGCTAGGGCTTGCCGGCTCACAACTCTAGGTGGCAATGTAAAAATCTATTGTAGGGTTTTATATATGAATTTGTATACTATTTGTATACGTACGCAGCAAATTATTGCTGCATTCAGTAATTAAGGTCGTGTGTGTATATACATGAGCAAAAAGAATTCACCTTGATACTTTGGCCTGAAACCAATCTCTATAATGACCGAGTCTAATATGGGGGTATACTTCTGCTACAGTGATGCATACATTGCTAAAACATGGGATATTGACCAAAAGAAAAAAGCTGACTTATAAAACGGGCCATTTCATCGCCCTATGAGGGAAGTAATACATAGCTTGCAAGAAGAGCTCTGTGTTTTCAGTTTTTTTTTAAAGTTCATAGGGTGTTTCTTGAAGTTTATTTATGAAAGTTCAGCCTTTATTGGAGTTTAATTTTGAATTATTTTCAATACCCCAGTATCTTAGACGAAATGATATCTGAACACGAAAAATTATTGGAGGACGCCTGAGCTTCACCTATCAAGAGTAGATTGCGAAGCATAATTTGGTCTCGTGCTCATTGCCTTTTCAACTACTAGCCTGCTCCAGTTCTTGGTGCACACAGAAAACTAATGACTGTGCTCGTAGCACTGGCCATTTCATAGTATTACTGAATGCCTATTGCAAGCTTGGTTTTTAAGTGCCCCCTGCACCTTCAGCGAATATCCCACTACATGTCTGTAGAGCAACAGGCGAACCTGCACACGTGTTCACTTTGTTGATGCCTCTGCTGCCCAAGTGCTCTATAATGCGTGAACTTTTAAAACAGGCACCCATCGTTCAATTTGTATCACTTCATGTCTGGGGCGATGCTATGCTTCTGCCATGCAATATATGATGCGTTACGAAGACTCATTCCGCTACACATATGTATTATATTTTCCAAAGCAGTTGCAGCAAATATTGTTTAGAACACCTGCTTGCCACGTAAACGGCCAGGTTTCGATCCTCACATGGGCCTAAAAGTTTTTATTTGTTTTATTTGCATGTTGCTCAATTTTTCGGTCACAGTCAAGATGATTCGCGCCAACACATTTTTCAGATAAAACTGTGTCTCCCTCTTATCGTGACAAAGGGAAGCCGAATGCGCTGAAATGCGCATGTGTCAAAGCAACGCGGTGCGTGCCTGCAAGTATATGGCAGGAAGGCGCCAGGCGTGGCAACGGCAGGGCAACGCGACAAAACGAACGCTGCCGAGCACGCGCACCGCGTCATGCCTTTACTATAGCATGTAGTTATGTTCTCACATGACTCGCATCTCATGATTACCATGTTTGCACCAGTCACATACCTTCGTCATCCATTGGCGTCACTTAATACCAAATATGTGAAGCTAGTGAAACGGCCGCGAGGGCATCATCAGTGTGGAATGTAGTCTTGTTGTTACACAAGACGCATGTCGTGATTATCATGTTTGGACGTGTCATTTACCTATGTTGTTCGTTCGCGTAATACCGAGTTTGGTACATGTGATGCTAGTGAAATGGCTGCGAGTGTATCATGAGCATAGCATGTAGTCATGTTGTTACATGACACGCATCTCACGTTTATTATATTTGCACCAGTCACATACCTTCGTCATCCATTCACGTACTGTAATACCAAATTTGGTATATGTAATGCTAGCGAAATGGCCGCGAGCGCATCACGAGCGTGGCATGTAGTCATGTTGTTACATGGCATGCATGTCATAATTTTCATGTTAGGGTCTGTCGCTTGTGTTTGCCATGCAATCATGCTATACCATACCAGTTTTGCAACATGGCATGTCAACGAAACCACCGCAAGAGCTGCAGGACCTTGAAATGTAAACAATGACATTCATGACATACATGTCATAGTTTTCATACTATGACTAGTCAAATGTGTTCCTCATACAGTCATGTTATGCCATACCAAGTTCAGTATTGATAGCATTATCGAAACGACCAGGAGAGCTAGAAGCCCTAGATAGATAGATAGATACACTTAAGTCGCCGAAGTTCGCCAAGAAATGCTTCCCATTTAATATATGCACACCTACTTTGGCATGATCCGGTTACATGCGCTCCACAGATACACCGACGTCTCTTGTTCTGTGTGCGATAAGTTAAATGTGCGATGGGTGTGGTCTTCGAGATACTGTAGACACGAGGTAAACTTTATATCGGCTAAAGTGGCCAATGTCTCAATGTGCCTACAAAGATTACCCCTTTGATAAAGAATGCAACAAGGTCGTATTGACTGTTAAAAACGGGAGTTTATCGAATAAATCCAAATTGTAAATAACTTTACCGCCGAGCCCTAGTTACACTTGCACCCGCGCTTATATGTTGTGATACAATAGATTGGGAGCACCAGCTGCATTGAATGCAATGAAAGAAAAAGAGGCTGTCATGCAGTGTATAAGACTAAATTGTAAAAAATTTCACAATTATGAATTTACTATTTTTCTTCTTAATTAACCCTATTTCATGGCCATTTGAGGTAGGCTAATATTTTCTCCGTTGCATTTCATGAACACGTACAGTGCTGTAAAAGAAAGTCTGTACAAATACTACATTTTGACAATTGAGCATTCGGACAACCGTGAAATGCATTCAAACTAGTCCAAGGTACCACTACGTGGTACCTTGGACTGGTACTAACGGGAATCAAAAACGGTGAGAAAGATGTTGAAACGAAATGTTAAAGCGCAATTTTATTAATTCTTTCGGTGCTTGCAGGGCTTAGTTGAGGTCTTCCATGTGAACTGTTTGATGCTCGTCCCAGTCTTCCGCTGCAAAAGGATGGTAGGCAAAGTGAAAAAAAAATTCACTCTGTTGTCGCAACCTGCACATTTGCTGAATGTCATAGCAACATGCAGAACGTGGTGGCAGCTTTGAACGTAGCATGCCTCTGTTATTTCTGCAATTCAGTACAAGATGTAAATGTCCGCAATGACCAGCGCAAAAACACGGCAACGCACACGAAGTGCTTAAGGCCTTTTGTCTCGCTACCAGCTCGGACAACTCACTTATCTTAAGTGAGCTGTGGTGCTGGTCTTTGCTTTCGTAACCAAACTATGGACAGCGACTCTGTGCTGCTTCCCATACAAATTTTAAGTGCAGTACGCTCCTGTGTCTACAAAGTCTTGAGCTTCGTAACAGGTCCTAGTTTAGGCTCTTTAAAATAGTGTTCCACAAAGACAGAGTGTTAAACAATGCCAACACAATCATTTTCCGCTGTGCAAAAACCATGCATATTGCCTCAAATTTTCCATTTGAGGTTTGCATATGCAGCAGAGGAATAGTTCATAAAATAATGCATGCCTTCCAAATAGCATGAAGTGCCTAAACGATGCAGCCCAGCAGAGCCGATTACCAAGAAAAGTGCTAGATTTATAGACGACAGACTCTAGAGTTTTGCGGACACACAGTGCCACCTGTCGACGCAGTTTTGAGTAGTGCAAAGCCAGACTCCCTTGCACAGTTTGCTGTGCAACCAAATGAAATTACAGCGCACGAAACAGTGATTGAGTGAAACAATAAATGCATTTGCACATTGAACACTCGGAAAAAGAGCTACAAGTTTCTCTCCGCTAGTCGGACGCGTCACCGAACCACTGTGAAAACTTGCTGGTTCACTTGCCTGAACGACTGCGAAAGCAAGAGCAGGTAGCTCCGCGCTCTACGAAAGAAAGACCCCATTCTGGGCTACTGTTGCATTTTGAATAGCCTCGGACGTAAATGACTTGTTTTACTGATTTCTGCAGCTATTGCAAAGCATAATGGCGAGAGCGCTAAATACAGGCCGTTGCGAACATGTTGGGCAAGTGAATTACTCTCGTTCTCCACAGCAGTTCGCTTAAGTAGGTGTGATAATGTAGGTCTCCTGTTATTGTTTAGTAGCCTTGACGGAAAACCGTGGTAACTTTTATTATTAAGCTTAACAGAACCCCCCTGACGGCGGTGCGTGACATACAAGAGTAGACAGGTGACGCCTGTCTGCTTGGGCGTGGCATACATCGCGACCACCGATAACCTGAAGTTGTCGCCACCACACAGCATTACGCCCGTCGGGCTTTGGAGGTTCCAAGTCGCGGCGTTTACTAGGAAATGCGAACAAGTGTGTCATAAAGGTAAAACACAAAATCATCGCGACCACAAAGGTTCTTTTTTTTTTTTTGCCGTTGGTCTCCGCGATTACCGGACAGCGCTATCTCGGCGGCATCGGTTTTGCCTTTCGTTGTACAGTGAGAAAGTGGACACGCATATATCCTCCTTTGCAGTATATACAAGCGGAAGACAACCGTCACCAGAGCATTTGAGCATGTGTTATAAATCAGTTCAACGCACAGGAAGCGAGAAATCGATGGAGAATGCAACTGCAAAGCGTAAATCACCAGGGCCATTTGTGCCGGATAAAGCAAGCTTCGTACCACTGATTGCATAGATGGTTCGTGTATGCACAGAACCCACGTCGGAGTGCTTGCCTCGGAATGCGTGTCATGCGATGCTCGCTTGCAGTTAAATTACCAGTTGCAGCACACCGAAATAGATGCACCATCTTTTGCATTGTGCCCGCATTTCGTTTTGATGAGCTTCCTACTTTTATGAAGCGAGATTGGATTGAAGATTGAAGGAAGAAGTTTGCCAGGTCCTTGATTTTCAGGAAACCACGCAAGACCAACGAAAGAGCAGGGTCTATGCACGTTCGCTTGCGGACGGCTCTCTGTGCACTACCCAATTATGGCCGGCGCGGCGATGGGGGCGCTGATGGCAGTGTTTTTCGCAGCGCCGCCTGGGGTCTGACGTTTATGAGTCACGATTGCGATTGCACAACTGTACACACCGACGATGCCTATGTAATTGTTGGTACAGCATAGACTAGCATCATCTAACAAAGAGACCAGCTAAAGATCGACTGGCACACAGGTGTAACGTCCAATATTGAAACGATGCCCCGGTGTGATCTTGCAGAACATGACGAATGTTTGTGAAATGCTGATTGTGACCCTTTGTACAAATCTGTGCACGTCAGCGTACGTTGTGGGCCCCACATGAGTGAATATGGAAACTGTTTCACTCTGGGTTTTATGCCAACAGTTCAAAGAACCTTGCCACATAAACTGACCGGCAGGGTGTCTGAACACTTACTTTGACACTCCCTGGAGCAGTAATACACCGGGTCCATCTTCTGCTGGACACACCTGTTGGTAGATGGATGGCACCTTGTAGTTACGTGAATGTACGACTTACAATGCCTATGCAGTTACAGGGACAGCATTGACTAGCCTTGCCTCTCAGGATACCTTCTAGAAATTGACGGGATAAGGAGCATGTACTAAATTGTAGAAGTGACCTCTTTAAGGAGTCCTGGCACAAAATTTCGTGGCTAAGATAGCCTCTGAAATCCATTTTTGTGAACCTGCACATATATGAACTATCAAAGATCGAAAGCGAATATAACTGGAGAAATATTTTATCCAAATTTCAGCATCTACAATGGAGTGCCGTGCACTGCACCTCACGACACTTAACAGGTAGGGTGTATAAAATTTAAATTATCTAGAGAGCATTTTTTAAATTTTCAAGTGGCATCGTTTTCCTGAGGAGAACCTGTGGATGAAGCTTGTGCAACTCTAATTTGCATTTCAGTGCTCATAACTAAACATACACATTTTGAACAGACACTTGAAAAGCAGCACAGAAAAACTACAAAGGCAGAACACTGCACTTTCACAAACTCAAGAGGTGGCAAACACTTACAGTGCACACTTTTTGAGCTTGACGTCTTCGCTTTTGCCGCACTTGGCACACTTCCGCTGTGCAGTTTTTAGTGCGGCAGGGGCAGCCTTGGCTGACGATTTCTTGTCTGCAACCTGGACTTTCTTCGCTGGTGCTGGCATCTGTTCTGGCTTAGACTTGGCTTTTGACGATGATGCCTTTTGCGGAGGCTTCGGTGTTTCCTGAGGCTTTTCAGGTTGCTGGGCAGTGGACGTGGCTTCGCCACTCCCTTCTATCTTCAACATGAGTCCTTCTAGGGCGGTGGTGAGCTTGCTGGCTTTGTCCTCTTCGTCGAGGTTGATCACCTCGGCTCGAGACCTTGGTGGCAGAGGATCCGCGCCATTCTTCATCAAGGTGGGTTGCGGTCGCTTCCCTGTCGACGTGACATTGGTGGAGAGGGTGACGGAGAGTTTCTTTTTGGACTTCTTTTTCTTCCGTGGAACGGAAGCATCTGACGTGCTGCCGTCGGCTTGCGCTTCACAGGTGCAAGCTTCACCGATTTGAGCTTTCAGGACTTCGTCCAGCATTCTCTCCCTGAACATCTTCTCTGCAGCCTGCAGTATGACTATGACCTGCGAGAAAAACAGAGAGAAATGTTACAAATTTCATTGCATGTTGCAATAAAAACCTGCAATGCTCCTTGCTGTACACAAATGCAACACCCTACACCTGAAGCTTTCACAGGGGACACTGATGCAAGAGACAATTGAGAGACACAGGTGCGTTTAGATCAAAATAAGGCTTGAAAATAAGACTTGAAGCAATAGACTTCATACCCTATATAGTTGAACTCCTTTATAAGAGACACACTGGGCAGCAGTTCCTGTTCATTGCATGTGGTGTCTTCTATATGCAGGGTACCATGCACATGCACGCACACACACACACATATTGAAAGCCCAAAGAAAAATAGGCGAGAAAAACATTTTTCAACGTGCAGCATCAAGCAGGCGACATCCCGCTCCTCAGCACACTGCATTAAATGCCGAGTCACAAAAGCGCACATCCTTCACCATAGTGAAGGCAAGCTATTTACATACATCATTTACCATAGTCGGTATGCCGATCTCAAGCGAAACATCAGTGCGCAGTCACCATTGCCAGCGAGATGGCGCAAAAGCCGCGCTTGGAGCCCCAATCCTGTAAACGCATACTCTGCCCTACAGTGCGTGGTTGCCTATGCGTGCGCATGCTTATATCGGGGTGGGGTAGCATTGTACATCTTGGGCTTTGACTGGAATGATGGTGTAGTTACAGGGTGCACTAAGCTCTCACTTTTTTTTCTCGGCAGAGCCCCCGTTCGTGAAAAGAGCACCCTTTTCAATCACAGCAAAGTAACAACTGTGACACTAGTTTGGGCTCATCCTGTGTATACCTGTGCGTATACGTTTTGCACAATCCTTTGTGTTAGAGCAGCGCATTAAGTGTTCAGCTATGAACGTCGTTAGCTTGTGCTTGTCCTCTGTGTGCATTTTGTGCGTTCCTTCTTCTTAAGCAGCGCACTGAACGTTTCAATCTAGTTGCCATTCTTTGCATAACATTTTGAATTATTGCCATCACATTCACTGCTTTAATGTTGCAGCTGCAGTGACAATTTTTAGATATTTCTTGATTAGTTGTTTGTGAAGATTGCAGTTTCTGTATATTTGTGGCTTGGTATCAAATATGCAGGTACGTTTTTAGTCCAGTACATACTTGTTAAAATATAAAATAATTTCCGCACCCTTTGGGAAGCAAACTTTTTTTTCTAAACTCTAGAGTTTATAGAAGTAAATCAACACATCAAAGTAATCCGTAGTCAGAACTGTATGTCAGAAAACAAGAATGAACAAAAGTTTCGGCGTGTCAAACGTTTTTTCGCGAAACACCTGCTTCACTTGCTTCGACTTGAGAGCACTAGATCACAGTCTTGGAATTTAGGTGGTCGGCTTATATTCGAGCTAATATGGCAGGTTGCAGAATGAACTAGAGATCTCTACTGTGTGCATTTCCGTCAATTACAACAAAGTGCACTCGTGATACAGTAGTGGTGAACGCAGTCGTCATCTTATCAACAGTGAACCAAGTCACGCCTTTCTACCTGCACCATCACCAAGGGGTGTGCGAATATGGGAGTTTCGAATTCAAATAGACTTTTGAATTGCTAGTATCTGAATTTTCGAATAGTTAGACTAGACGAATATCTTAAGTGTGACAAAAGCCACTGTCACAACTTGGTTGGGGTGGGGAGGATAAATCACTAGCACTACCGTCGCTACAGAAGGCCTCCCGCTAACCTTTCACTGACATACCAGTTGAAATGCGAGCAAATATTTATTTTAAACGAGATCACGTCGTTTTTGCACGTCATGGCTCCAGTGCAAAAGTCCAGAGAGCAGTCTGGGAGACTGTCGAACTGCAGGCATAAGAAAATGACGAGCACAGAGCTCAGACCTTACAGGCGAGAGGTTCAAAAATGTTTGAATGAGCTCCTGAACCACCCCAGATGAAGAATGATCTTTTGAAACAATGGAAAGCGCATAGAGCTACACATAATCCATATATCGCGGAAGCTGCTTTGCGGTATCTGCCAATCCACACTACTTAGGTGCCCAGTGAGCGCGTGTTTTCAACTGCAGGAAACATAGCAACATCAGGGTGAGAAAGTCTGAAGCGACGTCGCGTGGAACAGCACGTGTTTCTGCATCAAATTCATTGCCACGACAATCCATCGCCTTTCGGCGGCAGTACCTAGCTGCATTATAGGCTCGAGGACATGAGCCGATAGCATTTCTTTGTTGTTCTTTTTCAATTAAAAAAAGAAAAAAATCCTTGGTATTCGACTTGACATTCAACATTTCTGGCTATTTATTTTCTAATATTCGATTTGAATTAAATTCGAGATGAAATCTCACTATTCGCACACTCCTACCATCAACCACTACAATGAAAAAATTCGCAAACAAGGGCTGGTATGCTCAAGCGGACGTTTTGACAAGTACCCTTGTCGAAACGTCGCCTCAAGCACACACCCCAACTCCTGTTTATCCATTTTTTCATAACAACATTTCATCTTCTTTTTCCTGTCTTTTTTTTTTTTGATCAACCACTACAGTGTGCGAGTTCTATAACGTGCCACTCCACTCACTTTGCACACGCAGTTCAGCTTGGCTGTACAGTTATGGAAGGTTTTGACATTCTGACACAGGAATACCTGTGTAATTGTTACCTGTCATCGCTTGTGTAGCAAGCGATGACAGGTGTAACGGTTCTAGCCGGTGAAATGCTGCCATCGTGAAAAACAAAAGATACACACACACTGATGTGAGTGGGGAAAAAAAAAGTTCGTTACACACCTCACGCCGGTTCCAGAACATGCAGTTCTTGTCCCCAACATCGTCCAAGTCCGAGTCGTCCGGCTCGGCTGCAACAACAAACGGAAGCGTGGTTCAGGGAGCTCTCAGGTTGTCATAGTAATCAAAACGAATGTCACGCAACAGTACTATCATCTCCCCTGTCAACTTACAATTGATTCGCTATAAACTCATATAGCATTTTACCACAGTTGTGTCCACTTGTAACGATACCATTTATACAACAATGTATCGGATATAACGACGAACATCGATAAAACCGCTCACTTTTGTATGCCTTCTATGGTAAAATAAACCGCTTATTACAATGCTGGGACATCGGATGTAGCAACTGAATTTGGCCACAGTATGCGTCGAAAATGGCACTTCACGCCGACTGCGCCTTGCTGTGGACATCGGCGAGAGTGACTACCGCGATGACGTGGTTGAACAGCCTACCCAAGTGCTGTCATTGTAGGAGTCCTAATGGATTATGAAGTTCCTCTAGGACTTCGTTTCCATGAAAAACCTGCCACTCAGCTAATAGAGCACCTAGATGTTCTCTTGAGAAAGATGCACGCCAGCTTCGCGTGAAGCAGACAAAGCTGACAGACTATGGCTTTTCTTCAGACAAGTAATACATAGTGCGCTACCATGCTTGCATGTAAATAAGGCGTTTTGATCTCTCTGTTGCCTTGTTTTCTCAAGCCGCTAATAATGATCAGTTAGAACGATGGGATTTCCTAGCCAGTGCTTGGATATGGTTATAAGTGAACGGAACAGAATCGCAATTTACCCTCCACTCCTGTAACAACTCTACAATAAGGGCTGATAGTATTACTGAAAAAAAGAAAAAAATACTAAATGAATTTCGGATTTAATAAGGCAAATGCATTCTGCATGCACATAGGCAGAGCAGTGCCGCACCGGTGCTTCTGAATCTAAGCTTCTGCAAGCTTAGATTCATAAGTCTGCCTAGTCGTTTTCTGTTCCCAACAGATGGCAATGCTGGCAGTTTCAGTGTTTTGGTTTGCACGTGCAAAGAAACATTTGTTTGGTCTTGTCACATTCCAGTACGCGAGTGACGCAGTTTCTGCTCCCTGTTTGCTTGACGCCACACAATGTTGGTTGCACCACACAGCAACATACATGGGGGACCCTTCAGCATCTGATTTTCAGAGATTAGAATGAAGGGTTGTCGACCATATTTTCTTTTGAGCATGCTCTTAAAGTTAAAAACTAAACAAAAATTCAACTGTCTTCATGTCTGTGCACAAAGGTAGTTGACAGTAGACCAAATTTAAACGTTTTGAAGACGCACAGTTTGCAAAACATGGGCCAAAAAAATATGCTGTACATACACCGAAAAAAGTCACTCACAATCATCCGAGAACGTGCCGTGAGCCCTACAGGTGCTGCACTGTCGAGAAATGTGGAATGAACAGTTCTCCATGATGTGATCGCTCACGGCAAACATTATGCTGCTCCAGTTCTTGATGCCATGCTCATCATCGCTGCAGGAGCTGTACTCACTGCAGTCATCACTCCTGCATTGAGAGGAAGACACAGACACAAAAAAATTAGAGCATCTTTGCACTAGCGCTGCCAAGCCTGACGAAACGGTGGTGCTGGGCAGCCTTTCCTTAGAAAATGTAGGCTTGGCTTGTAGAGGCAAGCAAGCGCCACCACCTGTTCTCGTTCACCTATTGCCCGTGGCGCATGCCCAAGAATTGAGTGGTTTTGTAAGAACAATGTGCAGCTTTAGAATAATGGAGGTTATATACTTTAATAAAAGATTACAGATGACCTACGAAATTGTGGTGCTTAATTTAATGCATATGATTATTTAAATAAAGGAAAGAATTTATTCTTAAATTACAGCAACACTCTGATTTTCTATGCGTATATATGTCACCACCTGACGAATGCAGATTGACTTCATGATCATCTTCTTTCATCTTTCTATCTTTCTATACCCACTTTCTGATTCCACTCCCCCTTTATCCCTTACAACCCAACTCCTCATCTTCACTCCACTTTCCCACTCCTTGCTATACTAATTTACGCTATGCAATGGTACGGGCTGCTATACTATACTATGTATGACCATGCAATATGAGCTGTTATTACTATACTACGTATGACTGCACAATGATATGAGTAGCTATGCATGACTGGGCAATGGTATGAGCTGTTATACTATACTACTCATGACTACACAATATGAGTTGCTATACTTTACTATGCAAGACTAGGGGACGATATGAGCTGCTTTGTACAAAACCCACTCTCTGTTGCACATGCCCGTTCCTTTGTCTCTCACCTTTTTTTTTCCTTTCTTGTCCCCCTTGTTGTCACTTCCCTCTACCATTTTGCACTACATGACACATGTACAGGGCTTTTTTTTCCCAATGCAATGTAATGCAATGCAATTTTTTAAAGCAATGTCAAGCACTGGTGTGGCTCTGTGGCAGAGCACCTGTCTGCCACGCAGATGGCCTGGCCTGCAATGCCGCTCCAACCCAAGGCACATTTTTGTTCTACCCACAACCTGATTCGATCTCCCGACCTGCCGCGTCGATTGAGTGAGTTACAGAGTAAATATAAGTACATCGGAGTTATCTGCAATGAGGACTGTATGCAAGAAAACAAAAATGGATGCTCTAAACCCATTTGAACAAATGTTATGGCATGTTGAGCATTTGTGACCGACAAAGCTTCACATGTCGACTCGCCCGTTAATTTTTAACAGACCATATGTTTTGTTCAAAGGGGTTCACAACATCCATTCTTGCACCGAGCACTCATTCGAGGCGATTGTTACAGACTTATTCACATTTTAACTCATTTAATTTAGGTAAGCTATTACACCAAAAAGAAGAAAAAGCGTATGAAATGTTTGCTATTTTAAAAACTACATACTATCATACTAAAATGAAAGAGAAAAATTTTTAGAGGCTTGTTTCTTTGTTGGTGCAACCTTAATGAAAACAAACGTTTGTCTTTTCATCCACAATATTTTCTTCACATTTATATCAAAATTGCTACAATAAAGTTGAAACAGCAAGGTTAATGTCCCCTATACCATGCTTCACATTGTCATCTGTTGTTCACTCATGTTATAATACAAAAATAGTTGCACATTTAAAATCTCTATGCAAACATACGTAAACTCGCCAAGTTTGACTTCAATCGATACAAAACAAAAAAATATTTCAATACCCGCGTCCTTCTTGAAATATGGACGAAAAACTCACATATATTCCTCGATATCCATGAGTTCGCTGGGCAGCAGTGCGACGACTTCCGCAAACTCTGCAGCACGGTCGGGCGCCTTGCGCATGACCTCCCCGACTTCATCGTAGTCTGGGTTCTGCCACCCGAAGCAGTATTCGTCGACATAGTTGAAAAACGGTTTTTGAGGGCAGAAGTCATCGGGGATGGACCAGTAGGGGTTGGAGGTAAAGTTCAGGTAGTAGTGCTTAAGGGTGCAGTCGGTGGCCTTTATCCACTGCTTCAGCACGGCAACAACGCCTGCCGCAAAACGGCTGTACAGCGGCGCAGTTGCGTACACCTGACGGAGGGGAGAAAGACGAGGCACTCGTTCTGGTTGCTCGGTTTTGCGAATTCCACTGACAGTTCTGCGTTCCTTTACAGAAACATCAAGGTTCACCTAATGCTTCTTAAATTGAACACACTCACACAAAGCACTGTTTAACATAATGAAGGAAATTCAACCAGTTTCACACTAAGAAAGCTGTAAGCATGCGAAAGCAAGTGATTGGCTAGCGCGATCACGTGGTCTCATCAAGTTAGGTTTGAAATACTGTACTGACTCGATCGTAACATGACCCCCGATTGACACGCGAGGGGTGACCTATTAATGCGTCCAGGAAAAAAGAAAAATTATTAAAAAATTGCACGCATCATTGCACTTTTATGACAACTCGAATTTTGATATATATATATATATGATTTCAATGTGACGGTTGTCTTCAAGTAACAGAAGTTAAAAAAAAACTATCGTTACATTAGAAGAAACGTGGCATACACGCTTACGCTCGATTGGGCAAAGCAAGGTCACATGATTTCAAGGACTGGCACTTCAGTGAACATCTTGCATCATGTGACTGGCCACAGACACAGCCAGAATCCGGCCAAGTGTACGCTCCATGTTATCTGCATGGTGCTCTTAGCTGCGCAGGTGCCTTGCATTGACCCACCACAATTATTGTAAGCCTGTAATCAATTAAAGTACAAATTGTCCTGCCTTATTATTCATAATGTGTCTCACTCCAATAATTGTAAGCTTTTCATTATTTGTCCTGCCTTATATATTTTATGTAAATAGGAAGTTTATGAATGGGGGCCCCCCAAAATAGCGCCGAGACCACTGCACATGCGCCAAAGCCGAACCACATTTGGGTTTCGTGTTGGGGACGCTATTTCTCAAATTTATTGGGCGCCCCAACGCCTTCCCCAAAAGCTTTGTGACAAACAAACGTGACGTCACCCACTGTAGTGAGCGCTGGCCTAGAATAAGGGGGACAATGTGCAAAGCACAGCAGACCCTATTCGAAGACTTTTAACTCTTGCTTGATCCAAAGCGGGCATACGAAAAGGGCTCGGCGGCCCCCAAGCTTTTGAGGACCCCATTAGAAAGCGCCCCATGTAAGAGCCCTGGAACTTGTTTTTAGCAATGCGCTTACTCACCCCTATGGAAACAGTAAAGGGCTAAAAATAGGTTGACATGAATAGGAAAATGGGAATTGTAGTGGCATATGAGTAATGTGTTTGTGTACTATGACAGACATGCATGAATTTGCATACAAAATGGTTGTTCAAGAGACGCACCTGTAACTTCATCCTGAGTACATTAGAAGGTTGGCCAAATACTGTTCTATAAGAATCTCTGCAAGAGAAAAAAAGCAAGCATTTATAAGCAATTCCACACAAACTGAAACCTTTTCTACATCCCACAGTTCCCGCAGAAGTAATGACACTTTATGAGGTGCAAGACGAAAAAAAAATAATGAAGTGAAAATCGATGAGCGAAATCACGGGTCTGGCAACTGTCATCGTGTTTTCTACTTGGCACGTGATACCGTGAACAGAAGCGCAACTTCTTAAACGCGATGCCCTCGCTTTTCCTGGAATTATTCGAGTTGTTGGCACGTAGTGGCACATCATGTTGAAGTCGCAGGCACGCTCCGAAGCAACATGTGTGCGCGAAGTGAGCTCCATGATGTAACAAACGCGAACCACCGTTGACTCTACTCCCTCTAACGGCACAATGCAAACAGCCTGTCAAGTGCCTTCAAATGCATTCCAATGCCCCTGGCGTGTGAATATAGCTGCTCCTGCGTAGCACCAAATGTGCTGATCTATGTTGGCATGTCCATGCTAATGCGCAGCAAGTCCAGCATTCAAAGCGATTACACGGCAACGCTCGTTGTCATGGCCAAATTATGTGGCTGTATTGTTGAGAGTCCAATGTTTGCTCGTATCACTACCGCTACCTCAATGTCGTTGGCTGAGCAGAAAAAATGCTGGCATATATTTGCGCGTCTAGGCACAAGCTTTATTAATGGGAACAGTATTGATTGATATGTGGGGTTTAACGTCCCAAAACCACTATATGATTATGAGAGACGCCGTAGTGGAGGGCTCCGGAAATTTAGACCACCTGGGGTTCTTTAACGTGCACCCAAATCTGAGCACACGGGCCTACAACATTTCCGCCTCCATCGGAAATGCAGCCGCCGCAGCCGGGATTTGAACCCGCGCCCTGCGGGTCAGCAGCCGAGTACCTTAGCCACTAGACCACCGCGGCGGGGTAATGGGAACAGTAGACGCAAAGAATGCTATAGATTAGTGGTGAAAAAGGCTCTAATGATTTTTAAATACTGCATTGCATAGATCTAAAAGTTTCTATCTAAAATTCCCCATACTCAATGGCTTCGACATATGGCAAAACTATGCTGTGATTTTTTTTAAAGTTCTCCCTTTAATGCGTGATGTCTAGATATGCAATGTTGAAAAATGATGTTTGCACATCATTTCTAAATGTTGTTTTATCGACCGGACACTAGAACATCCAAATAAATAAAAAAAACTGTGCCATGAGTGAAACTGTAATCGTTAAACATAAAACTTGACATACCTCGTAAATTTGTTGTAGAACGGGTCGTTTGCTGCAACAGAACATCATGCAAAAAGTTCACCACACCACTTCAGGACTCCCGACTACATGCTAGACTATTAAAAAACAAACAAAAAAAACAGTGCTTACACAGTGGTCGTGCTCCTATGCTGCCACTCATATTTTGATTTGCCGCAACGTGTATAATGGCCATTAGGAATTCCTTGGCTCTTCCAAAAGTTTCTGAAAAAAATGAAGGTAACTATTGATTGCATTGAACGGACACCGAAATAGTCTTTGAAGATTTTATTACACACCCACAAACACCGCCAGGAGAGGAAAAAAAGAAGCAAAGTTCACCTTGCGTAAAACTTGAGCAGATGTTTATGTAAGAATATTCTACTAACATCTCGAAAATTTGTCGAGGTGCACCGAGCCCTTCCTTGAAACGGAGAAGAAAAAAAAAAAAACACAATGAGATTGGTCACCCTTAGTGGCGGAAAGAGCGTGGTGTAAGGAGCTATGAACTTACCAGAGATTCACTTGTAAAGACGTGTTTTCTCACGTATTCTCTTAGACTTATAATCATCCGTACCCAATATATTCGAGTCTGAAAAAGAAATATGATAAACACACAAAATGTAAAATACAAATACAGTTAAATTTGCAATCATGTAGTAACAGAATGGGTGGCTTGTATATCTGCGTTCCTAGAAACGCGATACGCTTCTGAAATTTCGCTCGTAGTGAAGAACAACGTCATTCTTGAGTAGTGACTGATGTACTACCTTCGTGAAATGACACCCGAACAGCGGCAAGCCTTTGCAATAGTATATAATGCGTGCTTATAATTTTCCTTTCCATCGCTCGCTGCGTCGTCCTCAATTTGAGCTGAACCCTTTTTGTAAGCCTCTAGGTTTCACTAAGTACCGGCAAGATGCAGCTGTTATATACCTTCCTCTTGAGGCTTAGTGGCAGATTACCATTCATGATTTGAGAATGCTCGCCGTATGTGATCCACCCCATCCTTATTTTTCTGGTTATTTCACTCTCATGGTTTGGCTCCGCGGTTACTACCTGTCCTAAGTAGACATAATCTTTCGCAATTTCTAGTGTCTCTCCGCCTATCGCAAAGTGCTGTTTTCTGCCAAGACTGTAGCACATTACTTTAGTTTTGTGGACATTCATTTTCAGACCTACTTTTCTGCTTTCCATGTTCAGTTCTGTAATCGTGACTTGTAATACGTCCCGAGTTACCCATTTGACGCAGAGTACTTAATAAGCCGTGGGTTAAATCCAGCTCTACAATTGAGAAACTTCGGGAAGCGCGTAGCACTGGCAGCCAACGATTCCCGCTCGAAGAGTTACCACTGCTTCGTTAACCAGACCGCCAATGGCATCAGTGTTTGGCGTAAGCATGTGCGACTTCTTTGTCACGAGTACAATCACATTTGGGTAATTCACAAACTTGGAGTGAGATTTGCACCTTTTATGGAGTCCCCGCTTGTCACACCAGTTGAGACACATGTCATTCGAAGCGAGTTCCGTCAGGTAGTCTCCCCCCATTTGTAGCGACGAAAGCCCGGTGTAAGGAGCAATCGCTCGCTCAACGAGGCGGTGGCACCCTCTCTGGCATGGCTCGGGTGTCAGCCATATGTTTCCGAAGTGTTCAGAGCAATTAAGTTTATTATTGCAATTTTTGGTTATTTCTGTTAATTATACTACTTCAGACCTTGTTTACAGAAAATTAGTTTTGAGAATCGCCAGCCTTTAATGACCGCTTCATTTGTGTGTATCTTGTACATTACTACCATTATGTTGGGATAGCCAGCTCTAATGTAGCCTACCTTCCCATGTTTTTGGCAAATATAACTAAAAAAAATTTCAGCATGACTATATGCCACATGAGACACTGTATGGCTGACAAGTGCTACACACTTGTCTAGTGAAATGAGCACTAAGTCCGCCTCGGTGGATCCGTGGCTAGGGTGTTTGGCTGCAGACCAGCACGTCTAGGGTTCGATTCCAGCCGCTAAAATGACATTTCAATGGAGGCGAAATTGTAAGGGTTAGTGCACTGTGCAATGTCTGTGCAAGCGACCAGATGGTCGAAATTTCCAGTGCCCTCTGGTACGGGGTTTCTTATAACCATATGGTGGTTTTGGGACGTGAAACCTCACTTTTTTTATATGTAGCACCACTACAACGAAACCCGATTCAGTGTTTAGCACGGGCAACTCGGCGATTCCCTTGACAATCGCGCGCTTGCCGGGGCAGTGGTGCCCTCTATTAAGCGGCGCGGCCAAGACCGGATGTTTCGGAAGCGTATTTTACTACCTTGGGCCAATTACTGCAATTCTTTGGTTATTTCTGTAGTTCGTTGAATTTCAGACCTCATTAGTGTATTCTTCACTGGTTTTAGCGTTGCTGGCCCTGTTGGATAGACAAGCCGGGTCCGAATCACAAAAATGATAGGAGCTCGTGAGCAAAGGCGAAGGGAAAGCCACAGAGAGGACAACCAGCGGCAGCCACACCTGATCAAACATGAGTGACAAAACACGTGCGTACACGCAACGCAAGGGAGCACAAACAAAACACACCTGTTCGTGCCACATGCACTTGAAAGTGTCAATGTGCGAACGTAAAAACTCGCTGTCTTCGAGACACAATTCGCGGCTGAATATCCCATCAGCGGACGTGTCAAACGTTATCCACCGCATCTGCGAGATGAGAAAATTCAACAATCGGATGAACAAGACATCGCGGCACACAACTTAACAACGGAAGCATGGAGGTTTGGACGAACGTCGCGAGGAAAGCGCACTCACCGTAAATACCTAATAGCGTTTCCGGGCTCCCCCCTTTTTTCCCCCTGTCTTGCTTTGCAGCTAGCTTAGAACAACGAGAATAGCGCGGGAAGAAGTATGTCCCGCAAGCTCCCGCCGGGTGTCAACATACGGGATCCCGTTTAGCAAGAAGAGGTTGAATCCGCAACTAAACACAATTGCGTTACGTGACGGAGATAGCGCGCCAACTAATCAACGGTAGTTGTCAAGCTGACACTGAAAATCCGTTGGCTTATCAGGATAAACGTATCGAAGACTGGGTGTTCTGTGCAGCAGCCGTCTCGCACATCGCAAGTTGAATTTCGCTGCTGCTGCCACCTGGTACTAGTTTTTCTGCAAAATACAATACAATGAAACAACAAACATTTAACGTTTTTTTTTAAATTTTATATTTAAAATATATTGTATTATGTATTAGGTGATTATGTTTTGGTCAAATATCAGTTAGATAAAAGCAGCATAATGGTATTCTTAAAGTCTTTTATTGCCAATCTTGAAGGCTATGTACATTGCGTTTTGGCAAAATACGTCATGACCGCCATGGTTTTGAAGCCAGCGCTTCATCAGCGCCGCCGCTAAAGCGTCACTAGCGAGTCACATGACCCCTGTCAAGGGATTGTGAACATGGCGTCTGCTGGTTGCGTGGTATGCATCGTTGTGGCGAGCGTAGGCCCGTGTTCTCCAAGCGCGCCGGGGCTCCGACCTTATGGCGAATTCCATTGAGAGAACAGGAGTAAGGGTGCCGAGCAGAGAGGAGTAGGGGGCAGAGCACTGAGAGCCGCGTCACTCGACCTGCCACTGGAATGCGGCACACCTCCGCAGAGCAGGTGTGAGGGAATAAAAAGGCGAGTGAGGAGAAAGGTTGTGCATCCCAGCGTCCTCTGCTGCAAAACACGTGCGGTCTGATCCGGACGGGCAAGGAAAGCACGTGTGGCAGTGGTTGGTACAGCGCACTCGCTTGCGCGCTATCCTGCAAAGCTGCTGCTTCGTATACTACTACATGATGGACTCGGAAGCTCAGCGCATCCTACTGTCTTTAATTCAACACCAGGCACCATCTAGTACGGAAGGTAAAGTGAATTTGATTGCTTTTTATTTGTTTCAGCGCACTTGTCGCGCATGCAGCATGCAATGCATTCTTGCGCGCGTGGACCTAAGCCCACTATTCTTTATCATATCAGAAAAACACCGTGGATATGACAGCTTTATCAGACTGTTCATGCAGTTACCAGCTGCTGCTGTCATCAGCAGTTAACAAAACGTAAACAATTCTAGAAGTACTGCAGTACACTATCCTGTTGCCAAGTTTCCTTGCATGAGTAATTAATCCTTAATTCAAAACAAACTTACATTGCAGACCCCTCCATCAGCAACAGAATGATTCGCAGCGTTTTAAGAAAAGTAACTGCGAAGTGGCGTGTAGCAAGTGTCACGTGGGTGCAGCTAAGTATTGCACGCAGTAACAATTTATTTTTATTTCTGATTTTTAAGTGGCTAATGTCTCCAGACGGCAGATCAGCATCCCACGTGATACGGTGAAGCCATACATCTCCTCGGAAGCACGATTTCTTATCGCAGGGTCGAGATGCTACGTATGATAAGCGATATTTTTTTTTAATTATCAGTGATTTGTGCAGTGTTTCATGCAGCCCTGTAACATGATGAATTGACTTTTTTAGAATTTGTTTTTTGCTTGCTCTAATCCGCTTACCTTCGAGTGTAAGGCATCCGAGTTTGCATAATGTAGCTGACTACTTGAGAAACCATTTTCATTATATAACTGATTTGATTACATTTCCATCATTGTGTGAAAACAGATGCAGTTCTGCGTACAAATATGGCTGGCGATGTGCCAAGGCGAGGGAGCGAAGAAATGCGCATGGAGCTCAGATTGCCATGCGTTGAAACAGGAGGTGGTAAGTATTAGTATTAACATTATTGCGAGGCACTACATTTACTGCTCATTTATATTTTTTAGATGGCACAGATACTCTGCACCTGCCAGCTCCCACTGCATCAAGATCAGCTGACGGGGAGACTGGTGCTCAAAGCAAGCCATCAGGCTCCAGGAGAGGAGGTGGAGGCAAGTATATTAACACTGAGTGTCTACAATTGCCTCAGCAAGTGTTCTTGGGTAAATCTAACAAGCATGCATCAGAGCGTGTAAAAGTGTACTTGTAGGAGTGATCCTTAAATGACAAAAAAAAAAAAGAGAGCATGGAAAGCAGACCACTACAATTACTGGAAGACTGGCACAATTTGCATATTGCATTTACATGCACAATACCAGAACTTATCACTTATGTATGTTTGCTAGTCTGCGCAAATGCTTGTTTTGTTGATTAATGCTTGCTGATTGATAATTAAGCTCAAGTGACCGTGCTGTGTGTTAAATTATTCAATTATAAGTAATGCCTGCACAATGACCGACAGTTTCCCAATAAACCATTTATGTGTTGGTTCTTTCTTATTCTAGCTGCTGAATGGACAGAGGGGCAAACAAGGCTGCTCCTAGAGTACTACCTCAAATATTTCCCTCAGATTGGCCCATTTAAAAAATTCAAAAACAGGAAGCAAGCCTTTAAACAAATATCGATGGACATCGAGGCTGTGCTTGGCATAGCCAAAACCCCAGAACAGTGTGAAAATAGGTACAAAACAGTAATTAGGCGTCGGAAGGCGTCTTCCGACCATAACAAAAGGTCTGGTGCTTCACCCACCCCTGTGCCTTTTGACGACGAGGTGAAAAAAATTGAAAGCATTGATGACAGCATTGAACCGGAGGTAGAGCGAGACGCCTCAGGGGCTACATTCAAAGCCTCGCCCGAATCTCCGGCCGTGTTGTCACCTGCCAACACCACTGAGGAAAATAAGACGCAGTCCTCAAATCCCGACACGAAGCCACGGGTAGGAACTGCACGCCTGGCACACATGCAGTTGTTTTTTACTGAAATGAGGGCACTGCAAGAAGAAAAGGAGGCTCAAAAGGCGGCCAGACGTCAAGAAAAAGAAAATCGAAGAGCTGAAAGGCAGGCCGAGCGACAGGTGCTTCGTGAAGAGCGGCGCAAAATGCATGAAGAAAAAATGGAGATTCTCCGTCAGGCCTTTGGACTTCCAAAATAAAGTGGTAGTTTTAAATAAATAAACGTACTACCCAAAGCGATTACTTAGTTTCAATGTCTTTTATTTTCTAGTTTGGCACAATACACTACCTTGAGAAAATGCAAATGGGCCAACAGGTGTGTGGTAAGGACAATTTTTCCCAACCTTGAAGGTGTTTTAACGAGTTCAGCTTTTCAGGTGGGCCTTTGGTAAGCATATATTTGCTCACAACTGCATAACACGTAAAGGAATTCCTTGTTTCATGGCTGCTGGTTCTGCAACCCCATTTTTATCATCAAGTGATCTCTCTTGATGCTAGCCAAGCCACGTAATAGGCTATCCTGTTGGGCTACACTACTGCTGCTTACTTGAACTGCAGAAGAGCTTGAGTCTACATTTGTTGTTTGTGAGGTAAGTGACAGGTCTCGTGACAGGTTCTCTGGCAAATCTCCACAATCAATGCAGAGGTTGTGAAGCACACAGCATGAAATGATAAACTTGGACATGTTATCCACTGTCCACATATCCAACCTGTGCAGTTGTCTGAAACGATTTTTTAAATCGCCAAAAGTATTTTCAATAAGCACCCTTGTCCCGGAGAGTCTTGCATTGAAGGTTTTTTTGATGCTGTCAAGATTCCCATAGTCTCGAATTGGTGTCATCAGGTACTCCCGGAAAGGATATGCAGCATCCCCCACTATATGGTACTTGCTAGAGCACAGTTGTGGCAAAACACTTGAAATCCTGGACCGACGGAAAATGCGTGCGTCATGAATTTTGCTTGGGTAGCCAGTGCTGGCATCAAGAAACCTCTTCTTGTTGTCACAAACACCTTGAAGTGTCAAGGATAGGTAATGGTGCCGGTTTATATAAACAGATCGCACTTTCCTGGCTGGGCACCTGATAGGCATGTAGCTTCCGTCAACACACCCAATTGTGTCTGGGAATCCCGACAGCTGCAAGAGAAAAAAATGTGCACACACATAGTCAAATAAGCATGGCACTAAGGGTAATGAAAGGTGCCAATAACATGCGGAAAAGTTTAAAACAAACTGGAGACTTGAAGCTCATAACGGCGAGTGCAATACACTACCGGTACACATGATTGAAATTAACTGGCTATTTAATTGTGAAGCATCTGGGAAAAATAATTGTAATAACTTATTTAAAAGGTGCATTCTGGCACTAACTAATTCATAATTGTAATAGTAGAGCGGTAAAGAACACATGGGACCGCACGAAGGGGAATTAATGACACATACAGAGTACATACAGAGTGCACAAGTAACTGAACTCTAGGTTTATTCACTGTACATGCAGGACAAGTACTAGATGTACATCACTAAGCAGAAGATGGGAAAATAGAAGAGATATGAACAGCATCACATGGTCAAAACTACTCAAGAAAAATGTCCGATTGCTGACAGCATTTGTAATACACATGAAGGAGGCTTGACTGTGTGGTGCTCTTTCATATCTCTTGCATTTTTACATTTTCTGTTCATTTGCAGTTCTGATCCTGCATATCAGTTGCTTTCAGTCCTTATTGTGGTTTGAGTAGGTGTAATTCCTCTTAGTCTGGTCCCTTGAGTTGTGTAGAGCTGTATGACATTGGTGTGAAAAAAACTGTAGTTTATACCTTAAATAGCATGTTTACAAAAGCATAGTTACCTTCTCAAAATCCACAGCAAGCTTCTGCAGGTCACTGGGGAACTTGATTACATTCGGTGCTATGTCGAGCAGGAATGCAGTTACTCGGCCCATCATTCTGTGGTGAGTGCTTTCTGCGACTTCAAAGCGGCCAGCGACATCTCTAATGCATGCTTTGTTGGCTGCATACCTGAAAAGGAGAGGATACTCTAATTAAATAATGGAATTAAGCTTGCTGTTGCTGTCAATGACTGAATAATGGTGTTAACAATGCTGTCGCTGTCAATGAAGCAAATTAGCAAGACAACTGAAGTCAGAAAACACGATTCCACCTTTTTGGGTGACACCTTAGAAACTCAAAATATTTGATTAGTAGAAGCACTATCTAAATAACAAATTCTAATTTTAATTCGCGCATTACATTTATAAGTGTGGAGATGAAGCTCACTGTGAACCTGCTGACACAGCCGATTTGAAATGCTTCGTGAGCAAAAGTTTTCATGGTTGTTTGTAATGATGCATCATGAATTATGCTTTGCCACTGATTCTAGTAACGAGAATTTTGTGAAGCTCAGTGTGTAGGTGTACAAACTACGAAAGCATTTCACAAAATACTATAACTCTATTACGTTCGACACTCGCTAGTAGCATTTAACAAGTTTAAAGCAAGGTGGTCCAATGACATGCTGCGAATTAGGTACATTTATTTGCAATATTTCATATGCCTCTAACCCACTATAAAACGGATTATGCAGTGACCTGATGACAGCGGCATTCCTAAACGTACGGACACTCACCAAAGAAAGGAGAGAATGTGTTCTTCAGCCGACTTGGCAGGCAGGCCACCATGATCACTGTTCTGAGGGCAGTGCGGTGACTTGGCGAATTCTGCTGCCAAGAAGTCCACGACCGGCCGCGTGACGCGGAAATTTCTTTTGAACTGGAAGAAAACAGGCCTTTAAGCAACCTAATTAAAACAGAAGCCGAATGACTCACCTCCTCGTCGGAGTAGCTAGCCACCGTCTTTGTAACATATGCTTCCACTTTCGGCCTTCGCTCTGGCAGAGAAAAGAGCTGCTGAAACGCTGCTGCATACACTTCGTCGTCATCGTCGCTGCTGCTTGAACTCGACTCGGACGTAGAGCTCCAGCAGCTATCGCTGCTGACATCGTCTAGCTCGTCAAATACTTCGGCAAGACGACGACGTTTTGCTGCCTCCGCCATCCGTGAATCTGAAGGCAGGCAAGGTGGACGTTCACTGCCAGAATCTGCCGCTACGACGTTAAAATCGTTCGAGCCCGAGCACCACGCACGCTTCGCTGCCGCCATAACCGCCCGACACGACGCCGCAAAATGTAAACAAGTGAGGAGGATTGCTGAGAGGGTATGTCCGGACATGACGTTCCAAACACGTGGTTTCCTGCGTTTTCCACTCACTCCGCTTTTTAAGAGGGAGCAGACAGAACTGCTCCTGGCTGCTCTCGGCGCAGCAAAAGCGCTCTCGCTCTACCAATGGATGACAGTGCTCCTACTCCTGTTCGACCACTGAAACACGCCGCCTCGGAAGAGAGCACTTTGAGCGTGCTTTTGAGTGCACCTGCTCTCCCAATGGAATTCGCCATTAGCGACAATGGGTTCACCGCGCCAGCCGTCTCAGATGGACGTCGTCAAGACGTCCGACCTACAGGGACTGCTCGAGTTCTGCACGAAAACCGTCTTCAGCTCGACCACGAGCAACTCCGAACAGGTGAATACACCGCCGTCACGATGACACGTTATCAAAAAAAGAGTAACGCCGCCTCAGTATGCGGGCTTTCTCGCTTTCGCGGAGCCTCGGAAGCTTAGCGACGAACTCGCCCGAGTCACCGCGCTCACTGCCGCTGCGAAAGCTCGCGTGTGACAGCTTGCGGAGGCGTTCTTCGTAATCCATATCCGCCGATCACCACAATCCAACCTTGCGCACGGCTCGCCATGTGGTCGGCTTATCCTATGCATCTATCGCTCGAGAAGAGACCGGATACGTGTGACAAATCTCGTGCATCGATCCGAGACTTCCGCGTTCCGTTTCGTTTCACGGTTTCGTGGATGGAGTAGGCGCATCGCCGTGAATTGCAAGACTGGGAGATCGCGACACCGCGAAAAAAAAAAAACAAAAAAGGGAAACCACGGTGCGACGCGAAGCTGCAGATGACCCGTCCCGTGTTTACTTTTTTTTGCGAGGGCCCACAACAACGATTTCAAAGTTGCCGTTGTCGCGTGCCAACAGTGTCGCTCAATTGTGTAGCCGGTGTCGACACATCGGTGTAGACGAAACAGCACGTGCCGTTCATGATCTGCGGTGTATTTCGAAGGCACGCTGCCTCGGAGCCGACCAACCTCAGTTGCCGCGACTGTCGGTCGAATAAACGCGATTCCTCGACCGCTAGCATCTCTAGTGTCGTGTTTATACTTCAACAGTTGCTCGACATCGAAAGTTTTACTTTCTGTCTCCCGCGATCGTGTCTGGAATTCGGTTGGGCCGTTTCCTTCTGGAACTTGTTTGTGCTCGTTTTGTCTGTGTTTTTTTTTTATTTTGCTTTCACCGAAGCGGAGCTATGCTCGTGTTGTCCATTGTCGAATGTAGGTTATCGCTGCGGAAGGCACGGCGGCGTTTTAATTTAGACCAAAACGAGTTCCTTTTCTGGTCCGTGCGGCAAGCGCGCGTTGGCGAAAAAACGAAACACTTCAGTAACATTAAAATACCGAGTAGCGGTGCACCAGTGCCACTCCCACTTCGTGCTTTTAGTATGCTTACGCTAACCGTTCTTTTTTTGTTTCGCTCTGGTTATGTGATTCACTCCGCTTGTGTAGAACCCTCCCCCTCGCCTCTCTATCGTCGTCACGTGATTTGGCAGCGCGCCTAGCACGGGAACCTTCTTGCGAAACTCGTGACACTAGAGCAACAAGTTCAAAGCGAGAAGAGGGGGTATGTGGGTGAAGTAATGTTTCTCGCACCCTCCCCCCACCCATCCCCCCTTCTACCGCAATAACTTTCACTTTGTATACATGCACAACCGCTAGTGTAGCTGAGAGGGGAGGGTCGGGTTCAAGCCCCGCCTTCGACCGGATAATTCTGAATTTTGCATGTGCATATGTACACACACACACACACACACACATGAGCATCATGAAAGGTGGTGAAATTCCCCCCCCCCCCCCCCCTAAAAAAAAAAAAAAAAAAACAAATCTTGGCTATGCCCCTGACATACAAAAAAGGTCAGACACCTCTCCCCTAGAATGAAATCCCAACTATGCCCCTACACACTCACCTCAGCGTTTTCTATAGTCTGTTAAAACCTAAGAATAAATACATGCTCCACCCCCAGTACTGCAGCGCACCTGTCATTCACCTGTGCTGCAAAGCAATGATTAATGATTTCTGTTCTAACCGTAAGCACTTTTTTGCTAATAATGCAAATATTATGCATATTATGGATTAAAAGCTTGTCGTTTCTTGTTAAAATTTGGCTGATCAGTGAAGTTGAAAATTTATTAGGAAGTTTGCCACGAAGTAAAGCTTTTCGACCTAAAGCTATCAAAATTGACATGTGCCTATATGACCAAGCCATATGCCTGTAATGCGCCAAAGGCCCGCCTTGAGTAGAACATTTATAACAATTCTGCATGGATGGGACGGTGACCGCTGTTGGCGGAGCTCACATTTATTCTTGGGCTGTAAGAGACTGTAGTGTGTTCTTGTTGAATTTTTTCACTTTGAGACTACCCTGGCATTGCTTGGTGTTTTCTGAATTTCAACTCCTCGCGTGACATCATGCATAAAGTAGCAAATGTGAACAGTTGCGGGTACGTGGCCACAGTAACTTCTAAGTCAACAAAACTGCACAAGAAAGACAACAGCTCTTGTCATACTACGTTGTGTGGTTGCGCAAAAATTTATTTGCGGACATGCATCAACTAGCCTAGCAGGAGAGTATGTTCGACCATCTGAGATTTATATGTTGTGGAAATAATAGGCTGTACAAGTCAAGAATTATCAGCATATGTGCCCGCAGTCACAAGACTTATCTTGCTTGTGGGCACTTTGTGTTTCACTGCCTGTGTGTCTGCCCCCCTTATCAATGCCTTTGCTATCATACTGACCAACCGCTATTCAGAATGGGGCAGCTAGCTGAGAGGGCTTCACATGTCAAACAACATATTCAGTCTTCGTGCAGTTGGAAAAATTCTGACTGTTGTCGCGGGTGCAGTGCCTGACATGCCTTCGTCGGAGCACTTCTAATCTGGTTAGTTAGCACGACATAGCTATAAAAATTAGGACAAACACAGACGCCTGTCCTGTCTTGTTTGTCTGTGTTTGTCCTGAACTGCTTAAACTTAGACAAACAGTCGCGGGTGCCGCGCGTGACATGTTTTTAATAGTACTTCTAATAGGGTGAGTTATCGTGATAGAGCTATAAAACAAGTGATAATAATTTGGACAAATACAGATGGCGGTGCTGTCTTATTTGTTTGTCCTAATTTACTCAAACACAGGCGAGCATCTGTGTTTGTCCTGTATAGGCCAAGCACGTGACAGACGAACATGTGTGTTTGACCTAATCGGGCAAATACAGATGTATCTGTTCTGTAAGACAGGGTGTGCCAACAGAGACACTGGAAGGAAGTTGAGACACCGCAAGCGTTTTATTTTTGTCGTGTCCGTGTTTGTGCGCCCTCGTGAAGACCAATGTTTGTTTCAAGAGCTGAGCTCTTAAAGCTTTCTGTTGTGCCAGGTAGTGAGCAGTAATTATGGTCATCACGAACCAGTACATGCTCCGTTTATCCTCTTCAACTTCTCCTTCACTCCCACAACACTTGATTTGTACAATGTGGAATACAATAACTATGAGGGGCAAATCTGTTACGTGATTAAAAGTTGTGCGACAGCCAGTATCTTAAGGCAAAATCTCATGACATCATGCACTTATATCAGTTGAAATTGCTTAACACCTAGCCTTGTGACAAAAGCACATGACATCGCTCGGGTGACTGAAAATCGTGCAGTGTCATACATCTAGTCGGTGACTAAAAATCGCGTAACATTTAGTCACATAAATGAGAATCGCACTATGTCATGTGACTGAAATCTCACATTGCATAAAATTTAGTCACATGGCACGTTCTCGTCATGAACCACATAAATAGTTACGTGATTAAAATCTCTTGACTTCACGTAATAGCTAGTCATTTATTTCCACTAGGCCATGCAATTGATAGCCATGTGTCTAACAATCGTGTCACGTGATTGGTTCCCATCGTAAACCATGTAATGCCTAGTCTTGTGATTAAATATCGTATAACACATAGAAGCTAGTCATGTAACACCACCTTCGAGCCTGAACCATGTAAAAGCTAGCCACGTGACTGAGATTACATATCTTGTAACACTAGACACGAAGGCAAAAATCTGTAACATCGTGTAATAACTAGTCGCGTGACACATGCGTAGCATGGCGAATCAACTGAAACCTGAAAGTAGTCATATCTTGCCATGCTTAGTAATACTAGCAAAATCTGTAGCAAAAGCTTGGCATTAGCACCGAGACTTGGTCAGTTCTAACACTAGGTATACTGTTCGTTTCCGGCTTGTGGCACTCGTGCAGGCTTCGAACTTTTTTTTTACCTAATTAGTACAAACGCAGGTCTATACACATGCTTTTAGGTAAACACACTTGTGTTTGTCCTAATTAAGCGAAGCATCTGGTGACGACAAACATCGACAAGTGGTGTTTATTGAAAATACAACAATAAAACAAAGTATGAGACTTGAGCACTTCAGTTTTACGTCTTATCTCGCATTGTGGTGGCATGATAACAGTTAGCGGTGCTTCTCTGTCAAACACACTGGTTCTCTGCATTCCCTTATGTGGAACATGTGAACTGTTCTTAGGAATTAACTACATTTGTAAATTTACCATTTGGTTCATTGTGGCACCTTTACTTATTATAATTAACTTTTCTCATGCACAGTTAATTAGTTTAATCTTAGTACAAAAACTGATCATTGTCATTTAATAGGACATTAGGTTATTTGTTACAAGAATCTTTAGTGATAAATTCTAAATGAAATGTATATCTATAAGCAAATGCTGATTGGAATTGCTTGTAGTAAATGCTGATCGGAATTACTTGTAGTTATTATTAATTGTTTGCTCCCATTTCATATTAATGTTAATTGTTTTAGCTTTAATTTCATTAATTCAAAATCGAGGCCCATAGCCATGAATTTGTGGAGGTGGCGGGGGGGGGGGGGGGAGCACTTGGCTTGGGAAAAACGCCTTTCATTATTCATGTTCTATTAAACAACATCCTGCTCCATCAAAATTTCGAGGAGGGGGGGAGCCTTTAGGGTACCCTCTTCTGGCTATGGGCCTGACAAAATCCATTACTCTTAAATCAAATTTATTATGCATAGTGTCATATGTATAATTGTTACCTCCACGTAAGGTTTTAAGATTCATCGCTAAAAGCATCAGTAAGAGAACAGTGAGTGTATTTAAGAAGATTTTAAAAGTTATCTTCAGTATTATGCATGTTGTGCCTCAAATACGTCAAGCAAAGTTCGTGGGAGTGCTCAATCTAAACTCATTTATATTGATAGCATGTGTATGAAAAACACTACTGATGGTAGGGGTGAACACGTTTAATTTTGTGTTTTGTAGTAATGTAAGAATCATGTCATATTCTCTTGCTTGCAAGATTTCTTCGTCTAAAGGCCAACTTTTCACTTGTGCTCAAGTTTGTTCAGGTCCCAAGCTGCACAGTTTGTCATTGTCTACTGGTACTGGCAAGATCAATAGCACAACTTCAATTCTGTTTTTGCAAGTGTTAGTTATAATGAAATAGTAACTGCAAAAGTTGAGCCCTGTAAAAGATTGCCGTTAATTCTCATTTGAAGTTGCTATGGTCTAGAGGTGATCAATCAAATGCCCCTTCGCCGTATTTTTTGTCCCAACAGCTTAATCGCTGGTTCCGAGCACGTGATTGCTGACTAGCACCGCATTGTTTTTTTTTGTCACGAGTGCGTCTCTTGTGGTTGTCTTGCACAGCAGGTGGCTCTCTATGTGAAAAGCACGCTTTTGACTCTTGACCCATTGTTCTTTGTCATTCACAGGCTCGCAGAAATGCGGACATCCAGCAGAAGTGCGAAGACCTTTTTGCCAAGGATTACGTGTTCAAGGTAACTTCTGACTCACTCTTGCAGGTTGTGCACTTTATATGTGGTATTGTTTTCGAAACTGATGATGCGTAAAAGTTTTGGTGCCTAAAGGAGTACTGACAGAAAAACTTTGGCTTCGCATTTTTTTTTTTTTGCTGGAGTGTGTTGCTGGGGAGCCTGATAGTCATAACACGTCACATTGTTTGCTGCAGCACGCGACAGATAATTATTTACAGGGCCCTCATTATCGACCAGTTTCGATTTAAGAGAGCTTCAAGAACGACAAGGTGCAACTATCGCCACCCAGCGTGTGCAGCCCTCAACCTCATCAGTACACATAACTGAGATGCACTTCCGCACGGTTTGCATCAAGAATTTTTTTCGAATACCGTATTTACTAGCATAATCCTTGCACTTTCTTTTGACGGAAAACCGATGCAAAGTTTGGGGGTGCGTGAATTACGCGGGGAAAACTTTCCACGAAAACGTACAGAGCGAAAAAGAAAATGAAGTGGCCGCGAATCGGGATTCTAACACCAGAAACTAACAGCAGGCTTTGAGAAGTACTAATTAAAATTTACCTCAACAATAGAAGCACAGGTTCAACTCAAAACAAGATTTATTTGAGATACAAAAAGTGTGAGCAAATAGTCGGGAATTAGAATACCATACGCGAAGCTTGTGGGCGTTTCCGGCGTAGCTGTAGCGTTCCTCGTTCAACGGAAGCAATCAAAAGGTAAGCGTAGGACGTCAGTATTGGGCTGATGGCTGTTTAACTGAATCGTCTGCAGTTTCCTTCTGAAGAAATAAAGTTTACCATCAATCCCAGATTTATACGCACACGGCAGGCCCAACTCGTCTTGGTGGCTTTCAGCTGTCACCAGTAGCGAACACAAAACTCGTAGACTCCGAAGGGCCTTTTGGCGGCCCTGTTGCCGTTGTTTAGTGCGTGATCTATCACTTTCAACTTAAAAGCAGCCGTGTAGCTTCAGTATCGCCCCATAACGTGACAAGATTACCGGCACAATGCATAAAACACGCCGCAATGCGCACTTGCCACTTTAGCTTGACTTGAATTAGATTGAATGTCCGTGCAATAATAGTACGCCTGATGCTTAAGAGATGGCGCCAAGACGGTGCGTGCTATCATCATCATTATTGGTTGTAACGAGCAGACGACATTATTGCGGCAGTTTTTGGGGGTGCGATAATTACTCGAGGAAAAAAAGAAATCGTATTTATGTTGGGCGGGGTGCGAGAATTGTGCGAGGATTACGCGAGTAAATACGGTAGAAAATGGGACTGCAGTGTCGCCAAACACGAAACTTCCAGCCTGCCCGCTGCGGCCACACAATACCGATCAGCTGCCAAGAAGTATAGACTGCTGGAACAAACACGGCGAAAGAAAAATGGCGGCTATGACATCATCACAAATTGTTCCGTTTACTGCAGCGTGGTCATGTGAGGGACGTAAGGTGGTCCCCAAGGGGTCCCTTTAGATGCTGTCGATACCTTCGAAATTCCAACTTCCAAGTTGCTGCAAAATACGTTTCAAGCTATATTCGCTGTTGATGTCTTGCAGATGATATACGTACGCACATTCTCGGGAATCGATGCCGCAGGATATCTCGGCCGTGAAATTTTGTTTCGGTACCCCTTTAAGGGTACGCTAATGACTAGAAGATATCCAAGCAATTGATCAATAGTTACATTCAAAGTTACGTCTTTGGGAGCCACACGCTTAAAGTTTTCTTCACTTGCAAAACTGATGAATAGACGGGAGGGGGAGAGCGAGCGAGTGAATGAATGAAGGAGTGGGTGAGTGAGTGAGTATGTGTGTGTAGGTTTTTTTTGTGAAAGAACAATGAAGGCAAATATTTAGCCGAGGTCAAGTTTTAGTTTAAAGTAGGAAAATATTTTAGGCATTTTAATGATCAAGAGCAGCATTTTAGTAAGCGAGACTTTTAGATGAATAAGGGAATTAATTTGATAGCCTGCCGGAACATAGTAGTACACATGATACAGCAATACTGTGTTATATTCGCGTCACTTACACAAAACCCTCATTGCAGAAATAAATTTAGTTATCTACCTCCAATAAAACAATAGACAAAAATATCTCATTGATGTTGCTCTTGAGATTAATAAATGGGGTCATAAACATTTATACTCCCACCAACTCACGTTTCCCCTGCTCTCGCAATTTCGGCTGCTTAAGGTAAGCACTTGAGTTACCCTTTCCACAATACCAAAGAAACACTGTTGCCACGAGGAAGGATCGATAATATAGAAAAAGGTGCGAAAAGTTTGTCTTCTAACAACATAGCTGTGTTCTCAATTAACAACCATAAAGTTTTCATGGAATTACATATCAGTTTGTATTTCTGTAAGAGCTCGTTGCTACAGTGAGTCCAGTTTTAACGACAAATTTTTATACCTTTTTTGTTATACGTATGAATTGCCACTATTTTGTTTGGATGATGTTCTCTTTTTTTTTTTACTTTTGACAGGTTATTGAAAATGAGCAGGGCTCCATGAGCAGCACTTACCCCAACAGGATTATCCTCTTGGAGCATCCGATTGGCAGCCAGAACCATGACACGTCTCCCAGGTATGCTTTATTCTTTACACGTGCAGCCCGAGACGAAGCTCTTGTTTTGAGATCTCCTGTGTAGTCATTGCAAGGACAAGACAAGGTGCACTGCATATGACGCGCTTCATCGCAAAGAGAAAATTCTTGTGAGCCTAGAATGTAGATTTGTTACGCGTAGTTGCTAACATCGCAAGAATCAAGTTACGACTTCCTATGCAGTCATTAAAGTATCACGATCATTTGAACTGTTATTAATCATATAAGTGGATAGAATTGATGCATTACAAGCCCCTGTTCTCAATCATGCCACGTATTTGTTTGTGTTTGCAAGTGAGGTCTTTTTTTCAATTCTTCATAAGCATCGTAGCATACTTGTGCATTGGAGTTGTGCTGTCATGTACGTATTTCATAATGGATACGGATTCATGGACACTTATATTTCTGTACTTCTGTGAAGAATAGTACAATGTAAAGTGTATGCTTCAGCTTTCCTTCTTTTTTCACTTGCTCATTCTTAGCAACAGTTTTTCAGAGTGTGAGGCACTAGTAACTGAAATTCAACATTTATTAAATGTTGTACTTAAACTCATGAGCAGAAGGGGTTTTGCTCAGATCAGTACGGCAGTGGTTCTGCAAGAGCATCTCAGCGTTTTATCTGCACCGGTTTAATGGTAAACCGAGCCGGCATTAAGTTCATGCTCTCTCTTAAAATTGTTATTTAACCGCAGTGGCGCGTCTCACCTTGGAGTCAATCATGCAGTGCTGCTTCTTGCAATAGTTGAGTGTTTCTGTCCGCATTTTTTTTTGTGAAACAAAAACACAGTACAACTAGTTCGAGAGTGTCTAGGTTTAATCAGCCTTCGTAAGTTACAACTGGCCTGAATTGGTTAAGTCAATAGCACATACACAAACTTTCCGGACTCTGTTGTTTCTTGACTGGGATGTCTCTTCCCTTAAGCAAGTAGCCTGAGTGTCTTCTAGTTGACATATCGTCCTTGTTCGGCTTGGCAGTGTGCCAGTTTATTTTGCAAACACCGTAAGCACCAAACGTCAGCACGATTGTGCTGTTTCTTTATTATGAGTTCATTATGAGTCAACTCCCACTGGTTGCTTGAAGAATAATTTACCACATAGACATTTTGGAGTAACAGATGGTTAAAACCACTTTTCTAAGCTTCTTCTATCAGAATACTAAAATGCCAATAAGGATGCACAACCTGTACAGTACGACAGTATAACTCATGCTTTGTAGCAATAGCCATTTTTGTAGGCAGTTACGTATGGGTACTCACTTTAAATGGCGGAACCACAATGAATTGTGGTGGTCTTTATGGTACCATGTTACATTACGGCCTTGGTAAGATGGTAGAGTACTTATCACTACGGTCGGTTATAATGAATTACCACTTTTGAGTGGTCCATGCGTGCTTCTGATTTGGTGCTCAGTAGAACTATGTTTGAAGTGTCTCGGTAAAGCACCCATCAGGTGGGAAATGACTGACCTAAATGGACTACCAGACCTAAAAATAAGGTTGCCCTTACAGTTGAAACCCTTTATAAGAGAGACTGATATAAGAGATAGTTGGGTGGAAGACAGACCTGTGGGCCCACGTCAGTATGGGTTGTTCAGAAAATGAGAACACAGCGCCCTGCTCTTCAGAGGCTCCTCATGTGATGAACAAGGTCTGCTACTAGCAGTGTGTCTTATAAAAGAGTTCTAAAATGCCTTTATTTATGTACGTTTAATGGCGCTCAAGTATACATTGACAACAAGAATTCGTTGTTGGGCTAGTTGGTGCATGTCTTGGTATATACTGAGTACTTGCAGCCCTAAGAAATGGGGATAATGAAGACACAAATGACAATAGACTTGCGCTGTGTAACTGAATTTATTGAAAAGCACGAAGCCAGTTTTTATGCTCGTTTGTGTCAACTACTTGAACAAGCAATTCAGTGCGAGCCTGTGTCATTTTTGTCTTCATTCCTTAGGGCTGCAAATACTCAGTATATATCAATACCTTGACTATGCTCATGAAACACGCTAGGGACGACAAAAGGAACACAACGAGACAAAGGAGCACCTGCTCTGTCAGTTTTTAAACGTGAAGCATTTCTTTGTGAACTTCCGCGACTTTGAGCTTATCTATCTATCTATCTATCTATCTATCTATCTATCTATCTATCTATCTATCTATCTGTCTGTCTGTCTGTCTGTCTGTCTGTCTGTGTCTGTCTGTCTGTCTGTCTGTCTGTCTGTCTGTCTGTCTGTCTGTCTGTCTGTCTGTCTGTCTGTCTGTCTGTCTGTCTGTCTATCTATCTATCTATCTATCTATCTATCTATCTATCTATCTAATCTAATCTAATCTAATCTAGGTCTCAAGGTCACCCCCTCTACTTGGCATGAACCAAAATTAGCATGGGAGGGTAAGATGGTTTGACAAATATGAAGCGCTGGTCCAGACATGAATAATGTCACAATCCCGTCGTATACGTTGTCAAAGCCTTCCCGCCAGACAGTGGCACATAAGCACGGGCGTGTATGTGCCGCTGGTATGTGGGTATGTGCCACAGGTGGTTGACACTTAGTATCTACCCAGGAACGACGAGAACACACAAAGGCAATTTTAATGCGTGAACGTTAAAAAATTGCCTTTGTGTGTTCGGTAGCGTCGACCCAACAAAGGCATAGAATAAATGTCAGTGTTAACAAAAACCTGACATAGGCAGCGTTGACCCTCCCCGACGAATGCAAATAATAAATTTCAGAGTCCCAGCTGGAATCGAGCCGAAGCATTCTGCGTAGCAATGAAGCATTCTACCACAGAGCTACGACAGGTCTCCGAACTACTTGTAAAATAGACGCTAATCTTTGTGAAACGTTAATAGTGGTTACAGTGCTGCCTACCCAATTTTCTAAACATTACATAAGCATTCCTTCGATACAGCCGTCACGTCAGGTTAACGTCAATTGTGGTTAGTTGCCATGTGCTGAAGTTGTCTTATGTAGCAGTGTCCAGGGCCAGCATCTTCGCGAGCATCAGCGCTCCATATCAGCTTCCGGTGTCGCTAATACGCATGTTCCAGTTGGCATCGTTGCGTAAGTGCAAACAACTTGTTTTATAAACATCTGCAACTCTTGAACATATGTCTGTGCGTGCAACATTTGTACATATGTCTGTGCGTACAACATTTGTACATATATTTAGCATCATTTCATGACATGTCGCTCAATAAAAAAAAATGCAAGACGGTCACCTTTCCTCCGCTTGCTTTACATAACGTCGATTCCCAGGTATGTGGGATCTGCCGAATTTTTTTTCAGTTTGATTTTTAGCACATTACAAGAGCCCTCGCAAGTTCACCTCCGATTTTCGATTGTGGAAAATATAAAAGGGGGTGTGGGGGACGTCGGCGAGCTCGTTTGAGAAATGGCTAGTGCTTGCTGCTGGTTTAGTGACACCACACTGTTGTTATTTCAGGCTGGCTGGTGGACTGACGTCCCTTCCTGATGTGCAGGACTTACGGGAGCAGATTCAGAAGGCTCGTATTGCGAGGTGTCGCACACGCTTCCCGGTCCCTGTCATTCTGTATGAAGGAAAGGTAATGGGATAAGCCTGTTAAGGAATTGTCATTAGGACAGCAAGAACAGGGTCATGTGGCTGGCATGCCATGCTGACTCGGAACAATGCCAACATTGTCTACCGGTGTTGACTAGTGTTGGCAATCGAAGCAGTTCCGAGTAATTAAGGTTAATATGGAACTAATTTTTCTTGACAGTCAGCACTGAATGGCCACAGGGTCTTTTTCTACATGAATAACTTTTGTTGCACAAATAATTCATTCTTCTCTCTGTAGTAAGCTCTATTACATTCTATGATATCTCATTAATTGTAAGCAGTGTTTTTTATTGCAGTATCAGCAGCACTTCTCGTTTTTGGGGGTAGCACTGCTATTAATGATTTAGCTCAGTTCTGGCATATCTTCATTGGATGAAATAGCTCTCTGGTTTTCAGCTATTCTGGAAGCTAGCTTTTCTGTTATTGCTGATCTTGTTTTAATTGTGCACTTATCCTTATCTCAAGTGTTCTTTTCTTCCTCGGGTTTCAGCATATTTGCCGGTCGGCAACGCTGGCGGGCGGAGCCGAGATCTACAGCCGTTCGGGCTTCGACTTCCTCTTCTCTGGTGCGTGCCTGTCATTGCTTTGTCTTCTTGGTGACTCAAAAACCAGGTTTTATTAGTTCAATGCTTTCGTGCTGAGAGTACATACAGAGTGGCACTTGCCTATAAACAAATGGTGAGTTTGTAGAGACTCCTTGCTGTGGCTTGATGACTGTGGTGTCTTGCAGTGGAACAGTGGCGTCTTGCAGGCTGTGGGCTCTTGTATTAATTATAGTCTGTTAGACAAGGAAGGATTAGCAGATTGGGAGCACAAGGCAGCGTCAACTGATGCACTTACATTTAATATTAATTTTTCTATTTTGCAATTGGTCTTATTTTGGGAGCTTACAACTCTACAGTCTCAACAGAACCACTTCGGAACACAGGTCCAATTTTACCGGAGAAAAAAAATGGCACAGTATAGAAAAAAAAGAACTTGGTGAACAGTCCAAGAAGTTGACATGCAAGTGTATACACCTACCTTAGGGTTTCTGATTGCATCCAGTTGACATTCGCAGCATTAAGCTATGCCAGCCATAAAGACATACCAGGTCTGTTTCTGTGGGAAATGTAGGCACAAATCCAGAGGTGACAAAGTCGTTTTGTAAATGCTTGCATCTCTCCACCTATTTAATCGAAATGGAGGAGATATTGAAGCATTACGATGTTATCGGAGAGCTCAGTCAGCTTTTTATGTCGTTGTTCATGCCATTCTAATTGTAGTCGTCGTCGATCATGACAAGCTACGCGTGCAAAAGGCAGTCATAAACAATCTTGTTGTAATGTGTCTCTGTCAATCCATTAGTGCCACGCATTGCACAGTTGTGAAAGTGGGTAAAAAAAGACCGTTATCATCAATGAGGCATTCCCACATGTTTATGTACTATCTTATCTTGCCCTGCCTACCTTAGAAATTGATAGCAAAGAAGCGAAGACTGAAGACAATAGAGAGTGTTCTCGTATATTTCTATCTTGCTTGTGGTGGCAATCTCCGGAGCTTTGCTTCTTGTTGCTTATGGGTGGGCGTTTCCAGATAAGCGCTCTACTGAGAACCGGAGAAACGTGGACAATGGGAACATGCGAGCGTCCAACAACACGGAGCCCCTGCAGCCGCACTCTATAGGTAAGCTGGCTTCAATGCTTGGGTCAAAGTCTCTTGCATAAATTTTCTGTAGACAAGCGGTTTCTGCTGTGTCCACTGTGCTAGCATACTCAGTGCAGCGCATTCGCCAGGCTAAAGGTTTTGAGATGGGATGGAAGTTCCCGGCTAAGATCACTATAAGAGCTGTGGCACTCCAATTATTTAGTTGCTGGGTGAATTAGAGATAATTGGCAGATTTGTCTAGTTCTTGCGCATGGGGTTTCTGGCGTTCTTACGGCTTTGTTTACTACGCTGTGTCTTCTTTTAAAGCAGTCATATTTGCGGAACATTCACGAAGGCATGAAGACTCGGCACACGTGTAGTGATTAGGAATTTCTAACTATTGCATTTTTAGTGCGAATTGCTGAATGTGATCGATTTGCAAAGTCACGAGGTTATATAAAACCAGACGGAGGAACCAAATAACAAAATATCATTCATATTAAAATGTCTCAAATGTTCACACACCCATTCATGGTTCTCTCCTTTGGTTGAAACAGACGGCTGCAACTCGTTTAAGTTTAGTGGTCGGGGGCTACATTGCTCAGCATGGTGGTGGACCTGATTCCCGGTCCTTGGGGCTGCATTTCTTTAATTAAGGACAGAATACAGGAACTCCAATGCATTTAGATTATGGTGAACATTAAATGATCCCTGGTAGTAAAATTAATCCTACAGTGCACTTAAAGGGGCACTGACTGAAAATTTCAGTGGGCGAGATAGCCTGTAGGATTGATTTCCAGGATCATTCGCATATCATCTGCGAAATATCAACAGCAAATATAGCTGGGAAGGCATTTTAAAAGAATTTTGAAGTTTGCACGAGTCCTTGACTCCATCGTGCCATTGACACCATCGAAGGGGACCCCTAGATGACCCCTTACTTCCCTCACATCACCACGCTGCAGTCAACCAAACAAGTTTTGATGACGTTATAGCCACCATTTTTTTTTTGCCGCATTTGTTACGGTAGTCTATATTTCTCGGCAGGTGGTTGCGAGTGCATGGCCATGGCGCAGGCTTACAAATTTCTGTGTTTGGCAATATTGCAGTCTCGTGTCCTATTCGAATGTAATTCTTGATGTGGACTGTGCGGAAGTGTGTCACAGTTCTGTGTGCTGACGTGGTCAAAAGCTGCGCACGCTAGGTGGCGACAGTTGCAGCCAGTTTTTGGAGCTCTCCCAAACCGAAACTGAAACGGATCCATAATAAGGGGCCTGTAAATAATTATCTGTCACATTCTGCAGCAAACGATGTGTCTTGTCATGACTAACAGGCCCCCAGCAACACATTGAGCAGAAAAACGCGAGGCTGAAGTTTTTGTGTCAGTACCCCTTTAACATCAGGATCGTTGTAGTATGTTAAACCCCGTTACTTAGTTTTACATGTCTGATGTTTAGTGTGTATTTTTAGTAAAGAAAGATGAGTTTGAGTGTTTGAGGGCAGAAAAGTTAGTTTAATTAACACTTGGAGACAGTATACTATTGCCTAGATAACTTGTTTTTAATAGTTGTGTTGACTAGTGGCTAAGAAAGAGGACGACGCAGTCTTCTGCATAACAAACGTGTCTTCATTTAACTTCATTTTGCAGTGTACTGCTGTATATAATCAGTCGGCTAAAGGCACTATAATGTTCAAAGTGCCGTTTCTTATGACTCGCCTAAAAGTTTTATATCCCCATGCTTGAAATGAGCATAATGATGAGTGTAACGAAAAACAGCACACCACTGTATGCCTAGCCTGATACTTAATTCTAATTTTGCAAAGACACGGCGTGAATGACTTCTGGATGAAGTGATGTGTAAATGAAATTTAATTGAGATTAATTACTTTGAAAAAAAAACATACATCAAACATACATCCGCATATCACATTAGTTTTCTAGAAACCGGGTATCTAGGTCTTTTCGGATGGTGTTTAGGAACAGGTTGCATGCAATTTGGTGCGCTTTATTTTTTTCTTTTGCATTTGTTTGCTTTTCTGTGCATTTTCTTTTTTCGTGTGAATGGATTCGATGGCTTTTGCAACGACTGTTTGTTTCGCCTTGCAACATTCCCAGGGCTGCCGTCTGATTACGCGGACACGGAAGCCAATGCCACCGTTGCGGCGACTGAAAGTCTCGCGGAGGACGAGAACTTCATCGACCTGGCGAAGGACAATGCTCCGCCAGCCACTGCAGGGTGAGTAAAAAGGAAAAAAAAAAATGTGACGTTAGGGCACATTATATAATAAACTGAAAAGTTAGTATTATCTGAGAATTCCGACCTCATTAATTTCTCTATCGTAGGTTTGTTATCAGAAGGGAAACTGACGCTATCGTATGTTTATTATCGGAAAGTATGGAGTTCGAGGCTGAAGCCAAAGATCGGTTTTCAAAATATTTCTCACCAGAACCTCGACACCTACATCGGCATGACGCATTGGTTCATAAAATATCCTGAACCCCTGAATTCTAAATTTTTTTTAGCTTTTCTGCATTAAAAAGTTTTGTTTTTTGATATAGAGTATTTTACCTCTAAAAAGCATGTGTCGATTAACAAAAAAAAAAAATTGAAGTGTATATTAGGTTAAATTACCATGATGAAGTTTGTGGTCCCATGGCCTATTGATGTCTTTCACAATTCACAAAATATAGGCATCATCAAAACACTTGCAAGTATAATGCGTCAAGTATTCAAAGTAAACTTGGTTATTTGAATAATTAGCACCCATAGAGCCGTACGATGAGGAAAGGTGTCTTTGCCATGATGATACACGAGCAACATACGCGCCACGCCGTCTTTACTGGACAATATTTTCTGAACACAAGTTGGGGGGGGGGGGGGGGGAATGAAATGGCGGCCGAAATAAACGAAATCACCGAGCGAGTGCCATCATCTGGAAAGGGACACTCGAACTAGCTTGGAAATCAGTGAGTTTCAATCAAAACAAGGGTGGCGGGGGAATATCTCACCCAAACGAGCCACACTCGTTCAAAACAGTTTGGGAAAGACAAGCTGGGCTGTTACAAGGGGGTTAAGAAGTTAAACTGCCACATTAGGTCTCCCGGTATCTTCATTCACAAATTGATCCAGTATTACCTCATTTTAACAAAGTCACATACACCATGAAAATACTTCGCTATACACTAAAATTTGTTATAAACGATTATTTTTATTGCTGTCTATGACAAAGCTATGGGTTACTTCGTTGTAACTGATAATTCGTTATATCTGAATTTATTATATTGAGGTTTTAGCAAATCGATGGTTCTGGTTCTAGTAGAGTTATAGAATAGATATGATACCACAGCATATTGATAAGATAAAGGCCAATCAACTGTCAGAATCATTGATGAAAATTAATTGAATGAGTATGCCGAAATTTCGAGCAGACTGTTTTGTGAGCAGCAGGGACTTTTGCGCCACCTGGTGGGACATATCTCAACTGTGTGCTTCTCTCTAAATGGCCTCTGAAATTATCTTCTTGAGTGAGACTGAACACAAAAGCTAATTCAAGGAATATGCCGGGCACCCATACGCAGTTGTGCAAGTGCCATTACTATAGGCGGCGACAACTTTTCTTGGCAATGAAGGGAAGGCTACACAGCTAAAGTGGGCGTGTACCACTGCTTGAAAATCGTAAAAGACAACAGGATTTTATTTTCTATGGGGTGCTGCTTACGAAGAGACACACCATGCACCAATGAGTTATTAATACTTGTTTTACTCTATGCAGTGTCATTTTGCGTCATTGCGCGGGTGAAAACGTCTGTCACAAGCACCTCACAGTCAAAAACTGCATCTTCATATTTCAGGGAGAGCGCCTGTCGCCCCCCAGCCATTCCGACGACCCGCCGAAGGAGCTTGTGACTGATTTCACACATTAATGACTATCTAAGAAAACAAAGCGAATAGAATGCAATTTTATTACTCGAACACGGCCATCATTCGAAGCACAAGCTGAACTGGACTACTTCGCTGTTCAGTACATGTGTATTTGCTCCACCCCCAAAGCTTCCCCTTCATTGCCAAAAAAAAAAGTTGTCTGCGAGTACAGGCACATGAGTTAAGAATTGGAAACACGTCCAAGCCTTTTTTTTCTCTCTCCCTTTTTTTCATAGCCACTGGCCACTGTTTAGCACATTGCGGATGGAGGACATCCGGCTACTGCGACTGCTCTCTGTCGACCACATTTGCGACTTCATGGTCGAGAACAAGAAGGTCAAGTTCTTTCTCAAGTGAGTGCGCTGAAGTTGCGTGCACTACAAAGTTTTCTTTCTCACTGAAGTGGAGCAGGTACAGCTGGCTAGATTTTTTCGATAAATGGAGTGGTATATTTGGACAAAGTATTTTGTGAACTATCTTTGTGGGTGTTTAGTATTTCATGAAATGTATGGCATTGTTTTGCAAACTTGAGCACATTATTTCCTGCATTTTTTGCTTTTTCTTCACACTCTTGTGAAACTAATTGTCTTTTGGCTAAGTATGTCGTAGTTCTTGCTGAAATTGGAAAATTGCATGCAGTTATTTTTATTATCACTAGGCTCTTTATGTAGACCATAACAAGTAGGCAAAGTACGCTACGGTATATACAACTTTAAACATATTTGAAAAAGTACGAAAACCTAAGCACACTTACGGATACATTATGGTTCACTCATTTGCACAGGCTGCAATAAGGAAATCTGCTATAAACATACAAAATGCCTTCTGCTCCCACAACTGCGTATTCTGCTCTGTGCAGGATAAAGTGTAATAATTCAAGTAAACAGTAATACGATATTGAAAAGAATGTTAGTATTATAAAGGAGATTTATTAAGCAGAAAGGTTGATGCTTGGAAGGCTTGGAAGGCGATGCACCAGCCGCAATTTCCGAGCTCGAGCCGCTGCTGCACACTCGATGCTGCTGCCTCTGCGCCGGAGTACTTCCTCTTCTTTACAATGGCCCCACGGAGAAAAAAAGGAGCCATCCTGGCGACTTAGTCCTGGGCAGGCGGCGTTGAACCGTGGTATTGCTTGAGCCTCTGGACGTGTACAACCTCGCGGTTGCAACGTCGCAAGTCTGATGGTGGCGTAAGAGGCTCAATGAGGTAGTTTACTGGCGAAGTTTGTTCGACAATACGATATGGCCCATCGTACTTTGGCAGAAGTTTGGAAGAGAGCCCAGGTGTGCGATGCGGCACTGACAGCCATACAAGAGAACCCGGAAGAAAAACGGGAGTTGAGGTCTGGGCATCATGAATTGCTTTTTGCCTGTTTTGGTCATCGCAGGTAAAGCGACGAGCTAACCGGCGGCATTCTTCTGCGTGTCTGGCGGCGTCCAAGATCGGTAGGCACTCGGACGCGTCTGGTCGATAGGGCAAAATGGTGTCAATGGTGTGGGAGGGGTGACGGCCGTAGAGGAGGTAAAAAGGGGAGAAGCCTGTTGTCGCTTGCGTTGCCGTATTATAGGCGTATGTAATGAATGGGAGAACTAAGTCCCAGTTAGAGTGGTCAGGCGTCACATACATAGATAGCATGTCACCGAGTGTACGATTAAAGCGCTCGGTAGCCCCATTGGTTTGTGGGTGGTAAGCGGTACATGTGCGATGTACAATAGCACACTCAGCAAGCAATTTTTCAATGACCTCGGACAAGAAGGCGCGGCCGCGGTCACTGAGGAGTTCTTGAGGGCCTCCATGACGCAACACAAAATGACGCAGTAGGAAAGTGGCAACCTCCTGTGCTGTAGCCGTTTTAAGAGCAGCGGTCTCAGCATAGCGCGTTAGGTGGTCGATAGCAACTATTATCCACCGGTTGCCAGTCGGAGTCAATGGAAGTGGCCCATAAATATCTATTCCAACCCACTCGAAGGGCCGGGAAGGGCATGGTAAAGGCTGTAGTTCACCGGCGGAGGCGTGTGGTGGAGATTTTCGGCGCTGACATTCGTCACAAGAGCGGACGAAGTTGCGGACGAAGGTATACATGCCACGCCAGTAGTAGCGATGTCGAAGCCTTTCGTAGGTTTTGAAGACTCCTGCGTGGCCACATTGTGGGTCAGCGTGAAAAGAGGAACAAATCTGCGACCTCAGGGTTCGTGGAACGACGAGCAGCCACTTGCGTCCCTCTGGTGCGTAGTTACGTCGATAGAGAAGCGTGTCACGTATCGAGAAGTGTGGAACTTGGCGCCGAAGCGTTCGCGTCTTTGGGAGCTCAGAAGTGTCGGAGAGATGATTGAGGAGAGACGCAGTCCACGGGTCATTGCGTTGTTCGATAGCAATGGTGTCAAAGTCAAGCGATGACAATGTGTAATCGCAAGCGGAGTCAGCTGTGGCATTCTGGGACAGGGGGGAACGGGAAAGGGCGTCGGCGTCAGCATGCTTCCGTCCTGACCGATAAACCACGCGTATGTCGTAATCATGAATTTTGAACGCCCAGCGAGCGAGGCGGCCAGATGGGTCTTTTAACGTCGAAAGCCAGCACAGCGCGTGGTGGTCGGTCACGACATCAAAAGAACGACCATATAGATATGGGCGAAACTTTCCAAGGGCCCACACAATGGCCAAGCACTCCTTTTCTGTGACGCTGTAGTTGCTCTCAGCCTTGGTAAGTGTGCGACTAGCATATGCCACGACGTATTCCTGATGTTCCGGTTTACGCTGTGCGAGCACAGCACCCAGGCCTACACCACTGGCGTCGGTGTGGATTTCAGTTGGAGCTTCAGGATCGAAATGGCGTAGAATGGGTGGCGTCGTAAGAAGCCGTCGAAGGGTGGTGAAAGCCTCGTCGCAGGCAGGGGACCACGATAAGAGGTCTTTACAGCTGCTGAGAGGTTGCGTGAGAGGTGATATAATAGACGCGAAGTTTCGGACGAATCGCCGGAAATACGAACACAAGCCGATGAAACTTCGAAGTTCTTTGATGGTGGCAGGTTTAGGAAACGCCGTAACAGCTCGCAATTTCTCGGGATCCGGGAGGATGCCTTCCTTGGAAACAACGTGGCCCAAAATGTTCAGTTGACGCATGGCAAATCGACATTTTTTTAGGTTTAATTGAAGGACGTGCTGAAGGCGACGTAAGTGTGTGTCAAAGTTACGGGCGAAGACCACGATATCATCGAGGTAACACAAGCATATCTTCCATCTTAGTCCACGCAGGATGTTGTCCATCATTCGTTCAAACGTTGCAGGTGCATTGCAAAGTCCGAAGGGCATGACGGTGAATTCATATAAGCCGTCTGGCGTGACAAAAGCGGTTTTGGGGCGATCGGCCTCCGCCATAGGCACCTGCCAGTAGCCTGACCGCAAGTCTAACGAGGAAAAGAACTCGGCACCCTGCAAACTGTCCAAAGCATCGTCAATGCGCGGTAGTGGATAGACATCCTTCAGCGTGATCTTGTTCAATCGCCGGAAATCGGCACAGAAACGAATAGAACCGTCTTTCTTTTTGACGAGAACCACCGGAGACGCCCATGGGCTCTGTGAAGGTCGAATGACGCCTCTGCGAAGCATGTCGTCTACTTGGTCAGCAATGACGCGGCGTTCTGTAGCGGACACGCGATATGGTCGTTGTCGCAGCGGTGAGTGGGACCCAGTGTCGATGTGGTGTTCTACTGCTAAGGCACGGCCGAGAGATGTTTGTTCAACGTCGAAAGAGTGGCGGTAGCTCTCAAGAATGGTGAGGAGTTGTGAATGCTGCGAAGATGTCAAATCTGCAGCGATGAATGGTTGAAATATGTTTGCCGACGTTGAGTCCGGCGCTGAGACGACAGCCAGTTCACAGACGGAGGTAGAAGGCACCTCATCGGGGACGGATATAATTCTGGAAGAACTGATTGTTTCGACGTGGCCAAGGCACTCGTGACAAAGTAGGGATAAAGACGACGACTCATGATTATAAATTGGCATTGTGGTTGACCCTTCTACAAGATCGAGAGCAGCAAAAGGCAGGGGGAGGGCTCTTCGGGCGACGAATATTGGAGATGGTGTGAAGAAGACCGTGCCGTCGGATATGGCGCAGCATGAAACTGGCACGAACGCAAAAGAGCATGGAGGGATGTAGGTGTCATCGCTAACGACAAGTTTAGCGGCAAACTGGGTGTCGACGGACGCTTGGTCATCCAGTGAGCTAAATTCGACCTCAGCCCTAGCACAGTCGATTACGGCGTTATGACGCGACAAAAAGTCCCATCCCAAAATAATATTATGGGAGCATGATGAAAGAACCACGAACTCTATCGTATACAGAACGTCCTGAATTGTCACGTGGGCTGTACATACTGCGGTCGGTTGAACAGGTTGAGCACTGGCTGTGCGAAGCGATAATCCGGAGAAAGGCGTCGTAACCTTACGAATTGAGCGACAAAATCCAGCATCTATAACCGAAACAGCTGCACCGGTATCTACAAGAGCGACAGTAGGGATATTTTCGACGAACACATCAATAACATTGGTAGGTGACAAATGAGGACTTGGGCAAACCGAAACTTGCGCAGTTCTTGCCTCAGGAACTGCGTCGTCTAGTTTTCCTCCTCGTTAGGTGCGGGCCGTCGACGCATAGGAGAAGGCGAGCGGCGGCGTGGAGAGGGTGAGCGAAGACGTCCCGGCCGAGGGCGGTGGTCGTCCTGGTAGCGGGCTGGCATTGGAGTGGAGGAACCGTATCGCGCGTTGGAGTCAAGCGGGAAGAAAGGCTCACGGCGGTTTTCATTGGTGATATGCGTCCGGCGGCGGCAATACCTTGCGACGTGTCCGGGGTATCGACAAGAGTAACATATCGGGCGATTATCGAGGGTGCGCCACGGGTTGGCGGTGTTTGTGCTGGTCCAGTGAACTGGAGCTGAGGGAAAGCTCGCGCGAGGCTGGAACGGAGGCGCAGGTGCCTTGCGAGTTGGCATGGCTGCAGCCGCGGCGTAGCTGAGAGGAGCAGCCACAAGATTAGGCTCGCGAGCAGCTAATAAGGCCTCGGCGACCTCTCCTTGAATGACGTCACGTAGAGACGATGGTAAAGTTGTGGTAGCTTCTGGTGTGAAAGGCACCAAGGAAAGCTGTCGTGCAACTTCTTCGCGGACAAATGCTTTTATTTCGGCTATTAGTGACGCGTGGTCATGACCACTGATCACATTAGACAGCGATGCCAAATCGTGCGCTGGAGGACGTCTTGTCAGAGCTCGCTGCTTCCGCAATTCATCGTAGCTTTGGCAGAGGCTAATTACGTCGTTAACAGTGGTCGGGCTTTTCGCCAAGAGCATTTGAAAAGCGTCGTCGTCAATCCCTTTGAGGATGTGCTTACATTTTTCAGCTTCCGTCATTTCGGCGTTCACGCGTCTGCACAAATCGACGACGTCCTCATGTAACTTGTGAATGTTTCACCCATTTCTTGTGCGCGTGTGCGTAAACGTTGCTCGGCACGAAGTTTTCGGACGGCAGGTCGATCGAAGACTGCTACAATCGACGTTTTAAATTGCGGCCACGTTCGGACGTCTGCCTGGTGGTTTTTAAGCCAAAGGCTGGCTACACCCGCGAGATAGAACGAAACGCGTGTCAACTTGTCCGCGTCCGTCCATCTGTTTAAAGCGCTCACCCGTTCGAAAGTCGAGAGCCACTCTTCAACGTCGTTGTCATCTGTTCCACTGAAGATTGGAGGCTCCCGCTGAGGAACACTGCCTGGACAGGTGGCCGGAAGAGATGGAAGCGTCTGCTGATCGGCGTCCGGCATAGCAGAAGGTAACCGTCGAGAACGGAGTTCCAGGATGGTAGCGGGAAGGTGTAAGAGACGGTACCCGGCACGGCTCCACCAATTATAAAGGAGATTTATTAAGCAGAAAGGTTGATGCTTGGAAGGCTTGGAAGGCGATGCACCAGCCGCAATTTCCGAGCTCGAGCCGCTGCTGCACACTCGATGCTGCTGCCTCTGCGCCGGAGTACTTCCTCTTCTTTACAGTATAATAACGTTTACTATCCCATATGCTGCCAGATAGACCTGACATGATTTATTTTTATATTTTCCTGATCTTTATCTCTCTGCAGAGTAACGTCTTCTGAAAAGGTTGACAAGGAAAACAGGTACAACGGGTTCACGATCTACAACCTTCCCTATCCAGGTATATTATCAAGGCTTTTGCCTAGTTTTGTTGATGATATTTTTAGTAATCTGTGGAATCTGTTAGTGAGTTGTAAATTATTTGGTGTCTTGAAAGGCCAAGTCCGGCGATTTTTTGACCATGTCAGGATAATGGTGCTTTTATGTTCCTTAGACATCATCCTCATGCGCTCGATAACTGAAATGCTAGAGAAATTTGCAAATAATTTTTAATTACCGAAAAGCCACAATACTGAAATCGAAACCAAACCGAGTGCACTTCTACGTGTGACGTAAAGGTTTGCCTGGCACTGCCGGAACCTGCCCAATTGCACATAATGCCTACCAGATGGCATTACCTGTCCACGCCGTCCACGGCGATTGGCTAAAATGCTTACGGTGTTATGGTGAGTATATCCCAAATTGTGTGTGGCTCACAACGCAACACCACTTGGCACCTATCACACGCCCACCAACACGAAAAGGAAAATAGCACGCTCAAGAAAGCGCCGGCCAAACCCACACAATCCATAGCAGACAAGCAGACGCTCCAGGTGCACATCTGTTCGTCACTCCCGCCAGGCAAAACTCAACGTCACACACACAATGTTGCCATTAATTCTAGAAAGCGAGGTGAGCGTTTCAAGGCAAGCTATAAAATTCATTTGAATAGAATCTGCGAAAGTCTCAAGCCTGCAATTTGGCATGAATGGCGAAAACGTGCAAATTTACGTACAGAGTGAATTTCATTGAGATTCACTGGCCTCGAATAATTTCCGGAATTATTTTTTTAGTACTTCAGTATCATTTATGCTTTTTTTTTTCAGGTTGCGAGTTCTTCAAGCATTATCGAGACAATGACTACAGTGGGGAGGGACTCATCTACGACTGGGATCAGGTACCTTGAGATGTTTTGTTTTTGTCGTTCGTAACATTTCGAGAATATTAAGCGAAGCTCTTAAGAGTCACAGGTCTGTGGCGGCATCGTGCGAAAAACCCTGTGTTGGCGAGCATCAGAAAAGCGGCTCGCCGTTGTGCTAATCGTGGGAAAATTTGTTAGTGCCATTTTCCAGTAATTGGTGCTCGCTCGATAATGGGTTTGTCGGTTATCAGACCTTTCTGACATGGCGATGTGATCTGTTATCCAAGTCACTTGTGATTTCATTGCTGTCTCAACGTAAAAATGTGGCCGTTGTCATTACGTGTAGCAACTAAAGCATTGTCCTGTTAAGCATGTGGATGATGGTCCAATCTGGACACGGAAAAGGGAAACAAATAAGGGGTATTGTGCGATGCGATAGAAACGATAGAAAGAAAAAAAAGAGAACTTGTATGTTGGGCACACGGACAGAAAGCGATACTTGTCACCATTTCGCCAATAGGGAAGGACTCCTGAATTTTTTTTTCTTGTGGTGTGGCTTTCTCAATCGGAAATCTGAGCATTCATTATGGTTTTGGCGAAGAAATTTTCTAAAAGCGAGATGGTGTTACTGGCCTGAAAAGTTTTAGTACACTCAAACATTATTATCACGAAGTTGCATCGTGCACGAAAATAAGCTCATTATAACTGAAAGTTCATTTTAAAGGTATATTCCTAACACTATATCTATTGTAAGACTATTCTTTATTTACTTCATTGTGTAACTGATATTTCATTATGTCTGGGTTTGTTATAACGAGGTTTGAGTATAAAATCTACATATGCATCGTAATACAGTGTGCTTGTTCGTTGTTTTGTTTCACAGCATTTTGTGAATGCGCCCCTGAACATTCCTGATGATGCCATCACCTCTCAGCTCAACATTGATTGGACCATGTACAAGGCAAGTGTTTGTTTTGTTTATTACAGGCTTGCCTAATCATAACTATAATGAGGTGTGTTTAGTACTTGTGTGCAGATGACTTGTCACTTTTGGCATGTACACAGTATGAAGTTTTTTTTTCTCTCAAAATTAAGACATTTTGATATGATTCTCTGAGTATTAAAGTTTCTAATACATCTTGGAATTTTGGAACAAAGTTAAACAGAGGGTTCACATTTTAAAGAGATCTTAGGCACTGCCTTCAAGGAAGTAGAAGAACAAGAAATCGAGGTGTATGTCATGTGCTCGAGTACCCCATGCTTAAAGCGATTGATTTCTTTTTGTCTGTTTCTTATAATCACTTTCTACTTTTGCGTTTTGTTGCTGCTGTGTTTGCTAATTCTGTTGTCGATTGGCATGTTTTCTTTATTCACTTTCAGACATGGGACGTTGTGGTGCTCACAAGAAATTACCTTAAACTGCTCCTGAAGTACACTTTTGACGGTGAGCTCGACTTCGGGTTCTTTGAAATGTGGACTGTTTCAACCGCTACGTTATTGCGCTGCCCGCAATTGTGTTCAGCACTTCAGTGCATTGCTACCAGGCCTTGTGTGTTTAGAACAAGACACGACAAACGTATTGGCTGCATTGCTCACTGCTTTGGTAAAGGTTGTGCTGTGCACTTACCACATTTACTTTATTGTGACAAGCCTTGTCTTACCAGAAAAATTAACTGAATTATGGCATTCATGCTAGGATCAAGAGCAATCCAAAAACCTTGCATTAGCAAATTAGCAATCGAGTTTTGGCCCTTAGCAGACGAGTTAGTCGCCCCTTTCTGATGTTAGTATGGTTTTTTGCATGACATCAGAGTACTGCGGTGAAGGTGACCTGAGAAGCACTTTGCATTCGATGGATGAAGGGCAGAAAAATTTTCGAACCGATGCGCTTTGCTGCTATGTCGTTTTCTTATCATGGTGGTTGCTGGGGATGTTTTCTGGTGATTTGTTTAAAAATCTAGTTTAACTCGTGCAAATTGGATAGTTAGCAGGTGTGCGTGTCCCCAACATTCGTGCATGTTGACATTGCGAGGCTTAGCTTCTTCAACAGGACTGTCCACTTCCTATTTTAGTACACGTCCTCCTTTAATAGGGAATTGCAAGGACATAGCTTGCATCACTTGCTGAGCACAGTGGAACCCCGATTATGCCATTTTCAGGGGACTACACAAAACCGTCGTATAATCGAAAAACTAAGATTAAAGGCACTGACACTCAGCCTTGCCTAAAAAACCGATACAGACTGCCTGAATAAGCCCTCGGCACGACCTTGTGCTTTTGCAAAGAAGGTAGTTTAAATTATTCTTGCCAGTGGCAGCTAATGGCAGCATTACTTAGTTGAAGGTGGTTCGAGCGAACCTTAAAAAAAAAATCGAATCTAATGGGAATTTTCTTACCATTATGTAGAGTTCGAAACTTGCCTGTGCATGAAAAGGAAACCAAAACTGCCTTTGCCAACAGCTTCCTGTCATAAGAGTCAGACACAGTGCCATCGCTATCACATAATGGTGACAGACCACGAGTTTGTGTAGCATGTTGCGCAGAATGCCTTCTTGCGTGACTGAGCTGTGTGCACTGTAATTTGTTGCCTTGTGCAGTGCAACTGGCAGTGTCTCGCTCATATTATGAATGTTGCCTTTCAGTGAAAGTAATTTTGCACGGTGAAAACAGCTGCGTCACGCCCTTATGTACGCGCGAGCCCGTGACTGCGAGTGTGACAAAGGCAGGAGATGAGCTGTAACCAGTATGTCATCCAGGAAAAGTTCTCACGGACCGAAAACTTGAAAATATCAGCTTTTCGACTGGCTAAAGCTTGTCTGTGTGGATAGAGCTTGACTAGATAGTGACTACGGATACGTACACGTGTGATTGAGGTGTATGTTGATGCGCATGAACTTCCAGAATAAATTTCCAGAATAAATTTTTCATTCTAAGACGGCATCCTGTCTTGTTCCCTACTTTTCCGATTTTCAACCTAAGGGAACGCAAGTTCACATTTTGCACTCTTGAATACTTGGTAGACGTTTTATTCAAGTAAAGGTGTTTTTTTCTTTCGGACGTAAAAGTTGCCGTAAGATGCGGGTTCGGCGTGAAACTGCGCCATATAACCAAGGCTTCTAATAAATTATTTCTATGGGGATTAAGCAGGAACTAAACCGATTTATCCTAAAAGACTGGTCGTCTTGTGGTTTCATATATATATAGATACGTATACATATACGGTGAATGACGCCGGCGGCAAAATCCAGCCAAGAGTGTTCATATAATTTCTATCACAATAAAATAAAAAAAAGAACAAGAGAAGTAAGAAAAAGACGTGAGAAAAAAAATATTTAAAATATTAAAACTTCAATAAGAATGGCAACACCAGCACTATCTGTAAGCCAAAAATGAAGGCCTGTGAGGGCGCTTTTGGGCCTCCAAGATTTAGGTGCACAATGTCTGAGGATGCCACGTGCCACTGATGGCTGATCCTGACCAATTGGCGGCACTGTGGGAACGCCTGTGGTTGAGCTGTCGCGGCAGTGCGAGCAGCACCTATTTGATCCTGTGCAGTAGCACACGTTTGTATGAAACATCACGGGGAGAAAAGCGGTTCGTAACAACTGTACTCCATTCCATTTTAGGATAGTGGGCGTTGGTCAGAATTTCTGAGAAATTCGTATCGCCCCGAAATTAGTTTGAGCCGTGATCGTATCATCAAGGTCTGTAATAAATTTCTTGTCAGGTTGGTACAGTGGGGATAGCGCTGTTGATCGTGCACTGTCGCTGCCCCACTGCAGTGTCTTGCATGAGTGGGATGTTTGCCGAATGTGCACGTTGATTGCACTCAGTGTGGGAAGCCACTGCAAGCCGCGCTGTCTTGGGACTATGGTGTAAAAAACGATTTAGGTGTGGACACTTTCCGTCCGATGCGACGGAGAGCACGTCCAGATAATGTCTGGCTTTAGTACACGCGTCGGCCACAGTTTTGTGGGGAGCACTGTGACATTCGGGCTTTAGAAACTTGAGTCCGACGAAGTGAACACTCGTTTTTAATTTTTTTTTTCGTGCCTCATAATATATACTTTTTAAAACTGTGAGCGCTAGCAACTAGACCTAGAAACAAATGCCACATTTTTTGGGACCAAAAAACACCACGTCCGGCAAATGCCGCAATTAGCTGCACGGTGTAAAAAAAAAAAAAAAAAAAAGATTACACTTCTAACGCACCGTTTTCACGGTTCAATGCTGTTACGGACACCATGCACATAGCTAGTCTTCTACAGTCCATGCGCCGGCAGCAGTTGCGACATGGGGGGCCAAGAAGAGGTGAAAGAGCCGAATGACATCTGGACGCGCCGGTTGGCGGAGTGTCCACACCTAGGAAAATTAATTTTTTTACACTTCGCTTATGACAATGCAGGCACGTCGGGACTCCTTGTGCACTGCATCTCCGGCTGGGACCGGACGCCCCTGTTCATCTCGCTACTACGGCTCTCGCTCTGGGCGGACAACAAGATCCACCCGAACCTGTCACCCCTAGAGATGGCCTACCTCACGGTCGCCTATGACTGGTTCCTCTTCTGGTGCGTCAGCTGCCCTGCACTGGCTCACCTTCCTTCTCTGGCGAAGCTTGTTATGGGTCGCACATTTCGGTGGTGGTAGTGGCATAGGACGCGAGAAAGCCAGCAAGCGTACAGTAACTAGGCCCTTGATCGCATAGAGTGTCTTAAAATTAACTAGAGGGGACTTCGGCACTGCGATCGTTCAGTGACTGTAGGAATGGTAGGTAGTACAGGAATTCGCCTAACCTCCGTACGTGCGGGCCTCGAACGCACTTGTGGCTTTGTTCATTGCTGTGTTCTTGTTTTGTTTCGAATGAAAGAACGAACTGGTGGGAACTTTGTGACCTGATTTGAAATGCTGAGCCTAGAAGGTTAAGGTGGTGAAGTGCAACTGCTGAACATTTGCTGATTTTTGTTTCATGACGAAGCTGCTCCAAAGGCAGAGCCGAAAGTACGAAGATTAGATAAATCCGTATTCTACCCATCATTCCCATGCTTGCAGAAGCGTCGTACGTTGCAGCTCCCATCGACACTAGCGCCATAGTTCCCTCTTGTGTATTTATAGGAAACTCTGTGCCTGGCGGTGCACCGGCCGCTCACATATTTGTACGCGCCGTTTTCACAATAGCCGACACTCTCCCAATCGTGGGCTTGTCGGCGATCTGTCGTTTCTTATACGACAATGGGATCTTTTATTGTCGTTTCGCGCTGCCTCGTTTCATTGTTGCCTAGACATGAATGAATGACTGTGGTTGTTGCTCGTAGAACTGAAATCTGTTGCCCTGCTGAGTGCATGGCCGAAGGTCTGATTCCCAGCATGGAACAGCCAGGAGGGGGCATTATGCAGTGTTGTAGAAAGAAAGCAAGAAAGAAAAAAAGAACAGTAGTACGCCAGGCGTTCACATGAGGCTCGTTCGCTTTCCTCCGCTTTCCCGAAAGGGTGAGGGCTCCTCTGGTAAAAAAGCCATCTGCCTGCCATGAATTTTGGCCAGTGAGAAAAAGCGTTCCTCATTTCATTTCCGAAATTGTGCTTTTGTGGAGTTCCTCCCCGGGCTTTCATTACCACTGGAAGCGGCAAAGTACCAAATGGAAAGCATTACTTTGACACACAACTTTTTCTAATTCGTTCTCATTACATGAAATGGGAGGAACTGAGATTTGACAAATGTGTTGGGAGATCTTCAGTAGCGTGAAACACCGCTACTCACGGTCTTTTTTTTTGTTTCTGTTGCGTTGCAGCCACGATTTGCGTGACCGGTTAAGCAAAGGAGAAGAGGTAAGTTGTCGTCAAGCACCACTGTGCTCTTTCCGTTATGTATTACCACAAATGTTGGCTCGGCTAGAAAATTTTCTGCATTAAATGTTTCTCAAATTTGTAGCAACCGAATGAGATAGTGGGGGGAGGGGAGAAGAGGAGGGCCGGCACTTTACCTGACTTGTAGTTCTGAAGTTTAGCAGTGCAAAAATTGAGGCTTGCCATTGCTTCATGAAAGAAAGCGGAGTTGTATGGTCCTGGGATTTAAAAAAAAAAAGAAAAAAAAACGGCTTTTCGTAAGGGGACCCCCTTACATCCATTGGCGTCGCCATGTTATCATGATATCGCTGCCCACCGCCTTTGCGCTGCGCTCATGAGAGGAATCGCAAAGCAGCATGAATTGCAAAGCAGCATGCTTTAAACGGACACGCGGTCCTACGTGAACCCGCTGGTCCATTTCTGTTAAGAGTGTTTATATCTAGAGAGGCGAGCTTGAACAGGCTGTTTGCACTAAATGGCAAGCCACCATTACTTCTTCAAACTGCATAGCAGGAAAGCCAACTTAGCAATTTTGAAAAGGGTTCACTGTCACGTTGTCAAGACCTCCTCATCAATTCTTTGCAGATCTTCTACTTTTGTTTCAACATGCTCAAGCACCTCGACACAGAGGAGTTTTCCATACTCTCACTGTAAGCATGCACTCGACTGTGGGTGAGATTTTCGCAGCTCTGGTTTGTGCAAGGTTTCATGTCTCACGGCGTGCTTTCTTGAATCTTGCAGAAAAATGCAGAGGGAACGGAGGAACACGTCGGAAAGCAACCTTGAAAGCATATTTTTAGGTAAGTAGAGTGCAACTTGAAAGGGACACTATGCTTAAATGTCGATATAACGAACATGGATATAACGAAATACTGGCTTTAACGAAGTGAATGACAAAATAGTCTTGCAATAAATATAGTGTTAGGAATAAACCTGTATAATGAGTTTTAAGATATAACGAACTTATCTCTGTGTAAGATGCAACTTTGTTGTAATGAGGTTTGCGTGTAAAGGCAAATGACAATTTATGTCAGAGTGGAAGCTCAATGTATGACGTCTAAAACGGCAATATTATCAACAGCTGTGCTCAATTTACAAATAAATTAAGCTAAATGTATCGCTCGACATGCGCCACGAGTAGAACATTTGCGATATGATCCCGATGATGTGAGAGCATCCAACTACACTTAATCACTAGTAATAAGACCAGCTGCAATAAAATAAAAACTTTTTGTGCATCAAGAGACAAAATAAAATGCTGCTTGTTCATTTCTGTTTGATATATAGAAAAAAGAACTGCCCGGCATCGCTATGGGGGAATGGTACAAGTGGGTCAAGAGTTAAGTTTTCGGTTGGTTAGGCTGGTTAAGTTCCGCCATTCAGCAATTTGAAGTGGGTGATTTTAAGTGCGATAACGTGATGCGGACCATTAGAACACAATTTTGTCTCAAAATAAGCACTTAATTAGCACTACAAGGTTTCTGAACCACTATTTCAACAATCAACGTTGATTGATATGTGGGGTTTAACGTCCCAAAACCACCATATGATTATGAGAGACGCCGTAGTGGAGGGCTCCGGAAATTTCGACCACCTGGGGTTCTTTAACGTGCACCCAAATCTGAGCACACGGGCCTACAACATTTCTGCCTCCATCGGAAATGCAGCCGCCGCAGCCGGGATTCGAACCTGTGATCTGCGGGTCAGCAGCCGAGTACCTTAGCCACTAGACCGCCGCGGCGGGGCAACAATCAACGTTAACTTAATATTTGCCTTTAGTGTCTATTGGTTGCATGTCTATGTTTTCTTCGGTAGCGTATGTGTAGTGTCACGGATGGTCTAGTGTCACTTGAAGAACTGACAGCCAGGCTAAGGCTAGTTTTTCTTCATTCATCTTGCTTTGCAAACATGGACAACAACAAGAACATGCACAATGCAGAACAAAAAGCATTGTTCATATACCCTTCTTGATTATGTTACTTTGCATGGTACAAGTCATTTCAGAATGTGTTGCAGTACTATTGGTGATTCTGGAGTTGAATGTGAATATGTGAAGTCTGATGTACCTTCTATGCGTACTTCAACATGATGTACACCGTATTTCACGTATAGGTGCACCGTATGTGTATGAGATACACCGTGTACAAGGTTGACCATGTGTTACGACGTGTAATCTGTGCAAAGTGCACAGAAAATTCTTTGTTAAGGAAAGAGCCTAGGTTATACATGAATTTCAGTGTGAAAGTTGTCTTCACGGCACTGCATCGTGGCATGCAAAAAAAGAAGGCTTTGGGGCACTGCGCAGTGATCTCTCGCCTCTTTTTTTTGTGTGTGTAGTTGGAGGTGTGTGCTACGTGCACGAGTAGATTGTGCACGAGAACATATGGCTGGCTCCTCGTAGCATGTTTCACTGCGTAGTGGTTCTTTCAGTGTGCCTTGCCACATGACACCTCTGCATTCGTCATTGACACAAGGGAATGACATGCCTATAGAGCCAATGGGGACTGCAATTTGGAAGCGACGGTAGTGCCATCTGGGTTCTGTATGTAATCGTAAAAAGATGGAAAAACTACTATTTTACTGATCTGTCAAAAAGTTTTTGTTATCTTCTACACATAAATATCTTTTTTTGAACCAATTATAACTAATAATATTGTTTGTATAATTTATAACTGCGTATAAAATGAAATAGGTTTCAAAAGCACCAGGGTGTTTCGATATGACGGCTGGCCTTACGCATAGCAGACGACATTTTCATCGTCTGCTTCTGCGTCATGGCTGACCCCCGCTCGTTGTAGCAGCCCTCTTTCTCAATTTCTCTTCTTTTATTGCAGTAAACTGCTTACTATAAGCTCATAAGTGTCTTGCATGCTTACTTAAAGGGGCCCTGCAACATTTTATGAGCATGGTCAGAAAATGCTACCGATCGGTAGTGGGGGCTCCCGACAACACGCGAGCCAAATATAGCGCAGCATGCAGCCTGGAATTCACAATAAATGATCAGTCAGCTAAAAGTAGCTTTCTCTTCTCTCGACAAATCACGGAATAAGCCCAAACATCACTCGTAGTAAGCCCATCTATCAGCCATTGACTGATTTGAACATGGCGCGCTCGGTTGTTACAGAAAATGCCGCAAGAGGCCGTCACTTGTCCACGTATGCGCAAGCGATCGCTCTAAAAAAGCTGGGTATTCGAAGAAAAAAGAAGGACAAATTGTTCAAGTTCACGAGGCGCAAATGATGTTTTTTGTTTGCCCCTCCCATTCCTTCCTGCTTTGCTTCCAGCGCTTTCGTCGGAACGAGAGAATGCTATTGCAGCATGTGACAAATCTTTGTAACTCCGCTCATACTGGAGGGATTTAAAAAATTTTTGCGGCATTGAATTTGTGAAGTAATATGCGCTTCAAGTGAATTAATTCCATGTTTACTCAAATAAGTGTTTCAGGGCCTCTTTAAGCAAGTTGTGACAGGCCGGGCTATATGCATCGCTGATCATACTAGCTTAGCTTGCAGCAATAAATTTTTTTATTGTAAGTCAGGCGATCAATGTTTACATAAAATAAAGGCCACTTAAGTAACATTTTAGCACGTGCAGCAGTGAACAATGTGCATGCATCAGCGTTCATGTGCAAAGGAGGTACATACTATGTATAGCCCCAACGCAGAAGGCCGAAGCACAGAAGCTGTGCTGGCTGATATATCCATCGCACTCCACAAAACCTTCGATACAGTAAGTAAAGATATACCGCTTACGTCCCTGCACATGTGTAGCTCAAGATTTCGCAACACCTCGTTGACAGTAGTATTCGGTAAACTTTTTGCAATTGATATCAACATAATTGCGTGCCTTTTGAACGAGCGGTGCAACAAGACTGTTTGTTTCTCGGTCTGCGCTGCTGCCAACTAAAGTGCGTCACTTTCCAATTTTCTATGTTTTCGCACTATGCATGCTTCTGAATGCCTAAAATTAAATAAGAAACTGTTTTTATGCTTACCATTCTTAGGACTTGCAAACAAATTTATCAAAAAAAAAAAGGCTTCTATCGGTTTCGTTTACCTACGCCGGCGGTGCGCTGTCCTCGTTTTTATGGTGGGGACTCCTCACGGTGTGGCCACATAGCTCGCAACATGCCATGGGCCCGGTTAACACCTCTGCGTTCATCATGAGACCTCTGCGTTAGTGAAAAGAAATGTGTCATTGTGGAGCATACTATGAATTTTTTACACTTTGGAATTGAAAAAGAGATCTATAGTCGCTATTGATACTTAATTTGCCAGTAGTGATACTTTATAGTGAAAGCTGTTATGAGATCACAGCTTGGGTCACACGCAGTTGTCCGCCGCCGCCACCGGTGTTCGTAACCACATGCCGTGAAATTAGAAAAAAAAACCTAGCAGCAATGACACAGTGGGACTCGAACCGGGGTCCGCTGAGTGCCAGCCCAGTATTGTACCACCGAGTTACGCAGGTGCTTCTAACTTGTTGTCAAACTTGTCTTAGGCAGGCTTGACCGAGCACCAATGACACAGTGGGGCACGAACCTGGGTCCGGTGGGTGCCAGTCCAGTATTCTACCACTGAGCTACACCGGTGCTTGCGACTTTTTGTCAAACTTGCCTTAGGCAGGTTTGATGTTGGGAAAGAAATCGCGTTAATATGACTTATAAAGCGTTTTAAAACAGCGAAAGAACAACCAGTCGTCGCACAATGCGAATAGCGTAATGAGTGGGCCGTCCAATGCTCCGACCCATCGCAAAAGCTTGTTCTTGTTCCCCTATTAACTGTGGCGCATACCCACTTCAGCCATAATTCCTCATTGTCGTCAGCCACTGCATGAACAATTGGCACAAAATTCCTTGCAAGTGTTTAGCGGATACCATGCTTCTCAGAAGAATGACGACGCATCTCAGAAGAACAGTAGTATTGTGTCACTATGCTATAGGGTTGCCACCTTTTCTCGATCGAAAAACCGGCCCTTCTACGAGGGAGGGTGAGGGATGAGCTACCAGGAGATTGAACTAGTGATGAACAATCACAAGCACGCTCAAGACTATGCGAGGTCTTAAATGTGCAGTGCCATTTGATATAACGTTGCTTTCCTTGAGCCAAACCTAATGTGAAAGCAGAAATGGTGCTTTGAGCTAGCCTACTAGGCTAATTGCTGGCATAAGAATATCCATGAATAGAGTGACGCTTCATTTACAGCTTTGAATAAAAAAAATGGCCAATGACGGTGGGCGCGGACTAGCAACCGGCCCGGTGTCTTGAAAATCAGCCGAGCCGGGTGAAAACCGAACAGGTGGCAACCCTACTATGCTGCCATGCATGTTTACAACTAGCCACCCATTCTGAAATGCGAGTGCAGGGCTCGTTTTTTTTTCTGGTGCAGAGGAAGAGATGCGCGGTAGCAATACGAGCCTCAACAGTAGCTGCAGCAGCTCTACGAGCGGCTGGAGCCAAGATGTGCCACCACTCTACTTTCCGGTGCCTGTGGACTCCGGTGATGAGTACCCCCTGAGCAACGGGCAAGTCGGTTGACCTTCTCATCACTTTTGATAGCCGTGAATTCAGTGAGGCTGTCTGTTTGCGTGTAACTAACTTACTTTCCTTGAAGAGCTTCAGTATTTCTTTCACGATCGGAATTGATGTCAGTGATAACTTGTTTGTCGTCTTTTTACTGCACACTTGACACATTCGCCGTTTCTCGACTCGTTCTGGAGCAAACTCCTTTCACTTTATGGTTACGGATGTAAAATTCTCATATTCGTGGCAAAGTCAGCACAGACAAAAAAAAATTCTATTGACTGTTGTGTTTGGTTTGCCCAAGTGTTTCTTGACCCTAAGTTTCTCTTTTTTTTTTTTCTTTCTGTGCAAGCAATAGTGTGAATGAATCATACCCATGGGTGGGTATGTGCTACAGGTGATATACAGTTCATGTACTCGGGAATTAGCAAAGCGAACAAATACGGGTAATTTCAGCATGTGAGCATTAAGGAAAAGCTGAAATGTGCAGCGTTGACCCGACAAATGCAAGTAATAAATGTGAGGGTCTCTGCAGGAACCGAACCCCAGCATTCTACATGCCAATAATTAAGTGCTCTACCACTGAGCCAAGCCAGGTGTCGGAGCTACTTTTCAAATAGACCCTAATGTTCACGAAATGTCAATTGTGGTTGTAGTACTGGGTATTCAATTTTATAAACATTACATATGTACTTTTACAATACAGTCATCATGTTAGGTTAAGGTCAATTGTAGCTAAACGCCATCCGCTGAAGCTGATTTATGGAGCACTGTCCATGGCTACCAACCTTGCGAGCACAAGCGCTACATACCACCTTACGGCTTCTGGTGTTGCCGATACCTATGCGACTCTTTGCATTGTTACGCCACTGTGAACAACCGCTTATGTAAAACATATGCAACAGTTCAGCTTATGCCTGTGTGTAAAACATTTGTTAATATCTTCAGTCTCACTTAGTAACGTTACACTCAATAAAAAAATGACAAGACAGTCGCTTTCCATCCGCATGCTTCAAATTATACATCGATTCGCAAGGTATGTGGGATCTGCCGAAATTTCATTTGTATCTTTCTCATTTTGTCAATCATGCACAAGATGAGGATTTTTGTTCACTACCAACGACACCGATGCCTGAATTCCTGTGAAAAGAGCTCTTCAACCTTATCTCGTTAATATACAATTACAATAAATGGAACAACTGCTGAAATGCAGCAAGTTTTTTTTGACAAGATTTGTTTCATGCTTGTATTCTGCACCCTTGTCCATCTCTCGGTAGGGGGAACTCCTGATAAACGGAACCTATTTTACTGGTCCCTTCAGGTTTCGTTTAATGAGAGTCTACTGCACTTAACAAGAGAGGGATAGGAATCACAGACTGACAACAAAATCACCGAAATGTATGCTGTAACCCGTCATGCTGTGTTGCATTGTCTGCAGGAACTACGTGTGCCCCGGTAGAAATGGGGCTGCCACCCCTCCCACGATGACCAACAGCAGCGAAAGTGCGGCCAGTACCGTGACCAATGGCCAGGGATCTGTGCCACCCAGCAGCCCAATGGCAGTGCCCGCGTCGTTACGTCATCGGTCCGAGAGCTCCTCTTCTGTCAGTGCCGGCAGGTAAGGCATTTGAAGTAGCCATTCGTTGTATAGCAGTGCATCATAGGTTACCACTGGCGTTATTTTCTAGCTGTCACTTACAGGGATATGGGGATCTCTTTTGTAAGGGAGGCGTTAGGGGGACTGAAGTTCATGAAAAGGCCAGAGAAAGCCGCAGAGGACTAGTCCAAGCTCGTCTGTCGCTCAGACGACCGAACGTGGCAGTGATGTCTATAATTTAGCCAAAGATTGGGCACAGAACGGACGGAGGCCCCATTCTGTTGGGTAGAACAGATACAAAATGGGCACTGAATGACTTGGATTGGATTTACATGTAAACGCCGGGGCCAGAGAATCAAATTAACTTGCTTTGTGTCCGGCTTACCACAATCCCGCGCTGATAGTGTGCGAAAATCACAACCAGCACCCAACAACCATACAGCTCGTCGAATTGCGACATCACCCAGCGTCCATTCGAAAAATTTAACATGAATTGTTGGGGTAACCGTGCTCTTCAATCTCAAGCTTTGAGGAACAATGCCTGTCAATATTAATGTTCAACTATGATGATTCTACATTTGTTCACTTGCTGAAAAAATCAATCCATTCTCTCAGCTCACCTATGGGCTTCTTGCTCCTTTTAATCTTCTCGTGATGTTTCGTTCCATCAATGCCTTTGTTCTGTGACAGAAAGCTTACAAAATAGCCCCCATGATCAGTTTGGTCAGATCTTGCACCAGACATATCAATGCATATAGGTGGCTGAATTCGGAGCACTCTGTGAAAATTTCAAGCTTGTCCCAGAAAAACGGGTTCTGCTGTTATCGGCAGGCAAGCTTAGTATCGATTCGCATGAAATCTCGTGAGAGCGTCTGTATTTCGGAGTGTGGTAGCTCTGGAATACCGCTGCAATGCAGCTGCCACAGCAGCTTACCATGTAAGGCGTCATGCTGCTAAGCCCAAAACTTGGATTCGATTCGTGACTACGGCGGCAGCGTTTTGATGTGGGAAAACATCGAGAACACCCTTGTACGTACTGTATTTACCTGCATAATCCTCGCACTTTTTTTCCAGACAACTGATTAAAAGTTGGGGGGGGGGGGGGGGGCAATAAATATGTGAAGAAAATTTTCTGTGAGGACGCATGGAGTGAAAGAAAAAAAAAAAACAAACAAATAAAAACAAGTGAAGTGTCCGCAAATCCAAATTGTCACACAGTGGCGGCAAACCACAATTCTAACTCTAGATTATAACTACAAGCTTTGATGAGTACTCATCAAGACATACCTTGACAACAAAATCATAGGCTCAACACAAGGCAAGAATTATTTGAGACACAAAAGCTGCAAGCTAACACTGGAGTTTTGGAATACCGTACACATGGCCTGTGGGCATTGCGGGAGCAGTGTTAGCGTTCATTACTGCATCGAAGCCCACAAAAGGTTAGCGTACGACGTCAACTTTGGGCTGATGGCCATTTAACATGGAATCGTCCATAGTTGCCTGTTGAGGAAATAAAAACCTTTATTTCGTCTTGGGTACACAGATGGCCTAGCGCTTCACCAGCAGCGAATACAAAGTTCGTCGACTCCAAAGTGCCTACCAGCAGCCATGTAGCTTGCGTATCATTCCAGAGCGAAACCACAGAACCGACACTACGTACATTAACATTACTATCATGTCGCAACGCGCACTTGCCACTTTTGCTTGGCTTGGATATAATTGGGGCTCCGTGCGTTGACAGTACACATACTACTTTAGAGAAGGCGCCAGGTTGTTGTGCGCTATCATCACTTATTATGCAGCAGACGACGTTTTGGCTGAAATTTTTTACGATAATTACTTGTAGGAAAAAATTTTTTATTTTTATTGGGCAATGGTGGGGGGAGGGGGGAATTATACTAGTGTGAGGATAACACGAGTAAATATGGTGTATATTCAGGTCCATGTTAGAAGCCTTAGGGGTTCAAAATTAATCTGGAGTCCCCCATTATGGTGGGCCTCATCATCATAGAATACTAGGAATTATATAATTTTACTATAACTTTCTTGGAGAGGAACGAAAAGGGTAAGAGAAGTATGTGATATCATCATTGATTATATGAACAGCACAATAGACAAGGATAGAGGAAGTTGAGAACACATACACATCGCTGTGTGTTATTTTCCTCTGTCCTTGTTTGTCGCGCTGTTCGTATATTCAATTATGTCCTACCAACTTGTCCGAGTTTCCACGTGATGTATTCTAACAAAGAGCTCAAACCGATGAGACCACGTTTTCACTTTTTCAATGATACTTTCTGCTACAGTAACTTCGGTTTCTCTTGTGGTTGGGTGTGTGTGTGTTGATATGTGAGCATGTGTTCTGATTTTAGGCTGGTAAATGTAGTGTTTGTTATCTGTCCTCTCAATTTATTATCGATTAACTATGCTAATTTGATTAGTTACTTGAGCATACTGATTAATTTTCCTGTTTGGAATACTTTACCAAATCATAGAAGGAGCCGTAGTTCAAGCTGGCATATTTCATTAACAGTCAGGACATCACTGAAACAGGATGGTGTCGTCAAGCATTAGGTTACTGTTTCTGGGCTATAGGCAGTTATGTGCATTCGTTGATTCAGTGGAAAGTGTGTGCTATGCTTGGGCATCAAAAGACACCACATTGGAGAAAATGGAGAAAAGTTCTTCTCTAGGTGTCAGTGTCACTCCCCATTTTCTTACTCTTGATTTGCAAGTTAAACATTGTTTACACTTTTTTGTCATCTCACCCTAAGTGACTTGTATTCATGTCATAATCATTTAAAAAACAAAGAGAATAGATTTAGATACATGGCAAGGTAAATGCTTCAAGCAACAACCGTCATACCAATCTTATCTGATTGATCATTTGCCAATTGCACACTAGCTCATGGTCATCAGGGAAGAACTTAAAATGGGAATTGATGAGGGGCAGCTATTACCAGGCACGCCGTATACCTAATCTTCAGACCTTTCTGTGGGAATTTCTGTCGTTCGTCCCTTATCGCAGTGTGTCTTTCTAGCTTCGTTTTTTTTTTCTGCCATTTCGTACAGTCTCATTCATTGACAGTCAGCATTCCTTGAACTGGTATGCCGCTTGCCCGTGCTCCCCCGCCCCTCCCCTCCCTGTTTCTGCTTGCCTCGCCAGTTGGCAGATCATCAACGGGACGGGCTCCGTGCGCAGCTCAACATCTGCCCGGGACTCTCCCACGGCTTGGGAACTCAACCGGAATTCTTCGAGCAGCCGGAGTAGCCTGTGAGAAAGCATGATTCCATCTACTCCTCCCCTTACTCCCGCTCATTACTCCTTTCAAGTTGTCCTTGCCCTCTCTCCTTATATTAACTCTTCGAGAGCGTCCACATGGCCTTCTTCTCTGTCATCCTCTGAACTTTCGTTGCTGCTCGTCATTCTTGCTACTTATCAACTCCCAGCGCCTACCACAGTCCTCCATGTACGTTTTCCTCTGCGGTGTAGTTTCTGCTTGCTATTCTTTATGCTTTGTTCTCTATGACTGCTTCCTTTCTTGTGCACAGTTTGTCTTCCTAATGTCTTGAAAAGAGGAAACATTCTTGAACAAGGGGTGTTGCTGAAGCCTGTCTTTACAAGTGGTCTTGTTTTTTTCAAGGCATCTTCAAAAAAAAAGGAAAATTCTTGAACAAAAGCTGAAGAGGCTGCTATAGCACTCGCCACCCAGACGAGTGAGGATCCTATTGGGGCCTTTACTGACTCACAAACAGCGACACAGAACTACCTGAAAGGCAGGGTCTCCACGGTGGCGATTAGGCTACTAAAGCACATGGACCATCTTCCCTACACATGCATCGCGTGTATTCCGGGTCACGAAGGTCTCAAGGGAAATGAAGCGGCACACATCGCAGCCAGCGAATGCGTCAATCGGGCATTCACGTACGAGATCCGAGGCACCTCCCACTCAACAACAGAACCAAAGGCAAGAGAACCTGTACCACTAGCGTATCATGCATTACTGCAACATTATCGGCTCGAACGCAGGTCATACCCTCCGCCAAATCCAAAACTCACAAGAGACGAAGGCTCTGACTGCAAGCGTCTTGAAAGCAACACGTTCACCCACGGCGTACTTTTGCACCATATGAGGCCAACGTTGCACAGCTACATCTGTCCTAACTGCAATGTGGCAGACACTTTGGTGCACCTCCTACTGCAGTGAAAAGTAAGCGTCCCAAGGCTACAAGCAGCAGCACGAGATGCGGACCAAGACCTCCTCAGTGAAGTGTGGTAGGCTGCGATCTCTCAGCTGGACTTGGTCGAGCAGCATCGACTTGTCACTCGAACCCGGTCGGCTGTCCAGGCCAGAGGGTTCACTCTAAAAAAATATCGAGTAAAAAGGGTGTCTTTTTGTCCCACAACAATAATCGTCATCAGGCTTGCGTGCGCTTCCTTTCTCGAAAACTCGGCACTGGCCACTTTCCTTTCGAGAATGCAATGTAGCCCTGATAATGGGCATGTCGATCGTGACCGGAATGTACCGGGCACAGGGCGATAGCGCAAGGATGGAACGCAATATAGATGACGATTATTGTTGTGGGACAAAAAGACACCCTTTTTACTCGCTCTTTTTCTAGAGTGTTCGTAGAATAAGGGGCCCTCCCACCTTCACTCACAAGCTTAATTCAATAAATGTTTTCTTTCTCTCTCTCTCTTGAACAAGAAGTGTTGCTTTAGCTTATCTTGACAAGTGGTCTTGTCTTCTTGAAGGTAACAACAGCTGCTGCTTTGAGGAAGACAAGACCACTTGTTGAAATGGCTTCACATTTGCTGGTCTGACGTAGTAAGCCCAGCTGTTGAAGTGACACCACATTTGCTGCCTTGAATAAAACAAGACTATTGTTGAAACAGCTCCACAGTTGCTGCTTTGAAGAAAGAAGCAAGACCACTTGTCAAAACAGCTCCACAGCTGCTCTCTTCAGGGAGACAAGACTGCTTCTTAAAGTGACTCCACATTTGCTGCTTAGGCCGTTTGTCAAAACGACTCCACAGTTGCTGCCTTGAATAAGACGACAAGCCTTATTGAAATGGCTCCACAGTTGCTGGCACGAAGAAGCAAGGTCATTTGTAAGAACGGCTCCACAGTTGGTGTCTTGAAGAAGACAAGACTGTTTGTTGAAATGGCTCCACAGTTGCTGCCTTGAAGAAGCAAGACCCCTTTTCAAAACGTTGGCTCCACAGCTTCTACCTTGCAGAAGACAAGACCGCTTGTTGAAACAACTTCAGTTTGCTGCTTTTAGGAAGCAAGACAGCTTGTCGAAACGGCTCCACAGCTGTTTCCTTCAAGAAGACAAGACTGCTTGTTGTAACGGCTCCACAAATGCGGCCTTGAAGAAGTGAAAAGACAAGACAACTTATTAAAACTGCTCCACATTTCCTTCTTTAAGAGGCAAGACCACTTGTCTAAAAGTTGGCCCCGGAGTTGCTGCCTTGAAGAAAACAAGACGGCTTGTTGAAACGGCTCTGCATGTGCTGCTTTGAAGATGCAAGGCTGTTTGTGGAAACGTGGCTGCAGTGACACCCCGTGTTTCGATGCTTTTGCCACTGCTTTCATATTTTTGTTGCTTCAGAAAAATAAGAGGCACTGCCAGTCCTAAGCATGCTCAGATAAATCTTGTGGTGGTTTTCTTTTCCATGACAGCATGAATATCCCATTGGTAGATGGCAGTTGCGTTGTCTGTTTTCTTCCTTTTGTGTCTGTGTATACACGTGGAATTTTATGTCGACGATGAATTTTTAATAATTGAAATTTTTGTCATTCTAATCCAGCTTATCTGATCAGTTATGTAATCTTATGGCAGTTGAGTAATGTTTGGCCTTTTTTCAAGTTACGAAAGTGCCAGATTTTAGTGTGTGAAGCAGTGGTTTGCAGAGAGCCACTGTCAGGTGAGTGCTTTTAAGTTTAGGTGTCATTTCCTTGTTATCCTTCCAGAAGCAGTCGTCACCTAGACACTCCCGCAGACCTTCCGGACAGGACGTTACCGCGCAGCAAGTTTCTGCAGCGTCGGCGTGACCGGTTGCAAGAAGTGCGCCGCATCGTCAGCAACATCTACCTGAGTATAGTGGCGGACCGGCTAGCCACTCCGCGGACGGACGGCATCAGCAGAGTTCTACAGAGCTTCTACTCCTAGTGCCACTGCGTCACAACGGCTCTTAGTGGGAAGACGTTTCGCTCCGTAACGTGATGGATTCTGCCACATGCTGTCCGCGGCTACATGCATGCGGAAGATGCGATAACACAGTCGTACGGCACTGCGTGCCAGCAATTGTTCGTTGTTCAGGCTTCTGCCAACAATCTGCCAAACGAAGACCTCTGGAATGATGTGTTGACCACTTCGTACAATTCTCATAGTAACAAAGGACAATCCAAGATCGCGGGTTGTGTATATGTGCGTGTGATTGCGGGTCATCCTATGCAAGGGCCGGGGGGAAAAAAAAGTTACCTTGTTTCAAAGCTTCGGTTGTGGTGCTGTGATGGCACTTCAGGGACTGCATTCCACGTATCGAAGTGCAGAGGACGTAGTCCGCAGTCTACTTGTCAGTGCTTTCAGCTAACCGCAACGCATAGAGTGGGCAGAGTACTGAGGAGCGTGTGATTGAGAGATGCACCGACCGTCATTCTGCTAATTGTAGTCTGCCTATGAGAAAGTTGTACTTTGAAGGCATGACCTGTACGTTTTGGATGAGAACGGCTGGACAGGTATGTTGTGGGGCAGCTCTGTCGTCTTGTCTAGTGGCAAATGATGAGTTGCCTCTTCTGGAAACGAGTTCTCGGTGCTCGTCTTTGGAAACGGGAAGGTCTTGCTCTTGTGCAAGGGTACCGGTGCTCAAGGTTATCGATTAGTACTCAAGGTTACCGATTCATGTGCAGTTTGTATTAGGAGCCGACGAGCGAGGAATGTTTATAGACCATTCAATTGTACATGCCAAAGATGGTTTCTTAATTAAGCTGGTGCAATTCATATAGCGTATTACGTGTATTTCTATCCCTTATTTTTTTTTTGCCAGGCAATGCAAAAATTATGGTAGCCGCCATTGTGGAAATGCTCGCTGTTCATAAAGTGCATGTTTTCTTATGCATTTAGACATTGTTAACGTTGGCATCATGTGTGTATAGATCAGGTGGTGCACTGCCCCAGTTTGCTGCCGCGCGGATAACCGCCTCTACCATGGCGCGCAATGTCTGGCTCGAATTGTTGCGTTATCTCAGAAAAGATGTCCTGTCCGCTGTTTTGTGATACGTGCCAGGCAGGTGCGCGCGATTTTAGAAAACGCTGTGAAACGTCTGAACAAACGCGGGCGCACTTGGCATGTAGGTGAAATGTGCCAGAAAGGTTCTACCCCTTTGTGCATTAACGAATTTTATAGCGTTTCATATATTTTTGTCGTGCGACCAGTCAGTAGCGGGCTGTCTTCAGCTGCGCAAGTGTTTATACTAGTTACATTGAAATGAGTGCGGAAACTGCCACGGAGACAGCAAGGCCGCGGTCGTAGCGAGTGGTGTGAGCCTAGGCGGTTAGCTCGTTGGTTTTCCCGTGTTGAGGACCACGCTGTTCTTTGCTCACAGTTGTTTGTATCTATCAGCAATGCAATTCCTCTTGTTTGCGTCTTTCTTTCGAGGACTGTTGACCAGTGCCAAAGGGTTGCGCTATTTCCGGCCAGATTCGTGAGCCGGGGAGAGAGCTAGTTATTCTCGAATGGGAGGCGTGTTCCGGTGAATGGCCCTTGCACCCGTTTTCGGGTGCGGTTCGCGCAAATGTGTGATTGCGTCCTCGAGTTTGTGTTTAACTGCAACCCTCCATGTAAGGCATCTTTCGGACTCACTCGGCATCTTCACAACACGCGTCCAGTGTTCGCCAAGAACAACGTTTCGACGCTACACAGCTGATCGTATTGTGACAAGATCTCTATATTCTTTGTATAATGTGCCTGATGTAAAGACAACATCGAATAATAGCCATGCCATCTCTAGGCTTAAAGGGACACTAAAGAAAATTTCTAAATTAGATTAGACTGATTTTCTGACTGTGTTAGAGCTTATCATTGCATTCTGCGCACCAGTTAATGAACTTTTTTTTTTGAAACATTCACTAAAAGACCTTGGTGCCATCGCTTAATTTGGTCATCCACGCCGAATGGAGGCCTTTATGTTGCCATCTTGGCTGCCGATTTCTGTGATTAGCAAGCATCTGAGATCTCTGAAAACGCAATGCTGTATACATATATGATTTACCATCCATTTATTTATTGTCAGAATTTTTGTAATTTTCATTTGTAAGTCCTAGTAGAAATTGAGCCATCAAGATGGAGGATGTGTTGTTGCACGAGGTATCCACGAAGTATGCCAGAGGGTGCCACTCTACTTTCTCAATTTGTTCATTTTCTCACAACACTCTGCTCTTGCCAGCAATGGCAAATTCGTTTCACACTAACCTAATCTTTCAATCTAGCTCAACTTAACATTTCTCTTTAGTGTCCCTTCAACTGGCTGTATGTCAAAAACGTCTCTCTACGATTGTTCTGGTGTAATGTTGTTGTGGGGAATGTGTGACATTCACTTGGACACATTGCTGAGGAGTTTTCTGGAGGTAAACACAGTCTCTGTACTTCAAGGCTTTACAGTTGCGCATTGTTATTGAACTTATGTCATGTGTTGAAGCTGAACTGCTAAAGTGTTGTCTGAATTCTCGAAAACACTACTGGATTCCAGAGATACATTAGCACATTCCTTTGGGGAGCTGTGTAGCGTTTCAGCAGCTACCTTTTATCTGAAAATCAGTTAGGCCTAGTGCTCTCGTTCGTTGAAAATGCATCATAGCGTATGGTCCAACATCGCGGGGGCAGTTTGACATGTGCGGCGGCTTCCAAACTTTCGACAAACACTGCTCATCTGTTGTTTGCCATGTTGCCTTGACGGACATTTTGGTGGTTCGCGCAAATGTTGCCCACCCCGATGCGGCCTTTTGAAAGAAATAGTTTCAGAACATTGTGGTTTTGTACCAGCAATGGTCGCGTGTTTGTTGAGCACGTGTTGCAAGGTGTCACTGCTTCCACATCGGCGCATTCGAACGTCGTTTTCATTCGGGCTGCGCATTTCCATACACTGCCATTTCGATATCAGAAGTGTATCGTATTTGCACAAATGTGACGCATGGGGGTGTCCAAGTTTTAATTAGAACATTGTGTAATGTAGTGTACAAGGTTCAATTCAATAAGTGACAGTAAATAATGTGGGCATGTTTGGAGGCTCTCAATGTAAAGCCACTGGCTTTGAGTGACGCAACATAGATTGCATGAAGCCCTCACTTTTCCATGGGAAGTAACTAAAGCACTCGGACGCAATGAACCACAGAGGTGGACATACTGCGTTAGACTCTCTCACTTTGTTGATTGAGTCTTGCAATTTGTGCATCACGCTTTGTGTGTGCGCATCTCATTTTTTTTTTCCTGAACAGTGAAAGGTTCTTTACCTTCCCCATAAAACCAAGTAAGTTATTAATGTAATGTTGTTTCAAAGTACAAATTGAAAAAATAGTTACTGCATGATGCTCCTAGGTACTGCTATACAGTAGACTCTCAGTAAACGGAAATCTGTTTAACGTAACTACTGCTTTAACGGAACTATTGCCTCTGCAACGCTTGGTTTCAGGCGCTCGTATTCTGCACCCATGTTCACCTACGGTAAATCTAACTCCTGCTACATGGAAAATACCTTCCCAGTTCCTTCAGGTTCCCTTTGCTGAGAGTCTACTGTATTACATGAAACTGAGCTTTGTTATGCAGTCATAAACTTGGTTGCAGTTGGCTTTCATTGCGAAAAGTAAGGAAACTGAAATTTGTGCCAGGCTCGTGAAATGGCGGTTGTCTGCAAAAGAACAAAAAGAGGAGCATTTTGTTCGGGCCAGTACAATTGTCTGACCGCTCTCATTAGGCTGTGACCAGTCGGCCATGAACTGCGCTATTTTATTGCGCGACTTTTCGGGCCCCTTGTCAAGCTGTATTCTAAGGCTTGGCTCGACTGCTCGGCGTGAGGTTAGCACATGCCAGAATTTTCTCGTACACACCTGGTCAGTGCATTCATTTTTGTGCTTTACAAGCACGTCCATTTGTACCGTGGCTTGAGAAGCTGCGGGTTTATCATCGTCATAATCAACTAGCATCGGTTGTGGCGATGCACGTTGATGAAAAAAAAAAGATCTATAAACCTTTAGTAATACTACTGGAGCCTCCTTCCATTTTGTATCTTCTGTTCCACTCGTAACCCATACATGCAAATTTACTTTTTTCCCGAGAAAGTTTGTCGAGCAACTTGTCACTAACTTTTGCAAAAAACTTGTGTGATGTTTTTTTTTTTTACACGAGCAATTTGTAATAAAGGTGCCTGAGCAGCGGCTCACTTTCTTAAAAAAAAAAAAAACAATGTCCAGCTGCTTTGTTTACTTTCTTGTTGTAGCACTTATTTTGGTGCTCAAGTTGTCGCCTTGACCTTGAGACGTCCTGTACATGAAAAGTTGGAAGATCTCGAGAGACATTCATTGGACTGTCGTCGGTGCATGCTCATCTCATGTGTTCTCGCATAACCATATCAATGAGAACTAACAGACAATAGAGCGAGAGAAAGAGGAAAGGTGGGGGTTATTAGAAGTAATTGTGATGTGAATGTGAAGAAAGAAAAGTGAATGAAAGGGTAAGTTTCCACCGATAGAATCCGAACCAGTGACTTTCGAATAACCCATTCTATGCTCTGTCACAGAACTGCGGTAGCTCAGTATCTCAATATTGTGTTTAAAAAGGAAGACGAGCCCTTAAGTTTACACTTTACTTAGCCAAAAAATATTTTTGCTGTTTTATTTGTTGAGTGGCAAGGAAACTTCCCAAGTCGCTGTGGTCTGCGCTATTTTAGCTTTCGATGATGGCACATCAAGTCGGCATGAACGGAAGTAATTTTTCCTCAGTGCAGTTGCTAGGTGCCTCATTAAAATCGGGAGAGTTGAGAGGTACAACATCCCGTTTAACGTGTTGGTGCGCGTGCTTGTGTGTACGCTTACATAACATAATCCAAATGTCAATCGCAGAGGGTGGGGGAGAGAGTTCCCCGCCTCCTCGATTTTGCGCTATGGTTACCCTCTAAGAGTGCCTGTGGACAGCTTAAAAGCTGTTCAGATATTTTGCTATCGGGATATTCCACATTGCATGCTCCTTGGACTATAGCCAAGTTAACTCGGAAAACAGACAGTGCGGTGCACCTCATACGCAGAGTGGCCAACAAAAGAAATGGGATCAAGGAAGACAACCTCATCAGGTTGATGCATGCGTTTGTTCTAAGTCACTTCACATACGAGGCAGCAATGCACAACTGGTCAAGAGCAGAGTCCGAGACACTGAATGTGCTCCTCAGGAAAGTTATCAAGAAGGTCCTGGGCCTACCCATACATACCAGCACCGAGCGTCTGCTTGAGCTTGGCATACACAACACGCTCGAAGAAATAGCAGAAGCCCAAGAGAGAGCACAGTTTGCAAGGTTATCTACTACAAGGTCGGGGAGAATGATCCTGCAGGAGCTGGGCCAACACCCAATAGCAATTAGACGCAATTACAATGATATCCCTGACAACATCAGGGAGACTATCACGGTATCTCCTATACCGAGAAACATGCATCCAGAACACAACGTCGGAAGAAGAGTAGCGAGGGCCAGGACTATACTTCGTCAAGTCTCAAACGAGGAACGAGGGGTCGTATTTGTTGACGCGGCTTCCTACGCCAATGGGAAAGCGTTAGTGGCAGTGGTAGTCGATGGGGCTGGCCATGTCGTCAACTCAGCGACGGTCAGGACGAAAGACCCAATCATTGCGGAACAAGTGGCCATCGCCTTAGCACTCAAGATGGATAACATTGAAGTGGTCTACAGTGATTCCATGGCAGCACTACGGGCGTTCGCCAAGGGGACGGTCTGTGAACAAACGCTAAAAATACTGCAAGGCAAGAACATAACACATCATCTTCTGAGTTGGTTCCCAGCTCACCTTGGACAAATCAACGATTCCCCTCCCAATCTCAACGAAGCAGCACACGAGGCGGCGCGAGAACTCTCCAACCGCGCCTCCCCGGGGATGCGTTCTAGCGGTGAAGGGGATAACCGGGAAATTCTTACAACATATAACGAGCTCACTAAACATTTCTACCTGTCTAGAAGGATTTTCCCTCCACCTCACAAAAATCTAACCCGGCCCCAAGTACTTACATTAAGGCTTTTGCAAACGCGGATGTACCCTACTTTGAAAATGTTACGCATCATGTACCCGGACCTATACCTAAGTAATCTTTGTCCACATTGTGGGGAAATAGCTTCATTAGAACACATGCTCTGGCAGTGCACCAAATTCGCTCATTTATCGCACATCACCTCTGCCAGATGGGAGGCGGCAATCCGCAGCTCGTCCTTGGCAGATCAGCTCTGGGCTGTCCGCCAAGCCCGCGAGGCGGTTGAGGAGCTTGGCATCTCAGTCCCCACGTGGGAGCTGCCCGCAACACAGTGATCTGTGTTTTGGAGGACCAAATAAAAGTTTATCCAATCCAATCCAATGCTCCTTGGACTTACGTGCCCACTTGCTAGCTAATGTGTTGTGCGCAAAGAATGGCCTTAGAATAACAGAGCTGAGCTCGTCTGTGTTCGTAATGAAGTCCGGTTTAAACTAGCCAAGGTTGATTGATTGATTGATATGTGGGGTTTAACGTCCCAAAACCACTATATGATTATGAGAGACGCCGTAGTGGAGAGCTCCGGAAATCTAGACCACCTGGGGTTCTTTAACGTGCACCCAAATCTGAGCACACGGGCCTACAACATTTCCGCCTCCATCGGAAATGCAGCCGCCGCAGCCGGGATTCGAACCCGCGCCCTGCGGGTCAGCAGCCGAGTACCTTAGCCACTAGACCACCGCGGCGGGGCAGAAAAAACTAGCCAAGGTCGTGCTTTGAATTGGCACACCTGCTGATCCGTCGCTCTGAACGAGCTCCGCAGCAATTGAGTGGCACGTACGTGATTTTTAATCTGTGCAATATTTGCTGTAAAATAGCTCGACGGGTGTTATCGCAGCCACTTTTCTCGTGAGAGCAGGCGCACGTTTGTTCAACTTTCCCGCCTAAAGGTTGATGTTGATGGAGATGCACTATTTGCAGAGAGAGTATAAACATTTAGCTGGCTTCCGAGATTTTCGCGATGCGTTCGCTCTCTTTAATTGTGTTGTCGTTAGCCTGCATTTACCATCTGATACAGCACTTTCGCAACTTGAGAATGGAAAAAACTTAAGTCGTCTTTTTTTAATAGGAAGTAATAAAAGTGATTGCGATACAAAAGCTTATGCAGAGTACTCTCAGAGGCTTGTGTGTTAAAAAATTGATGTCATTAACTAGTACAAAAATACTTGTAGCATTATGTGCGTCAGTTATATATGTTAATTTAATATCTAACAGACATTATTTTATCTTTGCTAAATTTTGCTTAAAACTTTTTTGCTTACTAGGGAGCGCACCACACAGTTTTACTTCAAGCCTTTAAGATCGCATCTAAGGGGGGGAATCTCTACGTATAATTTTTCCTACTTGTGTTACCTCTCCAGTGTATCAAAGATGGCAGACGCATTTACCGCTTGTGGGATATGTTGCGGACTGCTGTGATCGTTTTATCGAAGCAAGTGCCTGGAAAGCGCCCTGACAGTGCCATAAAGCGGCACGGATGTGACTTCTGCTAGTAATGAAGAGGCCCGCAAGCGTTGACAAGCGCATCGCTCATGGCGTCAAGTAAGTCAACGTTGTTTCCGCGTATTTCGCCCCCTGTTCGTCCGTACGTCCGTATCATGTTCGGCTCCCGATCGCCCTGTGTGTTTACACTATCATCCTAGCCAGCGAGGCTGTCGTGGTTACCGGTCAACTCTTTGTATCGTGCCGCTGGTGGGCTGCTCTTGACGGCGCTTTGATTTCGTGATCGGCGTAGGGCGGAAATTCACGGGATCTGCGAGCTGAGTCAACGGGACAGCTCATGCAACACACGAGTAGGTGCGAGATACCACGTACGCGCGGATGCGTTTGCCGAGAGGTGTCATCGCACGAGCGAGCTGCGTACGGGAGGGGCGTTTTTCGAATCGTTGCTTTCGAATTCGTTCATGCGTAAACGGAAAGGGGGGGTCCCGTACGTTCGCGTGTTTTGCGCCACGCTTGATGGGCGCTGTTGGGAGATCGTTAGGAAGGCAGAACAATGCCGCTAGCGACGTTATGTAGTCATGAAGACAAACCCCCGGTCCGCTGTTTCGTCGACGAAAATTGCTGCCTTCCGACGTGCACTTGTAGTGCTGTCTTTTAACGCAACCTGCTTTAACGATAGGTGGCCGACTGAGCCGGGAAACGAAACACGCTTAACAAACAAAAAAGTCGCAGGAAAAAAAAAAAAAAAACGTGTTCGCTTGCTGCGCTCATGGATCGTCGGACGGGCTGGTAGTCTTTTTTTCTTTGCTTTTGGAACTCCCGCAGTTTCGGAACACCTGCGATTGTTCCGTAGCGGTGTGTTAAATCAGCGCCTGCTGTGACACACGTTTACTGAATGTTCGGAAAGGCAACAAAACGAATGCGCGTTCTGGGATCGAAAAAGTTTCGAAAACAATTGGCGTGCGTGCCTTCGAGAAACCCGAATACTTTCACGTGGTCCGTGCGAGCGCTAGCAGATAGCTTGTCGAAAGTACACACAGCGGCCAGTCTTATCGGACCGCTTGGCTCAGGCTTTTGAGTTGTCTTCGTTTAGAAGTTTTCGCTCCGGACTGAGATAAAGCTTGAACAGGCTCTGTCCGTTCAGAAACCTAGCTGTTGTCGGCGCGGCCAGAAATTTCTTTCCTGGGGTGGGAGGTTGGTTTAACCTTTACGTGCATAGGTGTATCAGCCGGGGGGCTTGCGGTAGAACGAAATTTTTACGAGGCAATGTTACGACACAGTAAACTTTTGCCAACATGTCCGCTGTCATGGTTTTCCTTGCATTTGCGGTGCGGGTCGCCTATGCGACGTTTTCGCGTCTTGTGCTGTGGTATTGCAGAGCGGACAAGCGCTGAAGAGGGATTCTATAATATTACATCACTTGTCCATGCTTTGTTCTGCTGTGACTTGTTTATGCAGTTACGAATTGGAACGAGCAAACTTTTATGGACCGGTCAAAATTATTTGCTGCTTTCGGAAAATAATTTTCTTCGAAAAGAATGTACCATCGCTGCTGCTCTGTCGAAGCTGTTGCGACAAATTGTTTGGATTAATTTTTTTCTGCACTGAAACGCCGAAAGTTTTCCACCAACTCGTCCACTACCGTTGCTACAACTTTATGCATCACGTTCGTGCGCGTATCTGTATGTGTACGTGTACACGCGTTTGGTTGTGTACGTATGTAAAATTGAAAACAATTAGGGCGACCAACCGCCCTCCCCCCCGCCAATTCCCAGTTACACCAACGCTTCTTTAGATCAAAGGGATGGGTCGCTCAAAGATGATATCATTATTGAATTTCATTTGAATACCGAATGTAATGCTTAGTTTGGTTCTGGTCTTGCATTATTTTTTTTTTTACGCGCCTATAATATGCTGCCGGGATTGAACGCGCGCTACCGCAGTGAACACGTCACGGTTATCCAGATTCATCTCCTGGTTTCCCACGTTCTATCGGGAGCGCCTAAAGTTTTTTTTTGTTTGTTTGTTTTCCAGAGCACTAGTGACGTCACGTCCTGCGTAACTCTTTCCGGGCAGATCGTCTTCCCACTGGGTTGGGTTGATGCTGTAGTTACGGTCACTTACTGTAGTCATTTTGCGGTGCTAATCCTTTTAATGCAGATGAGATCGCTGGCGCCGCATTCCACGATTGGACTAAGCCTCGCGTCCAATCATCGCCTCCCCTCTCGCCCTTTCACATCCTGTTTATGTGTCGATCGCTCTTTTTTTTTTTTTTTTTTTAGCCACTGCGCCGTGCTCCCGACCGGGTTGCAGAGATTCGGTGCCTTTTCTCATCTGCTAACCACTACCACCGCTCTCTTTTAATACGATAATGGCCGCGTGCGGTTCTCTTTCCAAAGCACCGGCTAAATTTGTGATCGAAGAGAGAGCGTTAAATTACCGGTTGCGTGAATTTCTCGTCTGGTTTCGCGCGTAGGTGTTCCGCGTTGCTGAGCTCGAGGGTTCGACTTCGGACCACGGCTGCTGCATTTCGGTGGGCCCGAAATGCAAACACCCGTGTACTTAGATGAAAAAAAAAAAAAGAAGAGACTGGAATCTGTGCCACACACTCGCGCTGGGGGATTGGCCAAGAACATTTTCTTCTGCGCATTGTTTCTATTTCGTTCGCTAGCAAGAGAGGTCCGTAGCTGTTTTGCATGGTGATAGTTAAAGCGCGAGAACAGAACGACGACACAGAGACAAGAAGGACATGGCGCTCTTGTCTCTGTGTCGTCGTTCTGTTCTCGCGCTATAACTATCATCATGCCATACCAACTAGCCCGAACTGCCACAGTTCTTTTGCATGGATTCGCGTGAATTTATTGTCGCGTTTATTTTAGCCCTTGGTGACAATTAAATCGAGGACCTATGCTCCGAGCGGACGTCACGCGAGCGTGACCTGTTCTTTAACATGTTGGCAGCTGTCCAGATTTTTTTTTGTTTACCTAAATCACAACGTCGCCATCTTTCTCGGCGTTGTGTAGCCCAGTGTGAGTCAGCTTGCAAGTTCTACACACTGCGCACGCCTCCGCGTTCATCCATTGTTCGAGAGAGTTTTGTCACTGCTGTGGGTGCCACTCAATGTGTGATATACATATACCTTTAGCTCTTCCTCTTCGCCGCTCTGTAATCGCCATTGGTAACACCTTTTGTTAAGCGGCGTTGTTTAAGCCCGGAGAAGCTCTGTTAGTTGCGAACAAAAATGATCATATATTAATAAAGTTTGTCCAAACCATATCAGGAAGTAGCGCGTGCTATCTTCACCCTCTTCTAGCGCCCTTCCAGTTCGCGCACAGAACATGTGCACCGATTGGTCCGGTGTGGTATGCAATAACTCCTACGAGCGGGGAACAAGTACAGTGGGATAGAGAAAAAAATGTAATGTTAGGAAAGAAAGGGAAATGAAGAAATACATAGAGATAGGTAGAAAGAAACAACCACATAAAAGAGACAAGTGGAAGGGAAGCAAGAAATACAGAGAATGAAAAAGGAAGCGACAAATAGAGAAAACGAAAGGGAAGAAAGAAAAAGAAATGCGAAGCTGCCTTAAAAAAAAAAAAAAAATGAACCTGCTCATGTGCCAGCCGAACAGATTGCTTCCTTAGAGCAGTGCTACAAGTCGAAAGCGAGAGCTCGTCCTTGGGTCATCTCGGCGTAAATGCGACTGACGTTTCGCCCTGCTTCAGTACGAAAAGATAAATATCGCCTTTATGTACTTGCATACGGGCTTTTGCTCCTACTACAGTAGCTCTTCGGCGTGCCTGCAACTACTCTCTATCTCTCCCTCTTTCTCCTTACCCATCCCCTGCTCCGAGAATAAATGAAAATTCAGTCCGAAGTACACACGCAGCGCGCGAGCCCGTCAACATGACCCGAGGTGAAGCCTCGTTCAAGTGCGCAGTTGTAGATGGTTGTAGCGCCGGATGTCGTTGGCCTTCTGGTCGGGTGGCACACACAGCTGTCGCGCGCCCCCCCTTTTGTTGGCGGAAAGTGCGGTTTTTCCTCACACCCTCTCGCGTTGCGGACTCGTGTATAACACGTACCCGCACAATGGACTTATCGCGCAAGCGTCGTTTAGCCGCTGCCGCCGCCGATTTTTATTGTGTCGTCCGCTGGGAGAGGAGGAAAGCGGGAGAGGGAGACAGACCGCCAGAGGGCGTGTGCCGCACAAATCAAACGGTAAACTGCGCGAAGCGGCGGCGTCTATTTTTAAGGCAGGCCTTCTCTCTCTGCACGATAAAGAAAAAAGTGCGGAAAACGAATCCAGACGCTTATGACCCTTTCCACTTGCCCTCGCAGTACGTCGGCACGCCGTAGCCGTTTTGTAGACGTGTTATAGCCGTAATGTAACGCGGTTGTTGTTGTGATGAAGTGGGTGAAAGTTGGACGATGTTATAGCCATTGCAAATGGTGTACCAGCTTGTCAGCTGTTTTGACTGTAGTCTTTTTTTTTTTAAATGTTACTTGTGTGTAATTCAAGTGATTTTACTACTGGCATTCCTGAATGTGTGACAGTTGTTCGGGCATCAAATATTCATACCATATGCGATATCAATGTGTCATCGCAGATGCCATGAAATAAACTTTGTTCTCTTTACTAGGTGAGCTTCTTCATTTCTTTTCATTTTTTTTCTTTCTCAGTAAACCTACCTTTTAGCATAACATAAGTATAATTTTAAAAGCACACAAACAGGCTTGTTTGTACAGGAAGTCGAACAAGAAGTATACACTATTCTGCCTGCATGATTTCCAAGGGCATGTCCAGGAGTTTTATTTTTTCTGAAGGAGGGGAATGGGGGAAGAGTTCAACCATAATTTGTATGTGCATGCATTTTAATGTGTGTCTATACACACACGGAAAACCACAAAATTCTGGCAGGGGATGGGGGGTTAGTTAGCTAGGTCAATGATGTTTTCACTTAACTTTCAGAAACTGCTCTTTTGGGTGCTGTCCTTGGGCATTTCAACCCTGTAAACCATTACCTGACCTACTGGTTAGTAAACCATGGCGAAAAAAACCCCAGGTGACCCTAGCTAGAAAAAACAGTGCCAGGGGCAAACGGCAAAGACACTCTTTTCATGTGCTCAAAATCAATCACTCTTTTCCCACGTTATGTGGACATTCCCGCATATTCTCACAGCTCCGGGCATGCATGCCATCCCTCCCGTCCCTACCTCTGCACACAACACCCCCTCCCCGCTGACACGTGACACCACATTTTCAGCCAGGGGGGAGGGGTATGGAGGTTATTTTGGGCCACCTGGGCTCGGCGGAGACACATGCTCGACAGGGGGTTCTCACCCCTTGTTGCTCCTCTGAGGCCGCACCCGCCGGCCGACACCGATGGAGGAGTGTTCGGACGGCGTGGTTTTTCTGGCGGGTGCAGCTTTGCTGACCGTCTCGCTGTGCTGTCTGACGTACGTGATCTCGCTCTACGTCCAGGCGGCCAGGGACAGCCACTGGGTCAGATCCTTTCTAGGTGATGTCTATTTTTCCTGCTTCTTCTCCGCTCTCTTAGACTGTCAACTGTGCTGACAGCCATTGCTTGTCACTTTGCTGACTTGTGGCGACCGTTCTTTAGGAGCTTCGCTCCTAAAGGTGTGGGTCTGTCCATCCCTTGTATGCATGTATGTGTGTGTGTATGTATGTATGTATGTATGTATGTATGTATGTATGTATGTATGTATGTATGTATGTATGCATGCATGAATGTATGTATGTATGTACGTACATACCTGACCGCCTATAGTTTCACCTTTACCAGCTGCCCACTACTTTGTTCTTGCAAACATCCCACTATGCCTCATCACCGACTATAAAGCCATTATAATGAAGGGGGGATAGAAGCGACATATAGCTACCACTTACGAATTGTAAAATTCTTTGTATAAATATATACAGTACTTGTATATATAACCCTCGAGCGCTTGGCCCGACTCATCGTCATTCACTCCGGGGATATGCTGTGATTTTTTTACCTTGACATGGTTCGCATTACAATTTCAATGCCTGTGAACTCTTTTGCAGTCAGTGAAACTGTTTTTTTTTTTGCCATCTTTCCACTGAGTATTTTAGTTTGCTAAATCTCAAGTCTGTGATAGGAACTGTTGTGCAAACTATTGGATGAACATTGGGGAAAAAAAGAAAAACTGTACAGGAAAGAGTGTGAGCGATAAACTGATTTTATTCATTTATTTGTGCAGATATATGCATTGTTCACATGTCCCAAAGGAATAGAAAGGAGGATATGCATGTCAAGCCTGTCTCAGATCAATAAAGACTGAGCTGAAACTTGCTTTCCCCGCACTACAAAGCAACCCCAGTGCCTCGTTGCATGCAGTGTTGCTTTCACTGTTGCTTTGTATTGTGCGGAATGCAATTTTCTGCTTAGCTTTTGCTGTGTGAGGTAGGCTTGATGTGTGTACGCTCTTCATTTCTTTCCCCTTTCCACTCTTTTCGGACTGGGGCACAGCTAGGGGGGTTTCGAGGGTTTAACCAACCCACTCTCCCCCTGAAGTCTTTCAATTTTGCTTGTCCATACATGCATGCACACATACAAACACACAAAAATACATGAAGTATAGTTACCCCCCCCCCCCCCCCCTAAAAACATTTCCGGCTATGCCCCTGCTTTGGGACATGTGGACAATGTCTATATGTGCAGCGACCAAATTGATAAAATCAGTAACAGTTTGCACTAGTTCTATCTACATTGTTTTTTCTTTTCCCCGCGGTAAAGGGACACTTAAGTCAAATAACAATTTACGTCAGAGTGAAAGCTCAATGTATGACATATAAAACTCTATAAAATGACAATATTATCAACAGCAGTGCCCTACTTATCAAGAAATTAAGGTAAATGCACAAGAATACATGCACCATAGTAGGACATTCTCAAAGTGATTCCAACGACGTCAGACGAACTGCCTACAATTAATCACTAGTAATCGATCTAGCTGCACTAAATAAAGAACCTTCCATGCATCAAAAGACAAAATAAAATGCTGCTTGTTCGTCTCTGTTTGATTCATGGAAAAAATCACAGCACATCCACGGAGTGAATGAAAATGAGTGGGGCGAAGCGTCCGTCAGCCCATCCGTGCTTCTGTCTGCCCATTCGCTCTTGCTTCCGTCCATCTATGTGACCATCCGTGCGTCAATTCATGCGTTCGTCCGTCCGTGCATCTGTCTGTGCGTCCATCTAGTGTACACTCCAAGTACTGCCATCTCCCATCTTGCAACCTGTGTGTCACACCAATGTACATACGTACATACATACATATCTACACACACACACACACACACACACACACACACACACACACACACACACACACACACACACACACACACACACATACATACATACATACATACATACATACATACGGAGAAGCAACAGACCCATGCCATAAGGAGCTTCGCCCCTAAAAGAACCGCTGGACGTTACTATGGGGAATGGTGCGAGTGGTTCGAAAATTCAATTTTCGCGTGGTTAAACTGGGCAGGTCGTGTCATCTAGCAGGGTGCAGTTGAACCAAAACACTTGGGCCATCTCGAAGCCAATGGTCGGAGATTGATCAATAGCCGTTGTTTCTGCTGTGGCTCCCGCTCCATTCTGTCTACTAGTGTCGGTGAGCATGCAATAAAGCCGGGCAACGTGCACGGCAACAGTGACGCCAGTCGGTCCGCTTCTTGAGGTGGGTAATTTGAAGTGCACTAACCGGATGCGGGCCACTAAAACTTGATTTTATTTCAAAATAAGCCCTTTCTTGGCACAAAAGTAACACTATGAGGTTTCTGGACGGCTTTTCAATAATCAATGTCAACTTAATAGTTGCCTTTAGTCTCCCTTTAACAGTTCCCACCGTGGCCTTGCACGAACTTGCCCAGCAAGAACTCCTGAAGTATTTAAAAGTTGCTGTGCTGTTTACTTTCCTAGCTTATGCCGACTTCTTCACATTGACATGGCTAGTCCAGCTGCTCTATAAAAGAGCTTGCAAGGTCTTTCTTGAGGTGACGATTTTTTTTGTGGATTACTTGTGCAATGAAGTGGTTCCTTTGCTGTATTCCCACCGGGTATTGAGCTCACTGCGTCTCGTGCTACTGGGCTGTCGTGCACTTCCTCAGCCTTTCTAACCTTCTTTCCCAAGACTTTAGCTCTGCCGCTGAGGCCTCAGATTTCACTTTGTTTTGGTGGCACGCTTGGCTGATATTCAAAAAGCACACGCCCGTCACTGCATCCTTTAGAATTCTCCATTCCATCCAACTTTTTCCGTCTTCTCGTAGCTTTGAAAAAAAGAGTAAGCAGTTTGCTTTCTTGGATACTTTCCCAACTTTGGAGTTATACACCATTTTAAGAAAGCACTCGGAGTGAAGATGGATCTGTTGTGTCTTAGGCGTGAATAGAAGTTGCTGCGATCAATCATAATGAGGGAAGCGTTAGTGCATAGCCATTTCAACTAGGTGTTGCACTCTGTTAAAGGCATGTTTTCTTACGGAGCTTGCAAGTAGTGCATGCTTGGCCGAGTAGTGACCTTCTGGGATGGCCTTTCTTGCTCTTCCAGTTTGAAATCGGATTATTCATGAGCGTGTTGTGATTTTTCGAGGGAAGCATTGGGTCACTGTTTCGTCTTATGAAGGCATGGGCTTGTTAAACTTGGTGCACCTGTGTAGATTGTGGCAGAGGCTAGCTTCTTCTCTCTTCAACGATGCATTTAAGTTACTTATGATCGGCTGGCCAGGTTCATCATCGGCTAAGTTTATGTCTATTCCAACGCATACTGCAGATGAGGAAAAAGTTTGCAACATGCGTGTGCGTAATGCGTTGAAAGAAGTGAAGGGGGCAGTGCAAAGCAGAAGCTAACAACTTACCCGTCTCCAGCTGCTTCGAAGTTTTGCCACTAGAAAAAAAAGGAGGATTTTCATTGTCCGACGTAATGTTTTGCAAATCAGCCACTTTTTTGCAATTTATCTTTCATCTGGTTTACATCTCAAGTGATTTTTTTTTTAATTGCATCTACAGTATAGTTAACTTTTAAGGGAAACACAGTATGTAGTATGTATTCACAGTGAATTTACGGTGTGCTCCACTTGCAAGGACACATTAACTTCAAGGAAGGTGTCCGTGATGAACGGAACGTTAAGTCAACCCATGCGCTGCCTTGCATGCTACTCATGGCTCCCTCTGTTGGGAGATGGTGTAATCTTTTTCTAATGCTGCCCGGGTCCAAGGACTTCGAGCGGTCACCTGAGGCATCGCCATCATAATCAACAGAGAGTGGGAAGGGACCGGGGTTAATCCCCTCTTCCCCCACTTCGCCCAGTGAAAACTGCTTGACTTTAAATAATGTTTATTCATTCACTCATTCATTCATTCATTTTTAAGGGAACCTACGCGATGCCATCAAAAAATACTGTATCTAAATAGAAAGGAAGCTATAGAAAATGACACTGCATCACATAATCTGGCTAATATTTTTGCGATATGATCAAATTGAGGCGAAAAAATATAACAGTACATTTTTCAAATGCTTAGGTTACACACTGTAAAATTTTTTGTGTGAGACTACTTTCAGCTGCTCAGTGAAACTATCAGAACTGCATGGTTGGGCTCTGTAACCTTGACTGCATTGCCATAAAAAGTTGTCCCTGAGCCTAATGCCATCCATTTCACCACCATAGGTTTGCTAATAGATCAGAAAATCAATATCGAAAGTCTCACTTTTAACTTACCTGCTGAAATTTCTAATGTGACGTCATGGATTTAAAAGTGTGTCTTCGCAATTTTTGCCCTACGAAATTTTCTGAAGCTTGTTTTTGTCAGAGACACTTCTTTTTTGCTGATTAGGAACTGTGTGGCTCTAATAGATGCCATCACAATTTATGACGCCATGGCAACAAATGTGGTGTAGATATCGATGTGGGAACTTCAAGGTGGTGCTGCCACCTGCATATTATTTCTGCCCGTTTTTTCGTTTACCAAGCATTTTCCTCGCAACAAGCATGGTGTCTTTAGTATCGGTTAAGAGTAATTTACCAATATGAGAAAAGTCATAAATTGCTTTATTGTCCCTTTAACTTGCATTGATTCGGCATCACTATGGCCACTGATCATGAATTTTTGTAACTGTGTTACATAGCAACATTTTTGTTGTTGTTTAGCACCATCTACCTCCTCTATAACAATACTCTATTGGGAGTCACATAATGGGCCGCATGTTGCGTAGTACTGATGACTGGCAGTCAGTGAGAGCAAAGGATGGACACGAAGGAATGGGAAATGCAGTACGAGGGCGGCAGAGCGTTTGGTCAGATGATGACACTATGAAAAGTGCAGGCACAAACTGGAATCAACATGTACAGGACTGAGTGAATCGGTGATTATTGGAGGACGCCTTATTCCTACAGTGTAGAAAAAAAAAATTGGCACTCCTTGTCTTGTCCAAAAAATAGCATGCATGTGTGTGCCTGTTGTACTACTTTTTTTTTCTTTCTTTAGATCACACTGTGCGATGCCCCCTCTGAACTGTTCATCCACACTTGCCATGGCTATGACAACTTAGTGGTTATGGTGCACGACTATGACCCGCATGTCACAAGATCGCATCCCGGTCACGATGGCTGCATTTTCATTGGAGGGGAAAAGCACTTCCTTGGCACAAATGTAGTACTATGAGGTTACTGGAAGGCTATTCAAACAATCAACGTTGGCTTAACACTTTTGTGACCACGAGAAATTGGGCCGTTCTTGGGTAGTCCAGAAAACATTATTTTTTATGGCACTTAATGTTTCTTATGTTAATGTTTATGGTGTCAAATTGTACAGCTAGGAGTTATCTATCAAACACGGTCCATTTGAAACCACAAATTTATTAACAATAGTACAAAAAACTATCAAACAAAAAACATTGTAAACATCAACAAAGAAATTTTATACAACCATCAACACTGCTCTGAACAGGCCTACAATAAAATGAAATGGAAATATACATTTTAAGCACAAGGAGCACACACAATCATCCTGTAAATATAAGCGCTGTAAATACAAAAGTTTTTGTGTACATAAAATAACATTACGCTTAGTGTCTTTCATGCCACCGTGCGAAGCAGTTTCGAGATGCAGTAAAACACAGGTTTGCTATTCATGTTTCACAGAAAACACTTGCTTTCTGTTTAACTTTTCTTTGTTCACAGCATAATTTACAGTTCCTGATATTTCTTTTTTTTTGGGCTGGTGCCGTTAGCTCAGAGGAACGTTTCGTGTAGGAGCATCAAGATGGACTGTGGGACCTCCAAGAACCGCCCTTCTCACTGTACGTCGGCTTCCGAAAAATATGCGTCCAAGCATATTTATTTGTGCTTTTGTATAGCTCTCCAGTAACTTGAAAAGTAAAAAACGCAAAGTCAACAGCGCTCACGAAGCGCCACACAGCACTACGTAACACGGCTACAAGGTTCACTCCCGGCTGCCTCTGCTCACGAAACTGCACTTCCTGCGCTCCCGCCGGCAAGTAGTCCCGCCCGAAAGATGTAAACGCCCTGCAAATAAGAGGTCTAACCTTCAAAACACATCTGGTCAACTTACACCAACGCACGCCGGCAATAACGTGGCCCGAGCACAAAGACAAACTCACCGGTTCACGACCGCTGATGTTCCGGGGCGGTTTCGCGAACTCTCGTCGTCCGCGCTGAAATCAAAAATGTCGATGTCGTCTTCCGAGCCTGTGCTGTTGTAGTCATTTGAATATTTCAGCCCAGATGCATTAGAATCCCCCAAAATTCGCCGTTTTCGTGAAGCGGTCACACACGGCGTCGACGCCATGATTGAAACTATGCATGCTCACTCGCGCGCATGAAACGGCACCTTAATATCACCACACGGTAGAAAAAGAGAAACACAAAAGCAAAACTGATAAAATACTTTTTCTTTTACATGTTTGATAGCGCAGGGGGTCCAAAGGCATTTGAAACAGGGCAAATAGTCAAGTTGTAAACATTGAAAACATACTATCGATGGGGAAAGGTGTGGTCACGAAAGTGTTAATATTTGCCTTTAGTGTCCCTTTAAAGAACACCAAGTGGCCAATTTCTAAAGCTATTCGTTACGGCATCTCTCATAATCATAGTGTGGTTTTTGTACGTTATAAATGTCCATCAATATCATCCACACTGGTGATAAGACCTTCACCCAAGTCCCTAGCACTGCAACACTCTTGTCGCCACAGCAACAACGGTGATCGTGAGTGAAACAATGAAATCAAACAATGAAAGCAACATGAATTAGCAGATAAAAGATCAGATTGCCATATCAGAAAAAGCTGATCGCCAAGAATCCCACCATTGAGACAGCATCAATGATTGGAAAATGGCGCATACAAAATATGCATGTGACAGGTGCACCTTCGAAGGCTGCATTTTTGTGCGCTTACTGGTACTGGGTTTTGTGTGTTCGCTGCCATCTCTAAAATCTCCGAGTTGTAAATGTTTTGCTTAATAGGCTGGTGATGTCGGTGATAGTGACTGAGACTAGTGGGTGATGAAGTAACTTTCAGACTACTAACCCAACAAGACTACAAGCTCATATGTGATGGTCTTGTTCCCAAACGAAGAAATTTTTAATTGTGTTGTCAAGCAAGTCTAGAAAATTATACATTTTGATTTTTATATTGAAAGGCTCCAGATTAATACATAGTTAATTGTCACAGCCGAGAGGAGTCATAAGGTACGAAAAATTAGGGTTTTAACAAATGTGTAATTTTGGTTGGCCGCAGTGATCTGTGGTCGGGCACTGCTGGACAAGTTCTTTCACAGTTGATTCACACGACCGTTTTCCCATTGCATGATGCACCATCTGCAAAAGAGTAAGCACGTGTCTTTTACTTGAGCTTGTCCTTAACGGAAAGTGGCAAAGGTTTACAAACCTCACGGGAGTCATGGAAGTGAAATATTCATGACTGAAGTGAGGTACCCTAAATGATGTGGTCGCACAGGTGTGCTTGAGCAATATAACATACATTACTATCATAGTACACTCAAACCTCAGTGTAAAGAACCTGGATATAACGAAATATTGATTATAACAAAGTAAATTAATAATACTCTTACAATTGATATGTACTTTCATAACGAATTTTGGAATATAACAAACTTATTTTTTGTAAGGTGCAACTTCGTTATAAAGAGGTTTGAGTGTATGTAGATGTATAGAATTTTTGAGCTATGAGCCCTGGGTTGCCTGCCAGGTGATAAGATTTGAGAGGTCAGTAGCATTCCTCTGATAATTTTAAAATTTATTTTGATTAATTTATTGCTACAGTTAATTTTATTTCGATGTATTTATTGACACCCCTGACAATTATAAATATGGTAGTGGTTCAGTCAAGTACTGAATATTTGACAATGACTTTTCTTGTTTTGTTTTTCTTGTTAGCTCATCCTATTCTTGCATTGTGAGGCTGTTTTCGTTATATTTGTACAAGCTTTATACACCCTATTCAGTAAGTTCTTCAATGCTACTCGCCACAGCAGCCCAGTGGCCACGCCATCGCACTGCTGAACTCAACCTTGCCGGCTCAGTACTAGCTGTAGTTTCTGCATTTTGGCACACACAAAGCCCTAGAATGCCTTTGCTCTTGTATGTACGTATATGTACATTAAATAATACCAGATATGTAGATTCCAATAAATGGCAATGTTTGTTACATTGTGTATGGGATACCATGATAGCCCAAGTGTTGTGTGATATAACCAATCTTATCTAATCATGAAGCCCAGAGGTTCCTGCTTGCAACTTTTCTGGGTGAATCATCGAAGGCAGCTTGACAGTTGGCATGAAGCACGTGCTCCATACGAACAGTTGGCTGTCGATGCTTGCAGCATAGCAATCTTGACAGGACTTGTTTAGCCTTGTTCAGCCATGCGTGGTGTCAAACGCAAGGGGACGGGTGATGTTGCAAGATGGCGGCGAAGCGTGACGGATCGCCGTGTCTCTTCGACAGGCAAGCCCAAGCCTCCAGTGCCTCCGAAGCCCACGGCGCTGCTCTCGGAGGCAGGCATCCGCCGGCCGGTCATCACTGTGTCGCCGCTGGCCGAGGTGACCGACCCGAGCCATGCCAACGGCGTCACGAAGGAAGGTGACAGTCCGGAAGACCCAGGCCAAAATAAAACTGCTCACGAGTGAGTTTGGTTTCGGTGTTGCTGATATAGACAACATAGCTGCATTTTTAGAGTGTATCGCCTTTTTTGGCTGTATTTGATCTGCCTTTTTTACCTCATTTGCCTGGCAGGCTCTGTCATTTCTTCACTTCTTTTCGGCCATTTTCGTGGCGGTTAGTAAAGTTCGATCTCAATATAACAAAAGTGGATATTATGAACTATTGTTTACAACAAAATAACTAAAGTCTAATTTTGGGACAAATAAAGCAATATGAATTTATTGTGATATTTTATATAAGATGAAGCCATTTTCGTCTCATATGCCGCATTGTTATAGTATTCCAACAGTGGACGTTCAGGGAAAGATAAATGCTTGAGGGTATAAAAATTCAGGAACTGTTGGTGTTATTGGACCTTGTAAAATGTGGGTGGCTTTTTATTCACAAATTTCTAATCAGGTATTTATGATGAGGTTTGACTGTGAGAGAACTTTCACTGCTGATGCAGAGTTGCGTGCTTTAACGCAGCCAAGTCACGTAGCACATTCGTTGCTGGACGGCAACTATTGTAGTTTTTTGAGACACACGTTCTGTCACAACTTTTGTGCCATCTGAGAGGTCATAGGCTTGTGTTCAACATTGGTGGTAATCATTAATGGCTTTTGCAACTGTATGTTCCTGCACTTTAAACTGATGCAGAGTGCCTGAATTGCGAATTTCGACGTTGCCCTCACCCATAAGGATGGCGAACTAGAAGCTGGATTCAGTTGCAAAGCGATGCTGTTGCGGAAAAGAAGTCGCACCAACTGGACCAACACATCGAAGTCCTAGAAAAAGAAATTGACAGCATTGTGGCATGAAGCCACTCGGGAATCCATGTGGATTTTTCTTAGAAAGAAGGCTTCCTTAGTTGCCGACAAATTGGTCCTGGTTTGGTGTCGAACCCGAGACCAGCGCCTTTCCAGGGCGATCGCTCTTCCTTTTGATTGAGCTAACCAGGAAGCTAGAAATTGTAAGCGCAAAGGTGAATTAATCGGCCGCTGGAAGTGCACGGGCATAAAATACTGCAGGTTGGCACCAGGTGGTGGAAGGGTTTAGAAAATGAAATTGTCAATTGCACTTTCTTAACCCTTCCGCCGCCTTGTGGCATTCAACAGAACTGGTTTGCAATTTTCTGCATTGAAGTCCCTTCTGCACTCAACTGCACGCTGCTGCTATGCACGCTTTGTGTGTTTGAGTTTCACTCGGTCAGTGTGTCTGTCATGCTCGACATGAGAGGGAGCCACTTGTTTGCTGAAAACATTGGTGTCACTATATTTATGGCGGCAGCGCTCCTGGCGTCGTGCCACTTGGAGGTTCGCTCGGGGCATCGATGGGCGCAGGCTGGGTTTTCGGGCCTCGGGCGGTTCTATTTTGGAGCATGTGCTCTACCACCTCCTAGCATTCGGAAACAGGGAGAAGTTGAAAGTCGTTTCGCTTGCGTTTGTGCTATCCACGAGAGGCCTTTTGCCTATGTACCCCGCATGAGTTCTGGTGAGTCTTGCCCACGGTTCAGTGGTGTAAACACAGCTCCCGTGTGTTTATCCTTCTCCTAGCCCTGTTTTCCTTTGGAAGCTCTGGTCCTGCTAAGTTTTGCAGACTCAGCTTTTCTGTGTTTGAGCACAGAAGCCTTGCAATGTGCCCTTCGCATGTGGCCCTGAAGTGTTTTTGCGGTTCCTCCACAGCCTTGGCTTGGTTTGCGACTCCTTCACTGTGATGCTATTGGAGATCATAGTGCATTGCAGCTGTGTTTAAAGGTGTTGATGACTGTAAATAACCAAAATTGTGTTATAAGTTGTGTGTGCGTTACAGCTTTGATTCAGCTAATGAAAGAGCTGATCTTGATTGAATTCTGGTACTTTCGGAGGGGAGAAACATGGTCGCAGTAAACAGATGGTTTCGCTAAGACAGCTTTAGGTATAATTCAAGCATGTAGCATCGCACTAATTCACATTACGACTGAACTGAAATTCATGCAATGAGTAAGTGTTTCAAAGTATGTCGGGATGTATGAGAGCAATCTTGCAGAAATTTACTTCCCCCATAAGGTCGTTGGGTAACTCCCCCATAAAGTCGTTGGGTAACTGTTGTCTCTAGTTTTCATGCTTTGCTTGGGTGTAAGTATTGGTGATCAATAATTGGTTGATAAACTTTATTCAGTTTCCTGGTAGCTGAACAGATATTTCTATGTGTCCCTGCTTGTACCAAGTTACTCAGTGTGTTGCTAAACACTTGTTTTGTATAACCTGATTCCTTACAATTTGGTATTTTTCTAAATTAAGACATAGATACCTGAGAAGGTTTCTTTGCTATATCAGAGAAGTCCAGCCTAGCACAAGCATATTGAGCCCAAGGGGAAAGAGGCCATATACTGTTCCACTCTTCAAATGATTCAGTGCCCCACGTTTGGCACTAAACCAGTAATGGTTCTTCACTGTGTGCTTGTCATTGCTGTCTGTCTGCCATGTTAGGAAGGAAGGGCTGTGGACAGTAGCAAAGTTTATTGGGCATCACTTGGCTCACGATAGGTGCGTATTGTCTGCGCTCTAGCTTCAATTCTCGGTGCTTTTGCATAGCAAACATTCACTTTTATGAACAGGTGTGCAGTTGCGCAACAGGTTTGCACAAGCCTCTGCTACAGGAAGTGACTCACTGAAAGAGCCGACTGTCGAAAAAAATGGCGTAAGCACTTTCAGGCTGTCTGCTGCTTCCTTGTTTTCTGTAGTGCCGTCAAGAGTAGGCGTACAGGTGCTCGCTATTGGTAAGTTTGACTGTGAAATGGTAAAGTTTTAGATTTATTCTTGTTTGGTTGGTGTCGGCTATAGTTTGTTAGGGGTCCATGGCATCAGTTTGTGTTCTTATGTCCTTTGTTTGTCATGCACTTGCTGCTTTGTTATCTAAGATATAGTAGTAGGATTAATACAGTGTTTAAAGTCAGGGCTAGGTCGACATGACAGTTTTGTTTCAGCTGTTCACCTGCCAATAGTATTCAGTGGGTACGATGTCACGCTGATAGCATAAGATCTTGTGTTTAATTCATGTTTGTTGAAGCTGCAGCTACGTTCTGAAAGAGGAAGCCGATCATTTAGTTTTATTTTGGTAAATGTTAGAAAATTTCATGTCCTAAACTGATTCAAAGCTGTCTACCTTGGAACCTTTCTAGCCCAGCTGTTCCTCCATCGATAAATCAATCAATCAGTCAATCAATTTGTTAATATGTGTCGTGCTCCAGTTCATTTTTTTCATATGTGCTAGTGGCAGTGTGTGCAGTATTGCCAGCATTGCTAATTGGATATTGTGAGCATCAGTGTGAAATGGGATCAGGCAATAGCAGTTGTAGCAAAAACACTTTTACTGCGCTAGCCTGGAGCCCTTGTTATGGAAGGGGCAGCACTTCAAAATTTACAGGTTAGTGGTAAAATTGCTGTTTGTACTTACAGACAAACAATATACTGTTCACCAGCTTCAAGTCCATAATTTCTCTTTGCAACTCGCAGGAAGCGTGACATCGTAGCTTTCCTGAAGCATCCTCCCGATGTCAGCCTTGTGAATGCACTTAAACATGTTCAACTCTTTACGTACAAAGGGGAAAAGAGGCGTTTTTTTTTTCTATATGTGACTATAGATCTTCTAAGTGTGAAGCACTTTTGTGGCCCAGGCTGTCCTTTGCTGTGATATGCTGTCAACACGGGGCGTGGTGCAGGCGAAACCGTGCATAACATAACCATCTGTATTACACCGAGTGTGTGCTCATGCCGAGGAGAAGTACTCCTCCTTTTGTTTTTCGAGTGCCTTGGTGGCGAGAGTGAGCCCGGGCTGTCGTGTTTGGTTGTATGCTGTTTTCGCTTGGCGTAACACAGACAAAACCACTCATAAAAAAGAAAAGAAAAAAGAGAAGCAAGCTTTACAGTCGATGAAAAAAATTCCAGGAAAATAGAAATAAATAAAAACATATATATATACTAAAAAAGTGTGAAAACTGAAAAAGAGAAGAGTAAGAGAAAACCAAGAATAAAAAAAAAGAAGGCTGCCCAGCCCCGCACTCTCTTTGGGCTTGGCACCAATAATGTGAAGCTGCCTTGCTTTTCTTTTTTAACCAAAGAAACCACTGTACCTAATATTTTATATAATACATAAAAAAAAGGCAAAACGAGTGAACTTCTTTTTACTTTAATGGGAGGTGTGTTATGCAAGTGATTTAAATTGTCGTACTCAAGATTACAGGGCAAAATCGAACGCAGTTGTAAAGGCATGCCTCTTCATTCTAAGAAAAAAAAATGTACACTCAAACATCATCGCAACAAAGTCACATCTGCCTTGAAAATACCTCGTTACATTTGAAAATTCTATTATAAATACTTTATAAATCCACTGTATTAAGGAGAAAGCTATTCTTCACTTACTTCATTATAACCAATGATTCATTACATCCACTTTAGTTATATCGATGTTTGAGTGTAACAGGAATTAGCAGATCAGCAAAGTGTACTGCCATCCGATCTCCGAAAAATGGAAACTTCTTCATTAAATAAGATTTTCCCAACAAAGTTCTTGCTGCAGGCACTATGATTAGGCATGTCATGCGGCAGAGCAGTTCCTTGACATAAGCATTGCGCACTGTCGTATTTCTTGCAGTACACTCTTCTTTTCTGCTTGGTTTTTTCGTTGCACTTGCATTTGTTACAGTTTCTATAAGTTTCTCTCCTGGCAGGCTGGCGCTCCAATGCAAACTGAGACGGCCTGAAGCAGATAGTGAGGCTGGCTGATGACGCAGGCTGGTTTGCATCATTGTTGCTCTCGGAGTCAAAGTTCAGCCAAAAATCGGCATCATCAAGTCTCGCTGCTGCTCATTAAATTGACAAGATTAGCCATAATCTCGCCGGAATGCCGATATCTCTTATCTTTCGAAGTGCATGTGCACCGTGTTTGGTGATAACCGTTTTCAATTCAATTCAATTTGGAAGCTTTATTCAGTACAATACAGTGTAAGTAAAAAGTTGATAAAATACAGAAGGAGGTCCCACAGTAAAAACTGTCAGGGGGACCTCCTGTGAATTCATATATAAGAATATAGAACAAAGATTGGCAACTAAGCAAAAAACAGCAAGCGAGTAAAACAAAATGAACGTAATGAAAATTATTATTGAAACTTATAGTAGTTCAAGATATTTACATGTAAGTGATAAAACATGAGATAACTAATTGGATTAAATGACTGTCGCACTTGGACAATCACACCACTTTGGAGCAGTTGAAAAACCAAGGCCACGTAAGAGAAAGCAAATTACACAGAAAAGAAAACTATAGTTCGTGATGGATGGTGCAGTATGTTCATGAACGGTGCGAATTGTCTTGAAAGGGGCGATTCTGATCATCGATAGCAGGCTATGGATGCCCTATTGGCACAATATGGAAAGAGTTAAGACGTTCTTATTACAATTATTCTCATAAAAGTTGAAATACATGACTGTGAATGAAAGTACAGGGTGAGTCGGCTTAAATATACAACTTAAAAGTATCGGGCAAGCATACGCATGCAGCTTCGCGGCATCAATTTGTAAGCAGTGTCGCCCCCGGGTGCATCACGGGCAGGGCTGGCGTTTCAGCATTTCCCATTTTTATGCAGCTTCTGCGCTGTCTTTTGAAGAGGTCTCGCATACTTGCAGGGTGACAGTGGTTATAGAGCACCGAGAAGAAGCGGAGGCCCTGTGCAACGGTTCGAACGACACCATGCCTGCGATCGACGACAAAGCCGACTCCACTCCGAGCACTAGTGCGCAGCCAGTGCAAAACGGCGACTCCGAAGCACAATCCAAGGACACGCAGCAGCCATCCGACAGCAGCAAACGGAATACCATAACAGAGGACTGGTAGGTGCCTTTTGTTTTTCTTTTCCTGTCAACAGGGTTTAAACTCTATGCTGAAACCTCGATATAATGATCCTGGATATAATGAATTATCAGTTATAACGAAGTAAATGAGGAATGGCTTTGTCATAGCTACACTACTACAAGTATATGTCTATAATGAATTTTCGCATATAACAAAGTATTTTCGTAGCAGGTGTGACTTTGTTATAATGAGATTTGACTTGTATGGAATCGCTGTGCTTTACCATTGGCATTGTCCTCTTGGTCATCCGCTCACTTCTTAAGAAGTTGGGTTGTTATGGTGCTGCCAATCCTCATTTTGGGGAAGATGGATATTTATTGGGTGTAAAGAAGTAAACTTAAAATTGTCTTACGTCGCATGATTTATGCTAGGTTATCACAGTTGTTAGATGTAATAAGGCTTGAATTTTTTTATCTGATAGTTCCTTCTTAGATCAGCTTTATCTTTCCTTGCTACAACAGTCATTTATTGTTTTCTGGCTTATAGATTTTGCCTCTTGTTGTAAGTGATCCAACCATCTTCTATATTTCTTGAAAAATTGGTGAAATCTTAGTCAATTGTACTCTTCGAGCTTAGTGGTATGTAGCACCGGTCATGATTACTCACTTGTTTGCCGACATTTTTATGTGCTTTTATACTTGCAAAAGATTTGTGTATATGCTCCACTCAAATGTAATACTCCTCTGGTGGCCTTTGAAAACCCATAAAGGATCGATTATCCGGAAGTGATAATACATTGTTATGTGCTTTTATACTTGCCAAAGATTTGTGTATATGCTCCACTCAAATGTAATACTCCTTTGGTGGCCTTCAAAACCCATAAAGGATCGATGATCCGGAACTGATAATTAAAAATAGATCACAAACGTTACACTGTGAACACTTTTGTCACTTTAGTGCCAAAATTTGATATCATCCTTAACTTGTTCAAAACGTGTAACTCTTGCACTGCCTAGGAGTAAACTTTATTCAACCGTATTTTGGTTGCACAAGTGAGTGACATGCTAATCATGAAGGCTTGGTGTTTCTAAAGGAAAACCTGTGGCCACATGTGCAGGTCCATCAAGGACAACGTTGAATCGGGAGATGAAGCCTGCTGCACACGACTCTCGCAGCTCATTCACCGCAAGGCTAAAGAACTGTCCAATCACCTCACGAAGCCTCCCAAACCACTCAAGCCCCTCAAAGAGAACAAGGCACCGCTAACGCGAACAAAAAGCTTTGGCGATGAAATTCCAGGAGGCAGGCACGGTATTCGTTACGCCGACGAAGACACCGAGGCTAGCTCAGATTACCAGGATGTAGACTTCAGCAAGATCGCGGTTGCTGAGGTGACTACGGTGTCGGTTCACAAGGAAGGCACGCCCAAGCCGATCGTCGAAGAAAATGAGTACGAAATAGTTGAAGCGCCTCGTGAGGAAATCAAACCCACACCCCTGCCTGTCGCCCCCATCATGGTCATCGTAGAAGACGAAGAAACCAAGCAGTCTAGCGTCGTTCTCGAGGCCACCCAGAAGAAGACGAGGTCTCTAGAAAAGCCAAAGAGGCCGCCACCACCAAAGCCCGAAGCGGCGAAGAAGCAGCGTGTCAGATTCGGGGTCGAAGTGTTTCCCTCCGACATCATCGCTGCGATGGCTGCGAAAAAAAAAGGTGCCACAACTGAATCGAGCTCTCCTCAGTTGGTGCCGGCCGATTCAGAAGCGGCTTCAGTGAAGGACTCGCATTCGGACAAACTTGTACAAGAAGAACCTGCCCTGGAAAATCCCATTCTTGTCCGAGTCAAGGAGAGAGAGGAGCCGAGTCCTGTGCTTTCGACTAAGATGCCAAAGTCTATGTTCCCGCAGTCATCTCCTGCGAAAAAGGTGAAGCCCCAGCGACCTCCCCCTCCGAAGATTCCCACCGTTGTTTCGTCGCCTCATCCGACTTGTTCGCCGCCGCCTCCCCCATCGTCGCCGCCAAGCTCCCTGGAGGAGCCAACAGTTTTATCTGTTAGCACTTCTCCAATTACGTCAGAAAGTGCGTCCAATGTGGCAGATGAAAAGAAAAGTACAGAACTCGTCGTTTCTGAAGCTTCAGCTGTCGTGGATGGAGAAGCTGAGGTCATTCCGAAAGAAGTGCCTTCGTGTTCCCCCGTTGTGTCTCAGGAACCTGTGATAGAAAGTGAAGTGATCCCCGCTGAAGCAAAAACCGCTGCGGAGGGTTCCAAGTCCAGTGAAACTCCGCGCAAGAAGCGAACACCTCCACCGAGGCCGCCACCTCCCAGGTGCAAGCCGAAGCTGGCGGAGATGGTGGGGAAGCTAACAGTTCCGCAGAAGCCAATGGTTTCACAAAAGCCTGCAACTCCAAAGAAGCCCATGCCTTCGCAGCGACACGCCGTCTCGTCGTCATCATTAAAGCAAGCGGTTCAGTCGGGCACAAATGAGTATAGCCAGACAGACGACCTTGTGGCGTTTCGTGCGAAGAACATCGTCGCTGACCTCGACGCCCTCCTGGCTCAGAGGGAAGCAGAAGAGGCTGCGCGGGTGAAGAACGTGTCGTGCATCGAGACATCTCTCAAAACAATGGCACGGGAAGCCGCACATCAGTTTAAGCAACCCGAGGATTCAACATGCGCACTCCTCGACATGAAAACAGAAGACGTTCCTCAGGCTCCACCGCGTAGACGGCGCCAGCGCTCGAGGACAGTGGAGGCAGTCAGGGTCACAGGTGATGAGCATTGCAGGCAGCCACGGAGAAGCCACTCGCTGTCCGAAGCCGATATCCGAATCCGGATGGCCCAGAGGCTAGGCCCAAGCAATAATTCTGATGTTGCAGCTACCGTAACTGAAACATTTGTAATGGTGTTGGAGTCACCTCTTACGAAGAAGGAGCTGAAGGATCTCTACACCAATGTCATGATCGCCCCTACGAAAGACCGTCGCTTTAAGGAGGTTCCCCAGCCAACACCGTCGACCGGAATGCGTTTTCGACCCCTTCCACCTCCTCCACCGCCCCCGCGAGGAAGGTCCAAGTTGCCGACTTCATCTGCTGCTAGTTCTTTTGACGAGAACCCTTCAACGCCTCCAGCAGGCAGCAATGAACCTTCGAGCACCGATCCGACCAATGCTGCCTCCCAGGAGCCGAGTGAAAGCCCAGTGGCACGCAGAGAGAGCGTCGAAATGAGGACGAGTCCAGCTAAGCACGATTCCAAGCGCGACTCTAAACGTGAATCCAAGCGGGATTCCAAACGCGATTCCAAGTCTGAACCGCACAGCCGGCAGAGCCCAAAGAGTGGAAGCACTTCTCCCAAGGTTCGCTGGGAGAACGGGGAGCCGAAGTCGTTCCGGCTTTCCAACAGCACTTTCTACGGTCCGCCGCTCGAGATTCCACCGGAGGCACAGCGGGGTGCCGAGTCGCCGAGCACGGAGCCCAACGTCAGCAGCGAGAAGTCACGCTCCAGCTGGTACGACGACAGTGACGCGTCAGGCGACGTCGCAGATGTAGACTCGCCGGCTGTGCCCAGTGACACCGACCCCGCAGTCAGCTCGCGCAGGTCCGACTCCTCCCCTAGCTCGGTGCAGCGGTCGAAGACGAGGTTGAAGGAGAAGAAACGTGCAAGTGCAAAGTTTTACTGTGATGTAGAGGTGGAGCGGGAAAGTTCAACGGACGGAGACATGCCGCCACGTACCCCTTCCAGGGCAAGCGGTTCGGACAGGGGGCTCGAGGCAGCTGAAAACAAAGGGGAAGATACGGATGAACTCCTTGAGATGGCTGAAGGTCTGCAGAAGGAGATGACGCAGGTTTTGGTGGAACGACAGAAGAGGCTGCTGGAGACATTCGACAATGAGCTGTCGGCACAGAGGGGTGAGTGTTGACTCGAATGAGAGTTCATTCTGCAGTGTGTTGGGGACTGTTTCAAAAGGAGTTAGAAGGTGGCAAAAAGAGTGCACATTGGCTGAAACTCATTGGGACAGTTAGCATATTTTTGAAAGCATGATTTTCTGGGCATTTAAATGTTTACTACAATTGCACATTTGGGAGAAGAACAATGTGCCACGTAGGTTCATGCCTACATTATGTCAGCATACATACATGAGTGTTTCTTGTGGTACACTTGCAGAGACAAAAGGTGAAGAAACAAATCATTAACCCTATTTATGTAAGCATTGTGTTTTCTTTTTTGTTATTATGAGTGTACACGTGCTAGGAATTTTTTCGCGTTAGCAGTATTCTTTATGAAAATAGAGTTCAGAGCGTACTCATTGTTCTAAGGTATGGCCATTGTTGTTGCTGCTTGGCCTTGCCAAGCTTCGTATTTTATGTTTCAGTTTCCTACAGGCTCTGCTACTACACAGTGAAAAAGAAGCAGTAACAAATAAAAAAGGGATTCAGCCTAGACTTACGCTATAGAGACTTTGAAGGAGTACTATGAAATGAGATGATAATGAGAATTGTGTGGGAGGGAGGAAGTCGGTGACCTGCTCCGCAGAAAAAAAAAAAGGAATGCAAGGGGGTTGAGCACTTACGCAATCTTTTGGTAAATAGTGAGGCTGCATCAGTCCTACAAAACAGTGAATACACATTCATTAAGTAACATTCAAGACACAAATCTGTTATAAACTATTCTACCACTATCTCAGCAGTGTCATGGATATCTTAGAGATCCCTGTCAGGCACGCATCACTGTATGCTACAAGCTGCGTACTTCGACTTGTCTTCGTTGGGTGATTTGTAAGATTTAACTTAGTTTACCTTCAAATGTTGTCAAACTTACGTATGCCTGGTACCAGCCAGGTAAAAAAGCATTTACAAAGGTGGCGAGGTGACTCATTTTTATATGACACTAAGGTAATTAGTGCAGGGGTAAGAAACTCGCTCAACGTTGTGCTATCTGGCACGCTGACGAGCAGTCCGGAAACCGTTATTAACGTGGAGCTATCTTATCGAGCGCTGAAGAGGCTGCCGTGTTCATATGCCTCGCAGGCATCTGCGAATGAGGAGAGTGAAAGGTGATAATGAACATTGAAATAATTTGCAATAATAATTGATTTGCTGAATTAACACCTTTAAGTTAAGAAAGATGAGAAAAAATCACTATGGATAGAAGAAAAGCTCATAGGAACACATTTTCTGTAGTTGTAGGCATCGTTGTCACATACGCAAGGCAACATAAAGGAACTTGTCGATGACATGCTTTAGATCGGTGCCTGCATTGCTGTGAATGCTTAAATAGGTATTGGCAGTCCTAAATGATTGAACGGGTAAAGCCAGAACTCTCTACAGAGAAAATGGATTATAGGTTATGACAAAGTAGAGGAACAATAGCTTTTTCCTAAATGCAGTGTTGTGTATTTATGCTTATAAATAATCTTCGGATCTAATAGTTTTGCTTTATGAAATCCGTCTTTATAAAGTGCAGGTTTGACTTTATAACTACTTAAAATGGCCAGAAAAGCCAGGTGAAGCCTATGGGCAACCAGTTGTTTTAGTTTTTAATAATATGTGCAAGCAAATGCAGAGGGTTCATTAACTGTCGTAAACTTTGTATTCCTAACAAGGAAAGGGGTGATGAATTCGACTGCCTCTGGGAGTCAAATCCAAAACATCCGCGCAGGATGCACCATGAATTACCTAGTTAAGCTTCTGCATTGATAATTTCACCTGTCCTTGATCGCTTTACTGGTAAAAAGGAAGTGTTTAAATTTCAGCAAAACAACGTTCAGGCTTTTGAAAAGCATATGTACATTGCAAAAAGGCATATGCCGAAAGACCGTTATCGGCGTCTTCTTCGCTTCAAGTACAATATAAATGCTTTTTTACAGTTTTCTTTCTTTTGATGAAGTACGGCACAGGGACGATTGAGATAGTGGTTATCTTTCGCCACCTGCTATTTACAACCTGCGATCGCAATGCTGCCTTCACCTACAACCCAGCGCATTGTCTGTTAATGTAAATTTAAATTGGAACTTCTGCAGTCTCTTGCAAACCATAGAGTATCTCATTGAAATGAGTGTAAGAAAAAATAATAATAAATGAGTGCTGCTGATCTCACGGCTCATATTTCCCCCCCCCCCCCCCCTCTAACAGCAGTCTCTTTTTTACACGGCCTTCTTATCTAATCACAGCGGGAAACTCATCGTGTTGGGTGGACAGGCAAGGTCTTTGCTGCATTCGATGGGGAGGAGAGTAAAAAAAAGAAGAAAAAACACGTGTGCACTCTCGTCCCAAGCATACGTTTCAGTTTGTGTGTACGTTTTTCTAAGTGGATCGCACCGCTCCAAAGCTGTGCCAATTTTTTTCTTCTCTCTCTTGTAAACTAACATTTTCCCTCAAACGACGGCCCGCGTTCTTGCACAACGCTGGGATCGCCGGTTAACCGTTTTGCGTTTGCGTGGAGAGAGATATCTCGCGGGGGCTCGAGTGCCATCTGTTATGCGGCGGGCACGTCCACCGGCCGTGTGTCGACGGGGAGCTACAAGGTGTTGTGTCGGCTCTCTGTGCGTGCAGCAGAGAGCGAATCCAGGGAGCACCGGTTGACGGAAGAGAAGGACTCGCCTTCGCTGATGCCTCGCAAGGACCTCCCCAGCACCCACTCATCTGCCTCGGAGGTGAGAAGCAGTGTGTGTCGTCCAGCCTTTTGTATAGTCTCTTCACTAGTTCTGTGCGTGTAGCGACTGAAGCTGCTTTCATGTAACATCAAGAGTTTTTTTTGGTGATATGCTTTGTGAACCTGCTTGCTTAAATATAGCACTTAGCTGGGCTGTGGCTATTGCTTCTTCAACACCTCATTGCTTTCTCGCTCAATGATATTGAGATAGCAGTGATTTTTTTTTCTTTTTTGACCTTAACTAAAGTAAGGAGCATTTTGTGCGTATGCCTGTTTGTGTCTCAAAAAAATGTAACCGCACTCAGACAAATTCTGTCTTCTTTTTTTTTTGCAGATTTAGAATTTTCGGTTTTTGCATGTGCATATAAGTTAGAAAAATCTGTATTTATATTTTTTATTGTTTTTGATAACTGGTTACAAACTTATAAAATCTTTTGTATTCAAAATTTTCACATGTGCACGTGATTGCATGCACAGTGATGAAAAATGATTCATGCTGAACCAAGCCAGATGGCTGTCTATGTATATGTGTAAGCATTATTGGATTTGCACTGGATAAAGACAATGCCTTTGCTACGGCAGCAGATGGCCCACAATAGCCAACACTTACCCGTGATTTAGCCAATGCTAATTGATTCTTTGCAGTGCAACATAGTGTTGGCAATTATTTATTCAGCCTTAAGCAACACTACCCAGCATTAGTCAGTGCTTACCAGTGCTAGCAATGCAAGACTAAATATGGTGTGCCAGGACAGCGCTGCTAATAATTCACTTTTCACAAATCGAGTCACGAAGGGGGGGGGGGCACAATTTATAAAGCTATTCTTACTCATTTTTGATGACTCTACGGGAACACAATCATTATGAGTTTACCTAGCCTGCCTAGTCTAGCTGAACTGATTTCGTGTACAGTTTTCAAAATGGAATGACTTTTCTCTCTAGTTGAGTTGCTTCAAGCCTAAATTCCTTCATTATCTTTATTTTGCTGGGAATTCAAATAGAAAAGGGTACGCAATGCTTAGATATGAGAAAATGTGGTGCACTAGTCTAGCTGAACTGATTTCGTGTACAGTTTTCAAAATGGAATGACTTTTCTCTCTAGTTGAGTTGCTTCAAGCCTAAATTCCTTCATTATCTTTATTTTGCTGGGAATTCAAATAGAAAAGGGTACGCAATGCTTAGATATGAGAAAATGTGGTGCATTGTCTTCAATGCTGTAACAGCAAGTTTTTTTCAATATGCACAGGGCAGTAGTGATTAAATGCCCACACAGACCATCTCACTGACCTGCCATAGTGTCTGTTGTCGTAACCCTCGTATTTCCTCTGTGTTCATCACAGGATGTTTTTGTTTGTTGCTATTTCTGTTTGGTAGCTCCCTTTTCGCAGTTATCTCACTGAACGTTCATATCTCAGTTTACATGGCGGGGAGCTGTGCAAAGAACTAATTTGTCACGGTTCAAGTATTTTATTTGTTTAGCGGCTATTGTCATATTTTCGAGAATGCTCGAGCAGTAATTGTTGCATACAATGCTTAGCAGGAGTGCACGAATATTCAAGTGTGCGAATACAGATCGAATAGTTCATGTCATTCGATCTATATTGAATTTGTACTTGATTTGACAATTTTATATGAAATTGGGAAATATATTCATAACAAATACAACACCCATTGGATTCCTGAGCGAGACAAAAAAATGTGTGTCTAGCCTGTTCTTCCATAAGGTAGTGTTATTACATGTTTTAACTTTCGTTAATGTTTTTATTGGCACGTGAACATCTCAATACATACCTCCCTACGTGTATACAAGCCCGAATCATTATTGCATCATACAAAACCAGTGCATTATTCGCATTTGTTATCGTTTTAGAAATGCAAATATATGTCGCATGTTATTAACATTTAAAACCCACTTTTTCTAATATTTGCGTTTGATTACATTGGTTAATCTGGGTATACACAGTCCTATTACCAGCTTGAATAGGCACAGCCATAATTAGCAGCTGTTGGAGGGAACAAACAAGTGTGCTTAATATTCTAGCTGGCACCAAGTGAAAGAAGTGGACCTGGGCTGCCCACGTATTGCATAGGAAAGGCAACAAGTGGCTCCTTCTTGTCCGTTTGTCGCCGTTCTTTTTTCGCACTATAACTATCATCATGTCATACCAACTAGCCCAAACTGCCACACTTCTAAAAAACAGCAAAAGCAACAGGATGGTTGCCAAGAGATGGGAAATGCAGTTGAGAAAAGCAGAAAGGAGTGACAAAATTAAAAAATTTGTCGGGATAAAATGGAATCGACCCGCGCAGGGTATAGTAAACTGGAGATCAGTGGCAAAGGTTTTCGTCCTGCAGTAAGCCTAAATAGACTGGCAATGATTATGATGATGACAATGATGATGGACATTGTTCATTGTTAATTTAAAGCTTCTTTTAGCACTCATATGTGTGACCAATTAAAATAGTTAATCTTTTCTAAAAGAAAGATGTCGGTATGTATATTGTCCAACTCGTTTCGTTCGCTTCTTTGCATCCTCAGGTGAGCTGGCAGGGATCATCGGAAGATGAGAGCGATGGGGAGGAGACGCGGAACATGTCGCTGGACGAGGCCGCCCGACACCGACGCAAGCGCAAGTGCATGTACATTGCTCGGGAGATAGCCAGCTCGGAACAGGTCTTCGTCGATGCCCTGCACCTGCTAAACAAGGTGACCAACTATCTACGTTGAGTTGAGACATAGCAAAATAGTGGACAGAATGACTGGAGAATAACCAAGTGGGACGTCCTGCCCGTTTGTTCACCTGGTTTGTTGTCTTTTTGTGCACTATGTTGTTATGTCTCAAGTCAGCTAGTACCAATTAGCCCAACTCTTTGCCTTCTACGCTGAACTTTCAACGACCCTTATAACCCAACTGTGTTACTGCTGCCAAAGTGGACAATTGGGCAACAAGTTGGTACACCAAGCTTGAGATTTAAATCGCCGCCGACGACAGGGGAAGCGCAAAAGGGATGATGCAGACACAATGCTATGTTGAAGTCTTTGACTTGGTCTCCCGTCATATGCTCAGTTTAGAATTTTGAAGTGTCATTTTGTCCAAAAGTTAGGGTTAGATTAATGGGGGGGAGTCAAGTGTGTTCGTACATAATTACGAGAGTACAGTGCAAGAAACGCACTCACAGAACAAAAACAACTAGAACGCCGCTGTTTGCTTTCATATTGCATAATTACGCTTGGAAGGTAATGAAAAGGCCATATTACTTTTGTGTACCTTCCACTATGATATCTGACGACTAAAGAAGTTATAAGTTAGGACTGTTACCCGGGTTCGGGAAGCACCCGTAAAGGTGTAAATATCATGTCCACGGTGCTAAAGAGACATGTAAAGTGAAGATGACTTGCTAACAAGAGGCAAAGCATCATGTGAAAGAGCATGGGGCTTTTAAGTATGTAAAATGGGCGTACACCTCATTTACTATTTACGGCAGCTTTAATTTCTACTTCAGCAAATGTATGGGATGCCATTTCGATGAACTGCGGCATATGCCTGTCGCTTCAGTTTCATCGAGGTGCATCCTACTAAGTACTATTGCAATTTGTTTCTCTGCGACTGCCAATCGAGTGAAATGACAAATTGTCGATCCCATGGTTAAGATTGTTAAGGGGGGACTGTTAGACACACCACTTGACATGCTTTAGATTGATCGTGATCTTTTGCTCGCTTCACAGGACTTCAAGAAAGCCGTACAAGCAGCTAGTGAGGAGCGCGGTTCGCCGATTGTCCCCGACGAGGTCTTGGACCAGATTTTGAAACACCTGCCCCAGCTGGTAGACTTGAACGAGGAGCTCCTTGGGCAGCTGCAGGAGCGGGTGGACAACTGGTGGGTCCTTATTTCGATTGTGTCTTTCTGACCTGTTTGCATGACCCTAAAGAAGCCGTGCAACCTTTGTGGGTAATCATGGAATGGCTTCATCAATGGAGTGAATCGCTTCGCGAATCGACTGTCGCAAAGATTTTTGGCATGTGTCAAGTACGAGCAGAGTCGCAGGGATTCGTCGCACGCTTTGAGCGTTTTTTTCTCCCCCTTCGCACGAGTACGCTTGCTGACAGCAAGTTGGCGGGAAAATGACAAGGCAGGGAGAAGCTTTGCCTGTTCGTCGGCGCATGCCATGAACTTGGGCATGTTTTTTTTTCTTCTTCAAACACACAGCTTAGTTTAAGTGTGGTGGCTGCAGGCATATAAGCTTGTGAGAACATTTTTCAGCAGTGTAGTAACTTTGCAGCTTGCGATGCACAAACCAGCCACTGGCTGTGGACTTGGTGTTTATAATGCAGTCATTTGGGTTTATGGCATTGTTTCTCGAGAGAAGAGCGGCAAATGTCTAGCTATGTTTGCGAATTAATTGTGAATCCCAGGCTGCATTCTGTGCTATAATGTTTGGCTAACATGTTTTCAGGAACCTCGATTGTGTATCATCAGCGTTTTCTGACTATGCTCAAAAAGTGTTGCAGGGCCCCATCAAGGGACAATAAGAAAGCAGAGTGGGTCAGGGAACAAGTGGGCGTTAAACACATCTTCGTCTGAATCAAGAAAAAGAAATTGACATGCATAGGGCATGTAGCGCGAAGGTCAGATAACGCCATGTCTCAGGCAGTGCAGCGGCTTGGTGTTGCAATTTTATTGTGTCCGTTGTCACACACAGCAGTTTTGTTTTAGACAAGTGCCTAGGGTGTGTGAGCACATCTCAGATACGTTACATTTGATCGTAGGTGTTCGAGTCAATTGTAGAGCCTTATTGAATGAATTTGCCTGCTTCCAAGTTTTGTTGCATCGATCACCGTCGAGTCGCCAACAGTCTCTCTCAGCTGCAACTAGGTGTTCTTTGTTGTCTGCCTGTTGATATTTTGCCTTCTTGCTTTGCGATTTCGTCTTCACAGGGAAGGCAGGGAGAAAGTGGCTGACGTCCTCATCAAGATGGGTCCATTCCTCAAGCTGTACTCGTCATACATCAAGGATTTTGAGGCCATGACATCTGCTCTGGAGGAGGCCAAGCGCAAGTACCCCGAGTTCCAGAAGGTTGTCCGCACTTTCGAGGTTGGTAAATTTTTCACTGTCCTCTGTGGCAGTAGCCTCGAGCTAGCCTTACTGCTTTAGTGTTCATAGTTACCACTCATACACTCAAACCTTGATAAAACGAACTTGGATGTAACAAAATATCGGTTATAACAAAGCAAATGAAGATTACTCTTTCAATGGGTGTAGTGTTAGGAATATACCTTTATAATGAATATTTGGATATAAAAAACTTAGTTTCGTGTAAAATGAAATTTTGTTGTAAGGAGGTTTGAGTGTTGCTGTTCTCATCCGAAAGGTATTAGCAAAAATGCTACATCCGATTATGTTTGCTCACTTCTGTGGCATCAAGCACTTTTGCATGCACATACAGTGTAGGGAAAGGGCTTGAGATAGGTAACTGAAATGCGTAAAAAATGTTTGAATGGACTTCCCACTCAGTCAATCCGTTACAAAAAAAAGAAAACCCTTGAAGTTTAAGCAATTATTGGGTCTGCTTATTGGGAAGTGTGTTCTGCAAAATCTAGACCTAGCTTTACGGTCAATCCCCATTAGCTTTCAGAAATGTTGTGGGGAAGTCAGTAGCAAGGTTCTTGCTGTAAATACTTTGTACTGCTTCTCTCTTCATTCTTTACAACGTTTTCGGTGCTAGTAGTTTTTCGTATTACGACCTTCCGATTTTAAGGGTTCGTGACCGAGCTGTGTGTCCTCGCAGCAAAGCCCTCGCTGCCGGCAGCTAACCCTGCCGCAGTACATGCTCAAGCCAATCCAGCGGATACCTCAGTACCGGCTCCTGCTCACCGACTACGTCAAGAACTTGGAAGTGGAGACGCCCGAGTACAGCGACGCCTGCGCCGCTCTCGAGATAGTCTCCCAGGTGGCCGAGCATGCCAATGAGACCATGAAGCTTGGGGTGAGCTTTTTAGAAGGTCCTCTCATTACACTGAACTTTCATTGTTGATTCAAAGCTGTGCTATGGCTCGATTGTTGAGCTGAAATGACAAGATGGCCATTCTACATTGTTTTATGGCATGGCAAAAAACTAAAGATAGGCAGCCCCCCTGCACAAGGCTACTAGAAAAAAACCACCCTCTCAATTTCGAAAAAAAAATTTGTCCTGGTTTGGGGATCGAAACATGGACTGATTGCTTTCCCATGGCAACGTTTTGCATCCGAGTTAACTGGGAAGCTAGGAGGCCGCAAAGTAAGGCACAAATAGCTGACAACTTCAAGCGTGTGTACTCATAATATAGCAATAAGTTGTGCTAAGATCCTCAAACGGACAGAGTTTCGTGAAATCGAAAGTTATGCGCCTGATAATAGCGTAATTTTACTCGACAGAAAAATGAAAAGAAGCTTCTTGCTAAACTGTTGCCATCTCTTGCGATTTTGTCGGGGCATGTGTGTTGTTATTTTACATTTACGTCTCTTTTCAGGACAACTTCTCCAAACTCATGTCACTACAAAACAGGATCTCTAACCGCTACGAAGTGCTCAAACCAGGAAGGGTGAGCGAAGCAAATATTTTTGTTGCGGATGTATCTGTAGTTTAGTAGTGCACTGCTTGGCATTGTGTCCTACACCGTTGTCACAATTTTTTTCTCTGTTCACCCGCAGGCCTTTTTGAAGGAAGGTGAGCTGATGAAGGTCTCTCGCAAGGAGATGCAGCCAAGGTACTTCGTTCTGGTACGCTTTCACTGATTATTAACTAGCACTGCGTGTGAGCATGTAGGCACCAGAATCGGTTGTCGCTCATTTTGACTGGCGGTTTGGTCATGTCAGTGAGTAAGCAGCCTCCTCGTCGTTAGTGGTTGCTTTAGTAAGCCAATCACTCAGAGACCAGGTCCTATCACTAGTCATCAATCATTATCCCGTGTAGCTATCTGATCAAAATCTACCCTACAGTCTAGTTTGAATATACATCAGTACACATTATCATGGGTTCGAGTGAAGCTGATCAGGTGAGAGGGAAAAAAATGTAGTTAGTACATGTAACTTGCACTTGCCAAAAGGTGTCACGAAGGGATGACTCGAAACTTGATGTTTTGCGGATCCCTGCTCACAAGTAGCATCTGTGGCTCTTGCTCTTAGGGGCTCATTGAAACCTTGATACAGTCGAGCCCACATATAACGGCCCCACTTAAAATGAACTTTTGGTTAGAACGAACAATATTCACGTGATCGTGAAAATATGCATTGGTTCAATGGCACAAAATCGCTCTTACAACGAACGTCTCTGAGCACCACCGATCGGTTACAGCGAACAGGGTCGGCGCTCAGCCAACTTTTCGGGAAACCACTTTCGGCCACCGATCAGGCATCGGCGAGGTGCCCATACACTCTTATTATTAAACGCCGACCCTGCCTCCGCGCCACTCTAGTTGCTGCTCTCCCTGACTGCTTTTCGTTACGCACCCCTCCGTGCTTTGTCCCCCCCCTCCCCACTACTCTGAGCACCCTGCATCGCCAGACAAGGCCCGTGTTTTCACAATGCCACAGATCTTTCAAAGACTGGTCGGCCATCTCCACTGTTTTTAATCGCTAGTACTGTCATTGGTGTCGCCGGCCTGGAGTGACCAGACCATTTGCCAACATCGTCGGCCACCGCCGATCGTCTAGTGCATGCGCATACGCTACTCCACCGACTCTGATAATTTGCGATTTGTTTTGTGTTTAGGAGCTGTTCTCGCTCACTTCGCACTCGGCTCAGCATGCCCTCCGCACGCGTGCGGAAGCGTGACAACGGCTGTTAATTTGCATGGAATGAATCGCGAAATATTGAGGTTGGTGAGGCCACGCAAACCCGCCGTCGCAACAAAATGATTTTTTGACCACGACTGCCGATTCTTTGAACACCGCTGCGTGCGTCGATCCAGGTGGCCGTGCTTTGACTTCTGTGCGCGAAGGCACTCTCAAGTTTTTCTACGTACACATATTGCGGACCTTTCAAGCAAGCTAACCGACCTACCTCCTTCCCGCATGTGTTGCTTTTCAAGGTCACCCTCCCGCCGTGTCCTCCCTTCTCCACTCAGTCGCAACTCTCTCGCAAATCTGCTCTCCTCTCTTGATCACAACCCCTTCGATCGTCGCCACCCCTCCGCGATGCCAGCCACGCTGGTTTGAGTTAGTTTCGTTTTCTGACTAGAAACGGGCCCAGAGACGCGTTCTGGCATGTGTGTCGTGTGTGCGCGTCTAGCTCGCTCTTGGTGTGCGTGTGTGATCAGGATGGCTGACGGGAGGTCTTGCACGCTTTTTCCCACTGCTAAACAAAACGTCGAAAGTGTGACTGCTTGGCTTGAGCGTAATCCGCGCGTTAGGAGCCGCGTTGCGGAGCGCTTGCTCAAAGCTGTTGACCACCTGGCAGTGAACGTGCCGGTCCAGGCGTCCCGGTATTCGGTTGTGGAGATGGTGACTATTTCGTGAGCGGTGGTGACGGCTACATGCGTGGGAAACTGTTCTTGAGAGGACGACTTCGTCGACGTCGGGCCGGATGTTGAGCCTGAAGCTTCCGAAGAGGATCACTTCGGCGGTGATTTGTGGCAGCGTGCCGTCGTCTCCGACATGGGAGAGCGGGTGGAACATCTGATTGGATAGTTTTATTACGGCCGATGGTGATGCCGACAACGCGGAACCGTGCACGGATCAGAGCATTGTGAATGAAGTACGTGGCTAAAGCCATTTGGAGGAATCGAATTGCGAGAACGACGAAACTTTGGAGCCAGTCCCTCATGCAGCTTATGCCACGGGCCTCGGCGAACAAGCTCGCTGCTGTTTGAAATAAACTAGAGACCGTCCTTATCGCTTCTGCTCCTCGAAACATGTGCATCACGAACTTTTTTGGGCAAAAAAAGTTTGTGTTTTCACTCGCAACTTTTTTAAAAGCTGTGTTTCACTTACAACGAACTTCGGGATACAGCTAACGGATGCCGCGTCGGACTCGGGTTCATTCGTAAGCGGGCTCGACTGTATAACTAAGCTGAAAATAATAATATGCCGGTTATAATGAAGTAAATAAAAAATAGTCTTGCAGTAAATAGTGTTTAGAATAAACCTTTATAATGAATTTTTAGATATAACGAAACTATTTTCGTGTAAGGTGCAGCTCTGGTATGATGAGGTTTGAGTGTATCTCGTTAAGTTAAGCTAGATCCAGTGTTCCTAGCATTAATTTTACAAGCGATTTTATCTCGAATTGACTGTTTTGCACTCTCCACTTGTGGCTCTGCTTGGATGCCTGTATTGGATTGAGTGCTGTCTTAGCTTTGTTTCTCTTTCGTCTCCGACAGTTCAGCGACAGTCTCCTGTATCTAGTGCCAACGCCCCAGGGGTTCTACAGGGTCAACTATGAGCTTCCCTTGTCTGGCATGAAGGTGATGGTGCCTCCTCAGCAGGACTACCAGAACGAGTTCAGCGTCTACACCACAAAGCGTTCTTTCATCTTATCTGCCAGGTGGGCGACTAGCGAGGGTCTTTTTGCCCTCTATTCATGTGGTTCTTGCTCTGTTTGCCACTACATCAGAGTTCGTCACAAGACACTGTCTTCACGTTCAAAAAATGGCATGCCAGTAACATTGGCATATGGTGATGACTCTATTAGGGTCCCATTTCCGAAGAAAAAGTGGCAAAAAGACGCTGTCTCATGATGGGCTCATCGACCCTTAGACAGCCGTGTGAATCGAGCCTAATGTGCGCTTCGTATTTACCATTCATGGCGGTTCTGTAAACATTGAAACCCACTTGAATGTTGAAATGGTATTTTCGAAACTTCGATGCATTCGCTGGCTTACACCGTTCCTGTGATGACCGTGGCTGTAGCATGCAGGCACTGAAAGACATCGCGCAACACTGCTGTTTGGATTTCTTTGTAAACAACAACCACTTTGTATAACTATTCTTCTCGGCTGCTATTGATGCAAAAGTTTGGATACCCTTTTGGCGCGCAGACAACTTTTATGCACTTATACAGAGAAGTAGTTCACAGGAAGATGTGGGAATTTCACAAAATACATGGAATACACCTTAAAACCAATAGTATATTTTAATCAGTGCAGCCTAATTCACAAAGGCTAAGCTCTAATTGATTTTCAGTGCAATTGTAAGTCATCTACATATTTATCCACCAAATTTTAACAAAGCTAGAGAGTCATGCTTATAGTCTTAAGTGTGTGGTAGTTTCTCCAACTTGTAAAATGATGTAACAGGTGTTCAAAGCTGAGCTTTATGGTTTTCTTAAAATTCAGCACTGGGAAGAACATGAAAACCATCTTTGCGGATAACCTATGTATCCAGGGGGACACGAAACTTTGCTGTGGGGTATCTCGGTGCACAGACAAGCTAGAAAAATTATTTTGCACGTAACAGTGTAGAAACGCGACTGGCTACAACTTTTCAATACAGATATGCCCGTCTGCTGCAGTCACTGAAAAGTTAGTTATGAAATCTTAGTTAATTTGGCCACTGACAGCCAGAATTATTGTCTCACTCTGTGTCCCTCTGGATACACAAGTTATCTGCAAAGGTGGTTTTCATGTTCTTTCCAGTGCCAAATTTAAAGAACACCATAAAGTTTAACTTTGAACACCTGGTACAGTTTAATCCAAGGATCGCTCCTTTAGGCTGCTTTGCTGGCCAAGACTGTCTCAACGTTCACAGTGCAGGCATTGCCTTTAGCAACTTTTGCCACATATGAAAGAGCAGCAAATCCTGCAGTGATGTTTGTCTTTCACTGCTCTACTCACAATATGTTTATGGCCACTCCTGATCAACTATACACTCAAACCCCGATATAGCAAGCCCGGATATAATGAATTATTGGCTATAAAGAAGTAAGTGAAAACTGGCTCTGTCACAGGTACATTGCTACAAATATATGTTCATAACGTATTCTTGGATATAACAAAGTATTCTCGTGGCAAGTGTGAGTTTGTTATGATGAGGTTGTAGTGTAGTAGAATTGGGCATAGGCACTAGGTGCCCATGTCAAATCCTACTAGGTGACTCAATAAACTTTATCGACAAGTCAGCCTACTGATTTACTAGTAAAGTTACCCTGCTTGAGTAAATACTGGACATCATTGAGCCAGAAGTGCGAAAAGTGAGCAACAGTTTTCTTGTCCACTTATTGAACTTGTGGCTCTGTTTTCTCTATATCGCTGTATGCCTCAATGATTGAAGGGGATTGATCCTGATTGGGACCTCTTTATTTATTTTTTCTGAAGCTCGCCAGAGGAACGAGAAGAGTGGATATCAGCCCTGAACAAAGCCATCGAAGACAACATTCACCGCAAGAGCTCCTTCCACGTCCTCAAAAAGGCACGTAAATTTTGTCGATGATTTGCTGCCACATTCTCACGGATGCACCTCGTCTTCAAGTCACCTCTGAAGCTGCTGTCGTGCCGATTGCTTAGTCACGGCTGTTTCTGGGTGCGGCATCGTCTCGGAACAACACTGGCACGATCGATCTGGTTGGCTTCCTACTATTTGTGCTGGAGAAAAAAATGCGAATGGCTGGGTTTGCTCTGGCACAATCAAATACGCTCAAACCTCATTATAACAAATTCACACTTGCCATGATAATACTTCGTTATATCCAAAAATTTGTTATAAGCATATATTTGTAGCACTGTACCTATGGCTGAGCATTCTTCACTTATTTAGTTATAACCGATGATTCGTTATATCGAGGTTTGAGTGTAAATGTGAAGCTTGCCCTTCGAGACTTGCGGCCTGCTGGTGGAGTCTGGTGTAAGGCTCAGCTTATGTTCCTGACCACTCGGCACAATGAAACAGAGGCGAGAAAAAAAAATGGCTTGGGAAGAGGGTAACCTTCCAATGCTCATTGCTCCCTTTATACATGATGCTTGAATTATGTTGCACAAGCTTTGCGGAAGTTATGGCCTTGCCCTACTGCTTTGACAGTCTAAAAGGGTCATTAGAGGGATTGCTTCATCAAAGACTGCTGGGGGACATTGACTATCATAAGAGTTACTTAAGAGATTAGGCATATCGAACTCACCTAATTTAGCGGGTCTGCAGCCGCTAAATTTAGTGTTGGTAGGACCAAGACCGCGAAAAAAGTCATCGCTTTGCCGCAAAGGTGAAGCAATGAACGCGATAGCAACAAATTGGAAGGTCACACGCAGAATGGCAAGCAGATAGAAACGTGCCCTGCATTTCTCACGCACAAATGTCGCCCAAAACGTACTCACAGGTACAGATGAATGCGAATAAGCGTATCAGTTGTTACTACGCCGTGTCTGAAAAGCGCGCCCTTTTCGCAAATGGAGGATGTGCAGCGATTGCAGTGACCTTTGTGCGCCCGGTAAGTACAACAGAATCGTTCCGACGAAACCCAAAGCCTAGCCAAGACTTACGATTCTCCCCACTGCAAGATAAGGGCACGCGATTGAGCATAACCCGCTTATTCTCTACGTGGGTCAAAGTACACGTGAGAGATGAGAGCCGCCGCGCGCTCACTGCGCCATCTTGCTGATAGTGCTGAAAGCACGATAGTTCCCCCCGAAGATGCCCACCAACAGCGGTAAGTGGTAGATACGAATAGCTTGCCGTTTGAACATTGAAGGAGGTAGCTCTTGGTGGCTCAGTGGTTAATGCCTCGCAATCACGACGCGGAGGTTCCACGTTCGATTCTGCTCGCTGGAGTCTTTTTTTTCTGGGATTTTTTTCTTTCTTGCGTTTTCATATGTGTAGATACGTATACATATGCGATGCATAACGTCTACGCTATCGGCGAAATCCAGCCGAGAGTGCCTATATAATTGCTATCACAATAAAAGGTAGGATTGGGTTTAAGGGGCAAAATGTGTACTTACATCGCTGTTTGAAATGTCTGACGTATAGGTTTTGACGTATAGGTTATTCTGATGTCTAAGTTATTTCCGAAGGGGATTCGGCATCAGGACTTCAACAACATATTGATACGGATATCCAGAATGACTAAAATCTGAATTCTGAAATATAGTTTTGTTTCATGCTTTGACACGTGATGACCAGTTGGGATGCTTCACAAAAGTATTTCCGAGATCAGTCATATCTGTAGCTCCCGAACAACTTGTTAAGGAAGTAATATATATATATATTGTCCCCGCATATATATACATCCCCGCAGGGGTGCCTGCGCAAGTAGGCGTTTGGTGTGTAGCGACACCACGGACCCGAGCTAACGGGGGAGTTTTGACTCCCTCCCACGCTTAGCCGTGCGTGGCTTTGCCGTGTCTGGGGAAAAGGGGATCCTGGGGGTTGAGCTGACGCTGGGTGATTGGACCTTTAAGGCCCCCCGGCAGAGGCAACACACCCCTTTGGCCCCGGCTTCACGTAGACGGCACCCCTGGGCTGACCCACCCAGGGGAAATCGGCAGTCGCCTTTTCCTATCTCTCTCTCCCTACATCTTTGTCTTTCGTTCTCACTTTACATCTTTCCTGTCTTCTCCTCACTTCATCTTACTTCCAATTTTTCCTGGCGGCAAGGGTTAACCTGGTGTGAATATCCAAACTTGGGTAGATATATTAGGTTATGGCAGTGGTGTACAACTGGCGTTGTGCAGACATGTTTACATGTTCTGCCACGTCCCCTTGTTGGGCTCCGTGGTGGGTGGTAGGCGCCATTACTGAACGAACTGCACTTTTCTATGGGATCACGAAACCCCTTCTCCATTGATCGCCCCTTCAAAAGGTGGCGCACCGAAGCAAACGTAATGCTGATTTTGGAAAAACAAGATCATTTCCCTAAGTACCACGTTATTCATTGCGAAAACTCGGACAAAAAAGCTCGCAAAATCTCCCCATTCCTCGTGTCCAGGTGCCTAACCGAGACTATCGGAACTGGCTATAAGGCTACAAAGATGGCAAGCGGGGACTTGCTGGTAGAAGTTAAAGACAAGACACAGTTTCAGAAACTAGAAAAATTAGTAGCGTTTGGAGACAAGCCCGTAACCGTCTCTGCGCACCGAACGATGAACACTGTCAAAGGCGTTGTGTCAGACGATGGCCTAAAAGACATAACAAATGATGAGCTTCTGGCTGGCTGGAAGGACGAAAATGTCATTCACGTACAGCATATCGTAGTGAGAAGAGAAAACAAAGAAACTCCAACCAAGCACATAATTGTGACCTTCGGGTGCTCCACACTACCGCATGAATTAGTTACCGGCTACCTAAAACTGTCTGTGAGACCCTAGATTCCGAATCCGCGGCGCTGCTTCAAGTGCTAAAGATTCGGACATGCTTTTCAGAGTTGCCGTGGGCAGCTTACCTGTGCACGGTGTGGTACCACAGGCCACTCTACAGATGATGACTGCAAGGCCGAACCCCACTGCGCGAACTGCGATGGGGAACACGTGGTGTATTCCACATCCTGTACAGCATGGAAAAAAGAAAAAGAAATTATTACCATCAAAGTCACCCACAACATCGGTTTCCGCGAAGCAAGGCATCGGGTCTCTCCTTACTATGCAACAAAATCATTTGCTGAAGTGGTGCAACTGGGGGCAGCACCACGACGGCATCAGGCGGTTGCCCAAGCTACGCACAGCGTGCTGGAGCGACCGCCGTTTGCTCCTACAGCAGGAGCAGCCAAGGCTGCTCCGGCCTCGGCCAACAAGGCCCCACCACAGGCGTCGACATGCACTGGCACGAGCCAGGGCAACGGGCAGACTGCGGGAGCCCCGTTGACATCCGGTGTAGAGGGCTTGAAGGCTTCGTATCTTGAGCCGAAGCTTGCAACGCCCAGGGATCGCTCGGCAGAGCGACGGCCCAACGCTTCTCATGAAGCTATGGACACGACCGCTAGTCAAACGGCGCCTGCAGCGCCGAAGGAGCGGCGAGTTTCTATCGACCGCTCCAAAAAGGACAAAAGACAAATTACAGGGCCTCCAAAAAGCCCTGTAAAATAAGTTTCATTTTCCATAACCTGAAAGGTTATGGTACCATTCTGTTTTGACTTTAGTATCACAGACACGTCACCAAGGTTTTATCGCCAACAAATCAAGTCTAACTTTACTTTTCCGTTCAAGTTCACTGCCCAAAATGGCTCTTCTTCTCCATTGGAATTGTAGAGGACCCATTCACAACATAGGTGACATAAAAGATTTGCGAAGTAGTCTCTCTCCAATGGCTATGTGCTTACAGGAGACCAATTTGGGAGAAAAACACACCAACTTCCTTAGAGGTTTTACCGTAGTACGGCGCGATTTCATCCATGCTAGCCGGTTGTCCGGCGGCGTGGCTATGGTCGTCAAAAGTGGTATTGCAGTGAGAGAGATCACCATCAACAGTCACATTGAGGCCGTGGCCGTTACCATTTTAGCTCACAAAACTATCACCATATGTTCCATTTATATCCCTCCACACACGCATTTTACAACTAAATATATAGAGCATATTTTGGACCAACTGCCTGAACCGTTTGTTATTGCAGGGGATTTTAACACGCACGGAATGCTTTGGGGAAGCAGTACAACTGACACCAAAGGACAAACCCTCGAAGATTTTATTCTGAACAATGACATATGTCTTTTAAATACTGGTAGCGTCACCTACTGCTCCCCAAGCACAGGAGCCACTAGCTGCTTAGATCTAGCGCTGTGCTCACCGTCGCTCTTTTGCGACCTAAAGTGGAGCGTGATAGATAATGTTTACGGCAGTGACCATACGCCTGCTCTCATAAAATTAACACAAACCCTCCCCACCACTCCATCTCGACCACCACGTTGGAAACTACATCTGGCAGACTGGCCACTGTTCACTGAAAAAGCTGCCCTAGAAAAAGAGATGCTTGATGGCCTAAGCATAGAGGAAATGAACGAGACAGTCACCGCCTGCGTACTCGCGGCAGCCGAACAAACTATACCACAATCCTCCGGCGTTATAAAGAAAAAACTTAAACCCTGGTGGACAAAAGAGTGCATACAAGCTCAAAAAATGCAACGCAAGGAGTGGGGCATTTTTCGTAAATATCCTACAGGAGAGAACCTCCTAGCATTTAAAAAGGCGAGAGCGAAAGCAAGATTTATTCGCAGGCAGGCTGAAAAACTCTCGCGGAAAAAGTACATTTCATCCATTAACAGTTCCATCACATCTAAAAGAATGTGGGATCAGGTGCACAAGTTGAACGGCAACTACAGTTCATATACCATCCCCATTCTCTCAACCCCTGGCATCCAGACAACTTTATGCGAGCAGGCAGACCTACTAGCGCAGCACTTTTGCGCTATTTCGAGCTCAGCAAACTATTCAGCAGCTTTCCTAAAAACATAAACAATCTACAGAAAAACAAAAGCTTCCTATTACAGGTTATCACAACAGATCATACAACTCCCCCTTAACCCTGCAGGAAATTAACAGAGTGCTTTCTCAAGGTAAAAAAACAGCACCTGGCCCAGACAAAATACATTACCAAATGCTCGCCCATTTGTCCCAGGAAGTGGTGAAGGCATTGCTGCGCATCTTTAACGCTATTTGGGTCACTGGCAGAATGCCAACAGAGTAGAAAAAAGCCATTATAATTTCATTTCTCAAAGCCGGAAGAAACCCTACATTATCAACAAGCTACAGGCCCATAACACTCACAAGTTGTATGGCGAAATCCTACAAAAGTGTTATTAATATTAGGCTAACATACATTCTAGAAACCGATAACTTGATAGATGTCCACCAATGTGGTTACAAGAAAGGATGTTCACCACCTATCACCTCGTTCGCCTTGAACATACAGTACGAGAAGATTTCTTGTACAAGCAGCACTGCTTAGCAGTATTTTTCGATCTTGAAAAGGCATATGACACAACGTGGAAGTATGGTATCTTACGAGACCTGGCAGATCTAGGAATTCGCGGAAGGATGCTCAACTGCCTGTCCGACTTCCTATCGAACCGAACTTTTCAGGTTCGTTTAGGTACCACACTTTCAGAAACTTTTACTCAAGAGAATGGTGTGCCTCAGGGCTGTGTCTTAAGCACAACTCTCTTTGTCGTCAAAGTGAACTCTGTGAACCAGGTCATACCATCTACTCTTATGCATTCACTATATGTGGATGATCTCCAAATAGCGTGCTGGTCATCTAACATGGCGAAGTGCGAGTGACAGATTCAAATAGCACTAAACAAGCTAACACAACGGGCTAACAAATACGACTTCTGGTTTTCTGAGGAAAAAACGGTTGCTGTAGCGTTCTCCCAGAAACGAGGCTTACAACCAGACCCCGTACTCAAAATAAACAAAACAGTATTGCCAATAAAACAAGAACAGAAGTTTCTGGGGGTCGTATTTGATAAGAAGCTCAATTTTCTTCCACACATTAATAATCTCAAGGTGAAATCCAACAACGCCTTCAATGTCCTCAAAGTCTTGTCCCGAAAGCACTGGGGTTCCGACCGTAAGTGCCTCCTGCTCATCTACCGCTCTTTAGTACGCAGCAAACTAGACTTCGGTAGTATAATCTACGGTTCAGCAAGAGACTCGTACCTTAAGCGCCTAGACCCTGTCCATAACAAAGGGTTGTTACACCTCACAACAGGTGTCTATCGAACATCACCTATTTCGAGCTTATACGCCGAAAGTAACGACCCATCCTTGGAATATAGGAGAACGAAATTAATGCTCACGTATGTCCTTAGAGTTCGTTCTTCACCAGATCATATATGCCACAGTATTGTCACACGCTGTGACCTACGACAACACTATGCCAACAAGCCAAACGTAATTAAGCCACTAGTACTAAGATTTGAAGAAAAATTTCACACCCTAAATGTCCCTAGCGAAGCACTCTCCGTCGCCAGAAGGCCACCCAGTTTGGCCCCATGGAGTGACTTCTCCAAATTCTTGGATTTTTCACTCACACATATAAAAAAAAAAACACCCCACGTGAACATATACTACATGAATTCCTTAAATTACAAGAAACGTACAACACTTACGAAGAATTTTACACTGATGGTTCGAAGACATCTGTTTATGTCGGAAGCAGCGTGGTAGGAGCAACACACGAGCAAATAACTAGACTACTGCAGTTCGTATCCATCTACACCGTTGAGTGCTATGCGTTATGGATGGCAGTACGATACATTATAAGCTCAAAACATAAGAAAGCTGTAATATTTACAGACTCGTTAAGTGCACTGAAAAGTCTCAATTATAAATCTCAGTATGAGCCATTCAGAGGCGATATTTTAAACATGCTATCCCACACACCTGATGACCACATCATACGCCTCTGTTGGGTCCCGAGTCATGTCGGGATCCCAGGCAATGAAAGGGCAGACCAACTAGCTGCAACAGCAAAAGAGGTGCGCGAGTCAAAAACCAACATACCTGCCAGAGATGGGATTCAAGCTGTTCGCCGGGCCACCACCTTTCACTGGCAGCAGGAATGGAAACCACGACAAAACAACAAACTTCACCTAATTAAACCTGTTCTTGGTGAATGGAAGACCTGTATTCATCAAGCACGTTTTATCGAAGTAGTTATATGTCGACTACGAATAGGTAATACGCACATCACACATAACTATCTATTGGCAGGCAAAGAAGCCCCAACATGCGATAAGTGTCAGGAGCAACTAACTGTAATGCACATTTTAATAGCTTGCCCACATATGGAAACATTAAGAGAAAAACATTTTCGTATATTTTACAGGTTAAATATTCCCTTTCATCCAATGCTACTCTTGAGCGAAGACGCCCTAATACCCATAGCTGATGTGATCAGCTTTTTAAATGAAGCACAACTTCTGAACAAGGTCTAACTGCACTAAACTATGCTACCACTAGACATTGCAAAACTTGACTGATGTGACTCGTAGCACAGCCTCTTCGGAGAGGCATCTGCTGCAGCTGGAATTTACAACGAGGCACTTGCCTCTTGGCCCTTAGGTATAAGGACACGGGTATGGCATTAGTGCTATGTAAAAGCTGTTACGATTTTGACATAACCTCATGCACCAACCATACACATTGACCACCCCGAGCATCACACACATAATCTTAGAAGAGATATATACTTCATGCGTTTACGGAGCCATTCCTTTTAGGCCTTTATACAGCCACGCTTCACCGCTCATCATATCCCATATGTCATCGCTGTCAAGACATTTCAGAGTCATTGTCATAGCCCTGTCCGCTGTAGGTATTCTCACCATGAGTCTGGCGTAGCATAGCCTTAGTTGCTCTTGTGCCACAAAACCCAACATAACTAACTAATATATATATATAGTGCAGCTGTGTGAACAGCAAAATTTTGGCTGTGAAGGGAATTCGAACATTAAAGTTTGAGCGCTCGGCACCAGCTCGCCCATTCATCATGATGGGGCTGGTGGATTTGATGTAGTACGTGTGGGCTGCGGCAGAATTCCAATCTTCAAGACCCCCCCCCCTTGTATATTTGACGTCACTCTCAAAACAAAAATTACGGCTTGTCGTCACTAGCCCTGCAATCATAAATGACAACCACGTGTGCAGTGCAGGCACACACGTGAACAGTGCGCACCTAATCCCAGCGTAACTATATTCTGCCGCAACCGCTGCGAACTTAAATGCGGTCCTGTCGAACGCGATTATCGGCGACCACAAAAGTACACGCGCAGTCATTGCGCACTAACTCAACCCAGTATTTCTTTCCGTGATGATGCGAGCCGAGATAGCAACGACGCAGGTCTTAATTACGCGCACAGCCAGCGCAGCGCGCACAAATTGAAAACAGAACTAGTTTGCCGCAACCACGGCACAGGAAACAGCAGTTGCTATCGTCTTGCTCATCGATAGCGAATACGATTCAAAGGTGTGCAGCTAACATAGTTGTAGATATAAAGCCATAAAACGACACGAAGCGTTACGGCTTTGCTGTCATTCACTTATGGCCACGGTAGTGCGGAGCTTCGTCACTTTTTCTTGCAGTTATCAGTTGTCCACTAGTGAAGCTTTGGCATGCTCGTTTGCGGCGCTGTGCACTCGGCGTGCCTCAAGGGTTGTCTGGAAAGTTTTCTTCTTTATAACCCACCTCTGCATATAACTGGCACCCCTGACCGCAAACCGTGGGAGGAAAAAAAACTACCCACGTATTGACGCAAGGCCGCCTGCTTTGCATTGCCCGTGTTGTGAAACCAACTTGCACGCCAAAATTTTCGTATAACCCTCTCCCCGACTTCTGCTCCGAATTTTCTGTATATTTTGATCACGTTATACGCGAGAAAATAGATTCACTTAGTGTTTGGCCAGGCACGTCTGAGTTGGTGAGAGTTCAATGCAAGCGCTTGCTGCCAAACAAAGGACTAGTCATAATCATCAAATCTTACCTAATTTCGTGATCTATAGATGAAATTTTGCTACAGCGAAATTCCGCGACAACGAATTTTTTCATGCGTCTCGTCATTTTTGTTGTAGCAGGATTTCACTGTACTTGGAATAGTGAAATCTTGGTGCGAATTGAATCTAATCGGAAGCCCTATTAAAAAAAATATTTGAAAGTTTGAATATTCACACACCCCTGAAATACGTATCTATATGATGAAGACAGTGATGTGTTGGCCCGGCTGCGTGTTCAAGACCACTGTGCATAGATGTTCACTCGTTCATTGCACCACGTGCAGGAGGGTTCGCAGTCCTCGTCGAGCTCCGAGCTGGGCCGAGAGGCGCCCGTGTGGATTCCCGACCAGCGGGTGACCATGTGCCAGCTGTGCACTAGCGGCTTCACCTTCACCCACCGGCGGCACCACTGCCGCGCCTGCGGCAAGGTCGTCTGCGCCACTTGCTCCTCTCACCGGCTTCCCCTGCCTTACCTGGGCAGTGACAAGCCCGTCCGCATCTGCGACGACTGCTTCCGCTCCCTCCAGTGTGGCGGTGAGCGATTCTGACCGTTTATGTGAGGGCTTCGCATTAGAACAATTAGAACAGGGGTTCTCAAAGTGGTCTCCGCAAAACCTAAGGCCCCTCCTCGGGGTTACACGAGCCACTGATAAATTTTTCTTAGTTGTGCACTCGCCAACTCAACTCACTTAGTTGGCGATCCTGTGAGGTAGGCCTAGCTCGCTCAACAGTCGGCGTGCTTCCACTTGGGCCATCTCGGTCGATATGGCGCGACCCCTGCTTCACACATCTTCGATGAACTTTACTAACTGTACTTCCAGATCAGGGTAAACGCCGTTCTTAGGGCCGGGAAATGACCTGCTATCGCAGTGCGTGGCTTATAGGCCGTCTTTCCTCTTTCTCCATAGTCGCACGCAAGGCTCGTCCACGTTGTGCTGTCTTCCCGCTTCGCAAATATTCGAACTTCTTGGCGATGTCGATGATCTTTAAGCTTTTGCTGTGCGGTGAAGAACTGCCGCCGCACGCTACTCATGGTGACTCAATAGATCGAGTTGAGCTTTGCGAACAGGTCGAGATGTAGAGAACAAGTGAGTAGTATTAGCGAGGTAGAGAGTGCTCACACTCGGCGACAACTTCATGCTTTTTCTTGGGAGCTCCGTTATGACCTCGTGGAAGCAATAGAACCAAAATGGATGCCTGCTACAACGCCAAGAAGTAGTACTTAAGTTTACTGATATTATCTAATTTGCCTTGCTGAAATAAATACTGCATTATTTGATTACGGAACCCAGATGGTTACGGGAAGTTATAGATAAGAAGCAGGTATTGTTCACTTTACAAAAATGCATTCCCTTTCTTTTTATTTCTTAGACAACACCACATTTTTGGCAAGCTCTTTCCCAAAATAAGCATGGTGTCTGTGACATAGGGGCATGTGGAGGGTGGTGGAGGGTCACTGTGCAGCCACAAACGTCAAAAAAAAAATATATATATATATATTTGTAATGTGACACTGAGGTTTACACTGAACAGTCGAATCATCTGTCCCCAAATGTTTTTCTAGACGCTTCAACGATGGAAAACCTGGAAAAGTCAGGAAATCCTGACCTTTCTGGAAAAGTCATGGAAAAGTCGGGGAATTTCTGAAAAACCTGGCCAGGTCTTGAAAACTGACAGCAGTTCTGTGCGGCCGTCCTAAAATTAAGCATTACCATTGATCAAAGCTTACAATGTCTCTCTTCCGACTACAACTATAGTGAGCTGCTAAAAGAGGTGTGAGAGAAAAAAAAAAGATAGTGCATAACTGTTGATTCTTAGTGTAAACTCGAAAGGATACACTGACGTATGGAACAGAAAGTTTACTGACGTTTCGGCACCCAATATGAGAGAGAGCCTTGTTCACAATAAAAGCCATAAGAAGGCACAGTGTACCTAAGTATGCCTAAATACGGAACGTAAGCAGCGAGAGTACATTGTCAAAAGTGTCCCATCGCTCCTGTTCAGAGTATGCACAGTCTGTGTCTGGATTCTAGGTGCAGGCATGATGCAAGCTTATTTTAAGTGTGGAGCATTTTAAAGTCACACCTACTCTCAAATCCAGCGTTGGCGGTGGTATCTACACCCTACTGCGCATGCTTGCGTCTCGTGCCGCATGCTCGCGTCTCGTGCACAACTGTACCACTTCTGTAACCTCGGGTAAATTTCTCAGTGCAGTGTCGCGAGATTGTGTAAATACATCTGCAATTATTTTTTAGCTTGATGGCCACAGAAGAGTTCCTAAATCAAGGTAACGTGCCAACATCCTTGATTCATCTGTGAAATCAAGGTAGCTGTTGCACTTTGACAGATTCCTTCTTGACACCACATATTCAAACATCGGCATTATAAATGCCGTCCCCAGCTTTCATTGCAGCCGTCTGAAAGAGCCCAGAGGCTTAAAATGCAAACATGAATGTGCTCGTCGGAAAAAGCAATTGATTGATATGTGGGGTTTAACGTCCCAAAACCACTACATGATTATGAGAGACGCCGTAGTGGAGGGCTCCGGAAATTTAGACCACCTGGGGTTCTTTAACGTGCACCCAAATCTGAGCACACGGGCCTACAACATTTCCGCCTCCATCGGAAATGCAGCCACCGCAGCCGGGATTCGAACCCGCGCCCTGCGAGTCAGCAGCTGAGTACCTTAGCCACTAGACCATCGTCGGAAAAAGCAAGAAAATTTTGCAGTGAGGCTCTGTTCTTGCAATGTTGTCGTTACTCGTTGTCAAGGCAAAGTACACAGAATAAGCGAGTAGTGGTTATGCATTCGCTTTTTTTTTTTTTTTGCAGAAAAGTATATTATAGTGGTGTGCAAATCAGGTGGGGACGCAAATCATTAGTGAATACAGCAATCCAAGTCGAGTCAGATCTAGTCCAATCCACATCCTAAATAGTTGAATCAGTAAATACAGCAGTTCAGGTTGACCTGATTCAATTCAATTCAATCCACATCCTAAGCGGCGTGGTCTATAGCCATTATAGAAAACTAGATTTTACTCCATTGGCAGAATCGGCCAGGCTTCCGTGTCCTCATTTCGCACCGATGCTGTGAGATGGCACCACTTCTAAATTTCTTAGCAGCTTTGACTGCGATGTTGGACTATCGCGGGCTCCTTCAAACATTCATCTGTGGTTACTTTTAAGTGGTGTGTTTGCTTCGTGGCTCTTCCGAAAAACATCATGTTATCACATGAACATCATGAACATCATGTTCCGAAGAACAACATTTACCACACGTGCTCAGAACATTCTGAGTCGAGTCTGTCTGATAAATATATATACTTATTTTATATGGAGCGCCTGATTTTTTTTTTACCACTCGAGAGTTTGGTTCCAGTGCACAGAGTTATCCAAGCAGACGTGGCGGTCATGGAATTTGCGTTGAATCATCATGGAAAACCCGGAGAAGTCGGGGAATTTAGAAATATCAAATTTGTAGACACCCTGGCAAGCGAAACTGAAATCGTTCGCAAGCTGCCGTGCTACTTGCGGGGCAACACGAATTTGCGGAAATTGCTTCCGTGTCAATTTATACATTATTCAGGGGCTGCATGGCACAACACGCATTGCTGTGAAGCAGCACTATAGAAAAAACTCCGCTTATCATTTGCACCTTCACATTGCAACTGAAATTTTCGGGTTTTTGGTGTTAGTTATATGCGTGAAAACCCGGTCATGAAATATCGCTTATTACGTAGTAAATGAATTGCAATAGATATAGTGTTAAAAATGAATTTTTATAACAAGTTGTTTGATATAACAAACTTATTTTCATGTAAGATGTAACTTTGTTATGGTGTTTGAGCGTATTTGTTTTACTTAAAGTGTGACAAACAGTTACTAGAAAGTTGCTCGAATTACCTTGTTTTATAATTTTGGAACTTTTTACCTGCTGGATGCATGCAATCCCTGATGTATTTTACAACTTGAGGGCAATGTTTTCAGCAAACATCGCTGCAATGCCTGTTTCAACCCGCTGACGAGGTTTATCTATTGTTCTGTCTTCCGTAGGTGAGCCGAGGGACCACCCGGAGGCAGATGGGGATGGTGACCAAGGCCAGGCGAGAAGGAAGAAGTATGGCGGCGTTCTCCAGGTACGTTTTCGTCTGCTTGCACGTCTGTGCGTCAGACGGGGACGACTTCCGACAGTTGCAATGAAATTGCCATGCCTCGGTCTAGTGGCTAAGGTACTCGACTGCTGACCCGCGGGTCGCGGAATCGAATCCCGGCTGCGGCGGCTGCATTTGCGATGGAGGCGGAAATGTTGTAGGCCCGCGTGCTCAGATTTGGGTGCACGTTAAGGGACCCCAGGTGGTCGAAATTTCTGGAGCCCTCCACTACAGCGTCTCTCATAATTATATGGTGGCTAAGGTGCTTGACTGCTGACCACAAGGTCGCGGGTTCGAACCTGGCCGCGGCGGTCACATTTCGATCGATGTAGGTGAAATGCTATAGCACCGTGGGCCGCGCGATGTCAGTGCACACTGAAGAACACCAGATATTCAAAATGTTCAGGACTCTCCGCTATGACTTCTCTCATAATCATGTGGTGTTTTTTTGGGATGTAAAACCCCTAATAATATTACTAAATTGCCACAGTGGGATATTAATTCAGCAACGTTTGTCTCATGCTGTACACCCAAGCTTAAGCATTTTGCGGGTGAAGACTCGTGAATGAAAGCACGAGTCTTCACCCGCAAAATGGAAAAAAAAAACGGGAGGGTCTCCTTGGTTTTGCTCTCACAGAGTGTGACAACGTAGCACGATGATTCACCTTTTTTACGATGCCATGCTCACGTGCCCTTTCCCTAGCGGAAAAGTCGTGGAATGCCTCAGTGCCTTGGATGCCTTCGCTCTGGCAATACCAGTTGTCTTGCACTAGTCTGTCTGTACGAGCTGGTTGGTACCTGTCCAGGGAAGGCGAGAAAAAGCATGAGCAACAGGAACACGGGACAGAGATGAACTAGGCGTGGAATCGCAACCCCAGTCAGCGGGATTGCAAGTCGGCACTTTGTCTCTGCCCCCGTTTGCGCCATTTATCATTTCCTGCGCCTGTCCTGGCCCCTACCGAGACCCTGCCGAAACTGCAGAGGGCAGCGCCGAAAATCCAAAATGTGGATGGACCACGTGTTGATCTCGAGCCAAAGCAAGAACACATTCCTTTTGCGTGCGATTGTCCTAGCCTTTGGGCGGCACCAAAGCAGGAGTGCTCGCGCAATATCCAGCAGCACTTCACAACCGTGCAGTGCGTTCCTTCATCCCCTTTTCTTGCTCTCTCGCAGGAGGTGGCGGCAAACGATCTGGGTTCGTCGATAAGTGGCTACCTTCACCATTGGTCGAAGAAAGCTTGGAAACGACAATGGTTTGTCGTCAAGGAACACGTGCTGTACGTCTACAAGGCAAGCGAGGACGTGGCCGCGCTTCGGACGGTGCCGCTTCTCGGTTACCAAGTGGGTGCAGTCACCAAGGTGCGTCGCATTTTTTTCTTCCGCGGCAGTCAGTGCGTTGAGTCCTATGGGCCAAGGGTGCAACCTCCCCATTCTTCAGTGTAGTACACTCATACCTCGTTATAACGAACCTGGATATAACGAAATACCAGTTACAATGAAGTACATAAAGAATAGTCTTGTAATAGGTACCGTGTTAGAAATAAACCTTTATAACTACAATGAACTTGTTTTCATGTAAGATGCAAGTTTGTTAAAATGAGCTTCGACTGTACTTTTCCTAGTAACCATGAAACGATTTCGCTACCAGAATTTATTGCCTCAGGAATTGACTGCTACAAAAATCTATAGAATCCATCGAATACGTGCGGAGGTATGAAGCTTTTGTTGTAAACATTAAGGGCTTTCTCTCTCTCTGAGTCTGCGAGCATGCTTAAAGCTACGCAGAGCAATGGGGCACAAGGATACAAGAATTCTTGTTCTTTTTAAAACTTGTGCGCAGCTAGCATGTAGACTCAAACTTCATTATAGCAAAGTTGAATCTTCTCCAAAAATTTGTTGTATAGGTTTATTCCTAACACTATATCTATTGCAAAACTATTTTTTATTTACTTCATTATAACCGACATTTTGTTATATCTGGGTTCGTTATATTGAGGTTTGATTGTAAACGTTACACGTGGCTCATTTGCCCACGTTGCGATGGGCCGTGCCATGGGCATGCTGCAGCCATGGCGACTAGGCAGCTTGTGATGTTCAAATGAGCCAGTGGCCGCGTCTCTTGGGTATGTAATGCAATTGATTTAGGTGCATGGCATCATACGTCGAGAGGAGAATGAGCAACTTCTAGCTGACTTTAAAGTTTAATTGTGAATTCTCTGCCACTTGCCTTGCCATAATGTTTGACTCACGCGCTCACAGGAGCCTTGGCAACCCATCCGCAGAATTTTCTAACCGTGTGCAAAAAACATTGTTGGGCCCCTTTAAAAAAAACTCCAGAGGGTGGTGACTAAGCCACAGTTCTACACTATAGTTTGCCTTGTAATCATATAGTAGTGGTTTTGGCACATAAAAACCCCCTGATTGAATGAAACTTTCTATTCTGACTATGCTGTGTGAAATTCTTTCAGGGCTTCGAAGAAGTTCCACGAGAGCAGCTCTTTCTTCTAGAACACACAGGGCTCGACCCACTAATCTTCTATGCAGACACATCAGATCTTGCGACGAGGTATGTTTGATATTTTTTGTATAGTAAGGATTGTTACGGGCTTCAGTAGGCTTTATTTTGGTGTCCTTTTTTTTTTCCTGTCTTCAAGAAACTTTGCGCATCGGAACGTTTTTCACAAATGTTTCTCCTCATGACAAGCCTTTTTCGACCTTGATTTTACCTTGTCACCCAACTTTTTATACTGCTTTTTGGTTTCCATATAATTCTGATTTTTCATGTCTTTGTGACTACAGTCTACACCCGGTGTGAAGTCCACAGAGACAAATTTGTGTGAAAATTTAGAAATTTTTCTAATATTATACAGGGACATATTTTGCATGAAAATAAGCTTTCATCAATCAGACTCTCAACAGCAACCATTCTTCCACAGGCATTTCATGACCTCACTTATTTTCGATCTAGTGTTATGATTCCAACTTTAAGATCAAATTATAGAACATTTTGTAAAGTTGATATATACTCAAAATTCAATATAAAGAAATATCAGTTATAACAAAGCAAATGAAAAATAGTCTTGCAATAGATAGTGTTAGGAATCACCTTTATAATGAATTTTCGGCTATAACAAACTTATTTTCTCGCAAGATGCGACTTTGTTGTAATGAGGTTTGAGTGTAATTGCCAAGTTCATTACTTTTATGCATAAGGCTCATGCAGCAGTTGGTATGAATGTACAGCGTTAAAAGTATTTTTTGGTGCTGCTAGAAGAAATTTATCCTGCGGCCTATTTGCAGATGGCGGGAGGCAATGGAAGAGGCGACAAAACTCAGCTGAGACATCGGTGATCACTGCAAAGAACCGACGGGAACGTAAAAGGAACGACCTCGAGACGGAGCGTGCCTGTTCCAGAGTAGACGAGACTCTCTCGAACATTGTAAAGCCACGTTGCGGGGCATTCCTTTTTTTTCTCCAGCTGTTACTCACCATCAAACGAACCAGATGCGAAAGCCTCGTTATGTTCGTGCGAAAAAGTAAAGAAAAATTGGCGAGGCCGAGGCAAGCGCCTTACCCACTAAAGTCATCTCGGCCTCACAAGTTGCAATCTCAACCTGCAAAAAGAAATGCCAGCAAGTTGTCGTGGCTTACCATTGTAACTGCCTTGCCGTCCACGTGAAAAACAAGGCGCACCCACGCTTTATGTGGCCTCCAGAGACACAACTAGTTGCTAGCAGGAAAATCAAACGGTCCTTCTTTCGTACCAGTCTTTTTGTGTGTGTGTGCATGCGTGTTAAACCCTCAAAACGTGCCTCCCGACGTCAGCATGCAAAGGCATCGTGACATCTGCTCTTTTTTTTTTTTACCTATCTGCCAGTTTTTGACACATCTTTCATTGTCCCTCCCCTTCATAGGTTCCTCGTGCGAGATGTTCGGTCTCGCATCACTGTATCGTGCCATTCCCTTGGGGCCGTGCTTCTTAATTTATTGCTGCCATCACCGCGTGAAAATCGCCAAAACACTTGTTTGCATTGCCTCGTTAGCTTGTGCAGCCCTCATAATCTCGTTTGTTCCTCGTATAGACGTCTATACATTTACTTCAACTTACTCGCAGTGTGCACTGATCGTTTGTGCAGTTGCGAGGAGCTGCACTGTTAGTCTATTTTTACGTAGATTGTTGATCATTCGTAGAGGCGACGTTTCAGTTTTAGCCGATTTTAGCAAAACCTATAGTTTTTTTATTACCAACCATCGGCGGTCCTGTCAAACCGATCAGTGTCTACTTGCAGGTTGGTTACGTGCCGAAATGTGTATCCAGAAGAAACAGTTCAAGAAAATGTCCGCGCTTCGCTTCCAGCCTGTTGTTGTGATGAAGCTTTGTTCGGATGCTGCATTGTTCAATGGATACGTCAATTCATCGAGTGCATTCACCTGTTTTAAAGCCATTTCGAGGTCAGCTGCATGCAAAGCAGCTAAAATCGCATGCAAAGCTGATTGCTTTGCGTGCAGTGTTTTTTTTTTTTTTTTTGCGTAATGACTTGAGAATTGCGCTCCACTTCTCGGTGTTGCTGAACCGCCTCGCAGACAGTTAGAAAGGTGGAGGTGTTTTATAGATAGTTGCTTTTCCGAATAGCTCTGCACCACTCCATGCCTTTTTGCATTGGATGAGCTAAAGAGACTACACCGACAGAGTTGTGATTACCACCGTGCCTTTTTTTCGTACATATATAACTTAACTGGATACTGCACGAATCCAAGTTGTTAGTTTGGGCTGTGTGCAATGTCGAAACGAGGAAGGCAGTTGTTAATTTTTTTTTCAACCAGTTTGAATGTTCAATCTTTTGATAGTATATAATATATACATATATATATATATTTGCTTTGTAAATAAAACCGTTGCCAATGAATGTGTTCTGTTATCACTTTATTGCAAGCATCAACATGAATGTTAATTCGTAATCCTGCATTCAATGCATTGGTTGCCAGAGATGGGCTTAAAAAAAAACAAACAATAAATGTAACCTACAATGGAATGACAGTGTTATTTAAATGGCTTTTTTAAATGTTAAATGTCGTGTTTCTAATAAGCAGCTCTATTTTCCACTGGGCACGTGTGGCCATGTGTGAATATCTTTCGTGAATAATTTTTAAAGTACTGATTTCTAGGAACATAACTTATCCTTGTTAATCAAACGTCGCAGTACACTGAGAATTGTAAGCGTTTATTATGTAACAATTCTGTTAATAATCTGTCATATTAATTAAGTAACCCATTCACAACAGCGTGACTGCAGAAAAAAAAAAATACTTTTTTTTTTGAGATTGGGGCTCACTCACATCTCAAGGTCAAAAGCAGCCAGGTAAACTTGCCGAAACAGCGGGGCCCGGAGTTCAACCGCCAAAAGGTAAGGCCGATTTCAAAAATACCATGCTTGTAAATAACTTGGATATATGCGGGACTCAAAGCACCATTCTACAAGCGTAGGAGTGTGACGCCTGACCCAGCTCGCAATTTAGAAGACCAACGACTCGGGGAAGCCACTAGATATCGACGACGAAACCCTACCCGCCATTTGCTGTGCGCTTAAGCTTCTGTGTGGCAGTCGATGCGAGTTGGTTTCGGATAGCGGTACGTTGCTCATTTACTTCGTCTCGCGGCTCTTCTAAACGCCTGCCAAGCGGTGAGAGGATAAGGCGAGCTCCTGCAAGACGCGTGCGAGGCACGCGAAAAAAAAAAAAAATGCGAGTGAAATAGTTTAAAAGAAACGCGGAACGTATGGGAACAAAGAAATCACGTGAGGTGTTTGTTTACATGCGCCAGCTGATCGCGAAGCTACGGGCAACACTGGGCGAGGCGATGGGCGGGGCTACGTACTTCCTCCCACAGGAGAGAGCAACCTCCTCGCAAAACCTCATCATCGTTTTAACGAAGCGTTTCTTCAAAAAATCGACGCTAATGTCGCCGAGTTGGCAGTGTCTCGAGAGATTCCGTTGCGGGGACTAGATAAATCGGGCACGTCACATGCGTCAGCGTGTGATGCTTGAAGCCATGCACGAAGCGCTTCTTCGTGTTTAGGTTTAGCTCTCTCTCTTCCCCCAATCGCGAAAAAAAAAAAAGTGTCACGTGACATACACGTCACGTGTGGTGTTGCAGCCATGGTAGAGTGTACTAGAATGGGGGAGTGGGTCCACTGAAGGCTCCACGCTGAGGCGTTTTTTTCGGAAAATCCAGGTGGCGCTACCATCGCCTTCACCTGAAGACTTAGCCGTGGTTGCCATGGTTACAAGTCCCCTTTGCCACGCGGTTCGCGACGGGTGGGTAGTCTGATAGTTCGCGCGGTTCGCGTGCTGCTCGCGCGTCTGGCGCAGTCTCGCAGCGTTGTTGCTTCGTTCGTGCGTGCGTGGCCGTGAACGGCGTCGCACCGTGCTTCCGCGCCAGTTCAACAAAATCTAAATGTTTATATTGCGAAACGCCCTGCTCGTATAGGTAGTCACGCACGCAAGTACCGTGATTTCCACGGTAATTGTTTACAATCAAGAGCGTAAGTTGAATTTGGCTTTTGCGAAAACGTACGCATCGAAAGTGTAATATGAGCATTAACTGCGATGCTTTTAAAAATGTCAATATAACTGGGATATATAAGTAAGTTTGCGTTTGGTGCAAATTTAGACTCACGGCAGCAAATTGAATATGATGCAAGACTAAAGTTACCAGCTGTTATCACGAGAATTAAAGCTAAAGTATGCGAACCCTTCTGCAAATTTGCAGCTATTCGTTAGGGACGCGTGATATTATTGAAAAACTGAACCAGTCCTGTTGCGATTACGTGAGGGTGTTGGCAAAGGAAGTTTAGTCACATCGGACGGCAACTGTGCTATTCGTAGGAAATGACTTATAGGGCGGACGCACGTCCGTCGCGGTGGTTTTATGATGAGTTTTTGTTCGGCATCTAGTGCTGGTATACGTTGTAGGTATTAATGAAATATGTTATATTTTACCTTTTCTCTTCGTGCCTGCGGTACGTGTCCATGCAAACATTTGCTCGAAACATGAACGTGTTTTCACCTATAGATAGGAAGTCTGAAAGACACCAATAAAGAAGTGATATGCGCAAAATATTTTATTTTAAATTGACTGCGCAAGCTTTTCGCATAAATATAAAAAACAAAATAAATATCATCGAAAGACTTCGACACCGTCGCTCAAGGAACGTCAGGCTCTATGTTGTCCTGCTAAGCTTTAAGTGTTTTGCTCTCGCTCGTTTCGAAGCGTTTTCCCTGTTCATTCCCTTCACTAAGAAGTGAAGGCGAGTGAGCACGTAGAACGAAACGAGCTTTGTGCTCACTGCATCTTTGTGGTCTGGACAGCCGACCGCTTTCGAGTTCAGAAAATTAGTTTTCACCAATGAAAGGATGTCAGAGATGCTATCTGTGTGCAACATGGAAACACTGAAACATTCAGTAAACAAGTTTTCAAGTGAGGCAATGAAATCATACAGCTGTCGTGAGGGGTACAGAAGTCCACCCCAGTCGCATTGCTCCGTGAATTGCGAAGGGAGCTGTTCAGCAACCGCGACAGCTTTCTCAAACAGAAGCACTTCTTTGCATTGTACGCATGCCAACTTCAATACACACTTTCTGGCCACGTACCCTGCTGTGTAGTAAATGAGTCTCGAGTCACTCTTCTCCAAAGTCACATCGATGTGGTCAGCAAACTTTTCTGGCATCATGGCAATCGTGCTTTCGACCTCGCCAAGTTTTCCCTGTGATATAAGATCATCAATTTTTTTGTGCGTGACCTTTAGACCCTGTCTGTCATGCACAGTGACAAGAGCGTTTATCATGTCAGGGTTTGCGTTTGCGCTGTCCACACTGTGCGCCAAGTTATAAAAGGACAAGCAGTTGACGGTTATTAGAAACTCATCCGGAGAGGGGTGCGCGTTGCAGCCACTTGACTGGCGAACGATGCCGAAGAAATGTTCCACGGGATCGGTGCTAAGTCGAGATGTCATGAGATATTTGAATCCAACGCTCTCTGTCAGGTACTTCAGCAATGAAAGGGTATTTGCTATAGTGACCCTAAAACCTATGGCAGTGGACTCGCTGAGAAAGTGCCGCTTGTTGTCACTGAATGATTCCCAGTCATTCAGGAAGTCCAGAAAATTGGACAGGAATGCCACGTCTGTAGAAGCTGGTCTCAGCGCTTCGGCCCGAAACCTGGAAGTCATCACGGTGATCAGTCGTTGGATCTTCCTGCAAAATAAACAAAAAGAATGTATGTCAGAAGAGCGCTCATCATGCGTTTGAGATGTTTACGATTACACTTAATTCATTTGGAACGTAGGCGCAACTCACGAGAAGAACAGCTGAGTTGCCTCGATGCTGCCACACCTTCTCTCGATGTCCTCCTTGTAGAAGGCCAGGCCCCGTAGGACATATGGACCGAATAGTTGGAAGGCGAAAGGGGTTCTCATCTTCTCAAATGAGTTTGGTTCCAGATGCGTCTCGGTCAAATTGGGCATAACTTTCAGTGTCCTAACACTTCTGTCTAGAAGGTACGCCTCCCGAACCGGATGCACAGACACCTAGAAATATAGGTTGAGGTAATGCAATGTATGCAAAAAACACAATCTTTGTAAAATGTCAACCATGAATCTATACGTACCAATCCGTCTGGTGTTGCAAAGCCTTTCTGGAGAAGACCATTCCTGAGGCATTTTAGCAGATGCGGGAAATCGGAGATAAAGTGCAATTTCCTCATCTCGTCGACAGGATGCTGTATGGCGCCATTTATTTTCTTCGATGACGCCGACACCCCCGCTAGCTTCCACATTTTTCGATTCCAGGGGGCTCCGTCACAAGTGATGTGGTCGACGAACAAGCCCGCCTGTTCCACGAGGATGGTAGCTTCCATGAGAATTTTCAATAAAATGTCTCCTCTCACATTTCCTTTTGTCGCAAAAACGCCCACAATTTGGCTCCATTTTCCAGCGAAAGGCACAAACATGATGACCATGCCGTGATCACATTGCTGGTACTTGTCTTCGGGCTTCGTAAATTCTCCAAGGTCCACGAAGCCTTGAATCTGGCCAGACGCCGTCACATTGAAATGTTCTGACAATTTCATTTCGTCCACCAATAGTCCGCCGTGTCTTTCGAGGTCTGACATGCTCGCGGTTTTTTTCTTTAGAGTGTTCATTACTGCTTGATTAAAACCGAAGGCCGACTCGTATGACCTCAAGTATCTTTTCAAAGTAGTGTTGCTGGGCATCATGAGAATTTCGTTCTTTCTGATGTGCTGATAAAGCCGGGGACTCTTTAGTTTCATGAGTAAACACTCGAGGATCCACTCCTGATTGTAGCGCATGCCCTGCTTGCTGGTTTGTTTGGCAGCTTGAAAGCAAGCGCGAACACTTGCCTGCTGCTTTCGCGGTAGTGACGATATTTTATCCTCTAGTATTTTATCCGCGACATTCGCATTGTTTGCCCTCATCTCTTCGAGACGACCAGCAATGTCCAACAGCCTTGTCGCCATCCGCTTGTTTCTCTGACTCAGGACCCGCAGTTTGGTGGAGACTGAGTTTCTTCGCTCTTTTCGTTTTAGGTAGCTTTTTCTGGTGAGTATTACTTTCCTCACGTACTTGCATGAAATGCATGAAGAACCTGGAAGTATACGAGAAAAAAATTATGAAGAGCTTCCAGTTTTTTACCATGCATGTTTGAAACGCAATTTATGCACTTTCACTTTCTGTAGGCAAACTATTCTTTCGTAAATGTTAATGAGTACTACAAAAATTAGGGGCCACACAAATGTTCTAGCATTAAACAGGTTACTGATTGATTAATTGTACAATTACAAGTGACGTCTCAATAAACGTTTGCCGCACTCACCTTGTTGTTTAACCGCTCCTTTGCACGTGACACTGAAGACAAGGCCGTCGGAATGAGAGATTTGCTGCTCCAGTTTCTTCGTAAGAACGTCATAGGTGAAGTCCTTCGCCCTACCTGCTCCTCTGCAAGGGTGAAGAGATTCTGCGCAGTCCAGGACTTGTTTGGCATCTTCAAGGTTATAGGCGACCTTTTCGGAGATCAGCGTCTTCCGAACATATGTCCGACAAATCACTTCACTCCGGTCGGTACCGTAATTCATGAGCACAGTCTTTTCGATGCTTACGAGTTCACGACTTAGGGAGGCCGAAACATAAGCAATTCCGTCATAATGACGAAACTTGTGCATTGCCCAGTGGTCGTTTGGCCGGACAACGTCTTCAAGTTCAAATGCGTTGTCGCTTTGCCTCGCACTTTCGCAATCTTCAAATCTCAGTTGCGGCTCAACTGATTGCAGCGCAGTTCTTTTTGACGGCTGGTCTTCACAGGTTGGTGGTGAAGCCGCTCTCTTCTTCGTTGACTGCTCCGGTGTGGGCTGCTCGTCAGGACACTTCAGGAGATGAGGTATAATTATGGGTACAGCATCACTGCGAAGTTCCGGCTTTCCCCGCTCTATATATACTTCTCGGCCTTCGATAATATGTACATATTGCCTTAGTATGTATTTTTGCTCGAAGTGCAGCTCGCAAATGGCATCGGTGACTTGCAAGGGCCGATCAGCGCGGTTGAGATTCTGGTCCCATAGCCGGCGTCTTTCTTCGTCTTGAGGTACTCCAAAGAGTGAGAGCTTGGGCTGGTTTTTAACTCTGCTGTATCCGGTTTGGCAGCCTACGACACAACAGTAATTTCTACGCCTAGACGTGCTCATCCTCTAATCTTTTGAAGCAGCTTGGAACGCTCCGTTATGCAACCAGCAGACACATATCTGCGCACGCAAACGTGCCGTCTGCCGCGTATTCTTTGTCCAGACGGCTTTGCTCAAAGGGAAATACAAACCTACGCGTTCACGAAAAAAAGCATACATTTTATTTCATGTCACTTGTTTTTGTCTCTAATAATGTGTAAAAAAAGAACCAGGAGACAAATTGTGAATACAGCGCACGAACGACGGTGCATCGAACAGACGACGGCGCGTCGAGCAGACGACAACATCGAGCGCTCAGCGTCCCCGCCAGCGCGTCGTGCGGCCCGAACCGCCGCACGACTCGCACGCTCCCGCCGAAACTGACGTCACTTCAGGAGAAGGCTACTGCAGCGCCACCAAATTTTCCGCCGTTTTTGCTTCACCCGCACCGCTTGCCGCCGGCCACAGTGGACCCACTCCCCCATTCTAGTACACTCTAGCCATGGTGCAGCAGAGCAGTCGCAGCCAGCCAGTTCGCCATTGTGAGCCGAAGCATTGAGCAGCATCATTCGGAGGTAACCGCGCGAAGTCCGCAGGAGCGGTTTTTCTTGCGCAGCTTCCTGGCCGTGAGGTAAGACAAGACGATGTCTTCTCCAAGCGCTGGGAAGAGGCGTATGGATACCGACGTCATTAAACTGTATCCTTTTACTCGCTCCGTGAAACGACGAATGGGAGAAAAAAAATATCCCCCCACCAGCGCACTTCACACACCCCGAAGCGTTTGGTTCGCTTTGCTTGGTCGCTCTGCTGATCTGGGTGCTTGGGTAGGGGCACGAGAAAAGCCCGAATGTGCGCGTTTGGGACCTCAGTGCGTGACTTGTTATGGGAATCGACGCTGCGCGCAAGCACCTGGCGATGCTGGTGTGGCGACTGCACCTTCGGTACATGCCCTTAGGTAAGTCTTGCGACCCACCGTATTGTTGCTTCGCTAGGCATGTTCTCCCTTCAGCTGGCTCTAATCAGGTTTGAGGACCCGCTGGCGTGATAGGTATCCTTTGTTTGTTGCTACCTGAAATGCCCCCCGCGACTGTACGCTGCAGTGCTTTCGTGAATTGATGCGTGTTGAACGTACTTTTCGAAGAGATCCAACCGAGGAAAGTTATTCCGTGACCTCCAGGTGATTTGGGCAACCCTTTCGACGCTTCCACGCGGGGCCTTGTTTCTATGCGCCCGCTTAGGCCCTTGTTCGCACGGGTGTCTGCAGTTGTGTGTGTGTGTTTCGTTTGCGGACTTCCTCGGAGGGGGCAAGGCTACTCGACAACTGTCCTTTTTTTTTTTTTTTTTACGACTGTGCAAAACGGCAACATCTGGACGCGTGGACTCGCTTATTTAGTCAACGTTTCCCGTTACGTCGTGACGAGCACAGAAGGTAATAAGTGACGAGAAATTGACGCATCTATGAAAGCAAACAAACAACAAAGCTTCGATCTTTCGCCGTCCCTACCGATCAGCTGCTACGACTAAGCGCACCGTTGTAGGAGCGCATTTCTGACCTCCTTTTTTTCTAAGGGCTCTTCTTTCACTACTTGTAGGTTGCTTTAGCCTCCTGCGTTGCTTGCGACACCCCTCTTTCATTTTTGTGTGTGTGTGTTCTGGAAACCGAGTTACTGAGGCAGTTATTATTATTTTTACCTTGGTCATGGCATCCATACGGACGCGTCAGTTGTAGCAGCTGTCCGTCAGGTCTCGCACTTACTTGAATTGCGTCACATTCTAATGTCTTTCCACGGCGCCTCGAATGTGCGGATGTACTTCCGTATACCCGAACGCGTTAAAGCTCACTGACCGCAATCCGGCTGGTTATCGGTGATTTGCCAATAACTGACCTTTCCTGAAGCGAACTTGTGCGCAACGTTAACCACGCGTTGGTGTAGGTTTCGCCTTTCACACTTGAAATCGCTCTTGTCTTTTTCCTCCGCTGCCCGGTCTACTGTGGTTCGTGCGAAAAAGATGTGCTGGTTAATCCGCTACCTGATCTTATGCGCAACGTTGACTACGCGTTGGCGTAGGTTTCGCTTATCGCACTTGGACTCACTTATTCGTTTGTCTCCTCCGTAATCCACTGGGCTGTGGTTTAACTTGAAAGAAAACGGGAGATCGGTCTCTTCTTAGTATATATATCTCGTACTAGCCGTTTTTTATGTCGAGAAAAAATAAAATCGGCGAGAATGCAGCGAATTCCTTGGACGTTTACTTGGAATCTCGCTTTGTGAACATAAAAGAAACTGCTTTCGACGGCCAACTTTTTTTTTTAACTTTCACATGCTCATAAGCGATTGAGTCACATTCGTTTCTAGCCATATGTTGTTTGTTCCTAATGTCCTTGCCCGTTGGGAAATGACAAAAAAAAAATAATACTAATCGTGCGGCTGCTGCTAGCTACCCGAACGACAGCGTAGGCGTACAGCGAGTCTTGTAAATGCATTTGGCGATGAGATGCGTAAAAAATACAAAAGAAAAGAAAACCTAAGAAGTGTCGTTCACAGCTGGCTGTGCACCAAGATTGCGGGCGCCTTCGCGTTTTGCGTCGTGGCGCCTCTTCCGCAATGAGCATGGCCACCTACCTATACGGCTTCACAGGCACGTGGTTTGGCCCCTGTCCTAGCCTTAGTTCAGCCTGGGTATGGACCGTCAAACTGCTATAGCAGTGGATACAGTAGAGTACTGCAAAGTTGAAACTACCTTCTCACAGGAACATTGGTGTGCACTTGTTACAAATCCATTTTGTTTTAAATTTCGCAATAATGTACTTCAGGTGAAAAGTATGCTATTCCAACTAGGCCTCTACACAAGTCTCTGAGGGGGTGACATAAAGAGGACTTCAAAAACACACATAATGTATCGACAGAATAAAATTCGAAGAGTGCATTATAGCAACGAAAAACACACTGCATTCGTTGTGCAATTCTGATTGTGCCGGAACGAAGTCGCTGTGAAATGTGTTTTGCTTTATCGTCCAGCACGTCAAACCTTCCTTTCGAAGCTCCTAGCCCAGTTCCCGAGTATCTTTTATATTGGTAGCTTTTACTTCTTTGTTTGAAATCAAAGCACTCGCAGTCCATAATATCTGAATGCTTTACACATTCGTTCGTAACATCTTGTGGGCCCGCTAGGTTTTCTTTACTTTCCACTGTCAGTGCAGTCCTGCGGATATTGTAATTCTGTATCTGGAGGTGAACTCTTATCTTTGCTTCTTGTCGTCCGGTAAATAACCACACTTGAAGGTGCCCGCTACGCCGTAGAACATGGCTTCTATTGCAAGTACTGCTGAATAGTTTTTTTTTTATTTTTGTCTTTTAGTCTTACAAAGTTCGGTATGCCTTGTAATATGATAAAGCCTTTTTGGCTGTGTAAAATCTACTGCCATTACTTCTTTTTTTTCTGCTTAGCAAGTGACCACTTCCCACCTCACCAACATACCAGAAATCACTTCCCAAACGTTGTGAATTGCACTGTTGCTCGGAACTTGTGTAAACCCTTTGTAGATGAGATTTGTTGCATAGTGTGCAAGGTTTGTGTAGGCAACATGGCTTCTACACCACACACTGAGAGGATGCCAGCTCTGAACGACCATTTATTGTACTCTCAAAACTCTCGAATGTCACCCCAATTGAGTACCTGACAGTCGCTTTTTATGCTAGATGCCCGAGACGGGTGCAAGCAAGTGCATTGCCTTTCTCCACTTTTCCACCACCATGCAGGAAATCAGCTGCATTGTTCCGAGGAGCTTAACTTCATTTCTTTCAGCACTTTTGTACACCGTTCTATGCCAAAAGTGGAGCGTACTCGTCGAATAATGCTTGTATGTAGAGAACAGCTCTCGATATGGTCTTGCTCTTGCAACTGTTTCCGGTATACGGGGAACATTCATGGCCCAACTGGGTGAGGCCTGCACTCTAGTTCTTTACTGAAAATACAATACTAACTATTCTACCTAACCACTTTGTTTACTTTCACGTCTGTTGGCAGTCCATTGTTCAAGATCTTTGTTTTTTGGCTTGGCTTCTTTGCATTTCCACCTCTGTATGCTTTCACATTCGAGCTAAATGCTAGGATGAAGGCACACAGTGGCTTTATCACTCCTGCTCCTGTAGCTTGGAGTTTGTGTTGAGTGATAGAGGCTTTCTGGTCTCGCTGATAAATAGTCATTATTATAAATGTCATAAGGTGATTCCAGGCCGCTTTTCAACTAGCTTTTACGCATTTGAATCTTTCAAAAGGTTACAGTTACTCCTATGCAAATTTTGCAGGTATCAGCAACATAGTTATTTCTCCCTGATGTGCAAGAGCAATTATATTGAAATGCTTGCTTTTCAATGAGTACGTTGACACCTCAGCGACTGTGTATAGTCCTTTAAATGGCAGGGAAAAATGCCCCCTGGACAAATAACTAAGCACATATGTCATATGATTGCAAGTGCTGACACTGTCAAGTTTAGCAATCATGACAGTGTAATGATGTTGGCACGTCTCTTGTACTTCTTAAAGCTCACCGATTTTCATAGTGTGAGTATCATTGAAGCTTTTATGTCACAAAACACCTTCATCGTACCAAATATTTGTTATTTGCTTATTTATACACTCGGATTTATACTTATGGTCATTGTACCAAACTGTGGCTGTACTTAAGCAAAGACTGTTTTTCAATGTCCATTTCGATAGTCGGGGATGTTTCCACTCTCTTGAAGATGGTTGCACTCTTTCGGGTACATTTTTGTCTCGCGAAAGAAGCGTCTTGCTTGTTTGTGCTTTCCTTCTCGAAAGCTTCTCGATCTTTCGTAACAATAGTGCTTTGTTATGCCATACCCTGCCTGTAACTATCGGTTGCATGGTGCTGAAATAAGGAAGGTCACACAGGATGAGTGATTATTGTTGTATGAGAATAATTACACCTCAGGTTGTATATTTTTGTGTATGTCTCTTTAGGGTGTTCACAGAACTACTTTTTGGGGTGTATTTTTGGGGACATCTTAAAGAGTGTACACTAACACACACCCTGAAGGGTGTGTACGCACAAACTGTGCAGCCATCTTTAGAGGGATTGCGTGTTTTCACTTTTGGTGCTTTTAATGGCTAGCAGTATAAAAAGTGCAGTACAGACACGGTTCCTTGACCCAAAGGCCAGCATTGAAAGCAAGCACGAAGTCACCATTCTTGGAGGCCTGAATGAATTTTGTGTCAAGTTCTATGGCCCGAAAGCAAGTGAGTTGAATGCGCATTCAGTGATTCGTTTCACCGTAGTGCCTTGACTTTTGCGAGTGATGCAAAGCTACCAGCTATCGTAGTGCGTGTTTTGTTCATTGGTGTACTTGTAGAGAAGCTGTTGGTTGTATATAACGTGCTTATTTTTTTTTTCATAAAAAATTTACATCAAGCAGTTCGTATTCGGAATGTAATACACTTCCATAACACCTATTACTCTTCTGTTACTTCAACCATTACTGTATCTTCCCATGTTCCAATTAACAGCTGAACCTTTTAACAAGTTGCAGAAGGTAAGGAACATTGTAGTTGCGTCAATTAGTTGATGAAGGAAAGAAGTGTAATCTTGAGGGCTCGCTTTTTTTAAGACACAATGAGAACTAACAGACAATAATGCCAAAGAAAGTATAGAGGTTGTTATTAAAAGTAATTGTTGTGTAACTTTTAAAGTTGACTAATACGCCCATTCTCAGAATCCTCTTTTGCTGTGATGAAGTTTGATCAAGTTACTCTGTTATTTTAGTATGATGACTGTCCATTTTAGTATGATGACTGTGTACATTGCTGCTCATTCAAATGAATTGAGAAGTATGGAATAAAATGTAATTGAGGGAAAAAAGGTGGGGAGAGTCTTGACATGGTGTCTTTCCAAACAGAGCTTCGGAGGCTCAATTAACCAAATGTTACTCATCTACACATGATACGTAGAGTTAAACTTGCTTTCATGCCACACAAAATATGTCGTGCAATGTTGTATATTCATCAACTACAGAGTTCAAGACTTGAATGTAAACAAACTGTTTAGATCTTTGACGTACCACACCACTTGCACGCTATGCTGATATGAAAATGTTAAATGTGATGTGCACATGGAGTAGGCTGCCTAAGCAGTGATGTCATGAAAATGAAGGTGTTGAGTGATGCTTGTTTTCACAAGCATCACTCAACTGCATTAAAATAACTGCATTAAAGCGCATATATAGTTTATTAAGAAATTTTGTATACACTCAAACCTAATTACAACCAACTCTCATGTGCCTCGAAGATACTTTGCTATATCCAAAAATTTGTTATAAACGATTATTTGTATCGCTATCACTGGCAAGGCTATGGGTCACTTACTTCGTTATCACTGAACGTAATAATATCCCAATTTGCTGCATCAAGGTTTGAGTGTATCCTTTTGCACAGATACCCAAATTTCATAAAATTGGCCTAAATGAGGCACATTGGTGGTATATACTGCATGGATAAACCAGAGAACTCATTGAGTGATTTGTTCCTTGTCTTGGTTGCACCACAAATATTTTGTTAAAATGTGCAATTTTGTTGAGGTTGTTGTGCATTCATTATGTTGAATATCTAGTGCACATGCATTCATTATGTTGAATATCTAGTGCACATGCGTTAAAGTGTGCTCCCGCACATAAAAAAAATTACTCTGGCTTGGGACAAAAGTATTGAGGGCTTGATTGAGCCAAGGCCACTGCATGACTACTGTTCATGGTAATCAAGATAAGGGAATCGAAGCTGCTGCATCTGCCATGCTTATTAGGAGTACGAGCACAGAGTTCCCCTTCTCTCTCAAGTGCTTCTAGTTTTCCTAACGTCAGAAAAACTCTTCTGTGGTATGAAATGGATAGCCCGGGTAGTGGTTAAAAGTTTATTGGATATAGGTGATATTGAAACATATGTTTACTTAGGGTAAGGGTAAATTAATTGTCTGGATAAGTAATGATTGTTAATTGAATGGAGTGGATTTAAAGGGGGAGACAGTTTTGTGAGCAGCTTGGATTGTGGCGGCACCTGGTGGAGCTGATCTCAACCACACTCTTCATTCCAAGTGTCCTCCGAGATCCGCTTCGGCAATACGACAAAACACAAATGTGGCTCAAGGGATACATCAAAGCATGCGAATGCCGACGTGCTGGTGCCACTGCCAGGCTCCTAAGTCAAGAATTGGGGTCGTCTTTGACTTCTGTTATTTCTCAGAGTTAGAGCTGTTTGTGAGCTTTCCGACTTCGAAGAGCGTGCGCTGAACCCTCCTTTGCCATCGGTTGCCCTGCCTTTGCAGCACCTTACGAGGGAGGAGTCTGGAAAGTCCGAGTTGACTTGCCTGAGAAGTACCCCTTCAAGTCTCCATCGATAGGTGAGTCTAGCATTCTCGCTATGTGATACGCTTTGCCTAGAACATCCTGTGCCATTGCTGCGAGTTTCTTTATAGCACTCTTATTACAGCAGGATGAGATGCTTAAACTTTTTTGTGTGTAAAACTCCATTTACCCTGTAGATATTTGCAGAGCTCGTTGGAACAGGAACGAAAGAAAAAAAACGGTGTGGGAAATGCGACATTTCGGTCATGCTGCATTTTTCTGAACAGAGCTTGCAGAACCTCGCCCTGTTAAGTATCATCACGCCTAGCCTCACAGTTAAATTTACCCGAGGGAAATCTGTTGCCATTACTCAACCATCGTGGGGACCACCACAGGTTGAGCATGAATTTTTCTCGTTTGGCACTGCTTCGTTATAGGTGCATATTGTTATTTTTGTTTTGTGGTTACAATTTGTTCTTTCCTCAAATGTTTCCTTACAGTACTCAGTGTTTCGTGAACCCTGTAGAAGCAGTGTGCTCCTTCAAAGGGCTCTGCAACACCTCTTCAGCACGGTCATAAGAATAAGAAAACACTGCCGCGAGGCTCCTGAGAACACTCGAGCCAAACAATATGCCACAGCATATGGTCTGGAACTTGCATTTATAATTCTCAAGATACGCTAGAAATTGTTCCCTCTTTTTTCCACAAATGGTGCCGTATACCCAAACTTCAGGCCGTTGGCTTAAGATTTGAGCATTGCAAGCTGCATGGGTACCACGACCTCTACGGGATGCTAACGCATGCCGACGTGTGAGCTCTTAATCACACTGAAAGTTAGCTGTGCGTTTGAAGAAAAAAAAAAGTTGGAAAGAAAAAGTGCTCAAGGTCACGATGTGCGTGTGTCGTGCCTTTTTCCTCCTATGCCATCCCTTCCTGCTTAGTGTGCTCCTCGGGACAAGAGAAGAAAGCGATTACATCGTGCGACAAGTCTCCGCTTGTGTGTGACCAATTCTACGAATTTTCGCAGCAGTCAGTTCATGAGGTTAATAAACTGCTCTAACGAAGCCATTTGAAGATTACTTGGAAAAGTGTGGCAGGGCTCCTTTAAGAGGAAATGAGTGCACAAAGGAGTACTGACATGAATCTTAAGTATTTTTAGGTTAGTGCTCTAAATAAAAGCACTGATGTTGGGAACCTTAAAAAGAGTAATGTATTGCCTGAAAATGTGTGAAATATATTTTAATACCACTACCTTAGAAAAGCTTTTGGTTTCGATATCGAGAGGGCGGCTTTTCGGTGACGTGTCATGGCGGTGTGATGTCGCGGGGTGACAGCAATTAGCAACATGTGAGCAGCAGATCTGTCATCTGCTTGCAGTGTGCATAAACAATGATAAAATAATTGTAATTCATTGACCGTGACTGTGACTTCAAGGGTTATCACTGCATGCTGGCTGTGGAATTCACGAACTCAGTCACTGTCTTGACTCCTTGTGATAATGTCCATTACGGTGGGGCTAGCTTGGTGAGGCTAAGTGACAAATGGCACTTCACGTGGCACTTCAAAAAAATTGATTTCTTGATTGGTTGTGGTGAAAGTGTGATTTTATGTATTCTTGTGGGTGTACTGATCTCAAATATACAGTTACTTTTATAGTATTTAATATGTTGTTTATACAATACAAAATCGCTCATGTGCCTTTTGGGCAACAAGATTTTTTTTGTTTACTGAAAGAGTTATGAAGTAAATCAGCACATTACAATAATCTTGAATCGGAACCATGCACAGTGCTGCCAGAATGTTTTAAACCCATTTGAGCAAAGGTTATGGTATGCCGAACATGTGTGTGCGAAATCCCAGCTTGAAATTGACTCACTCGCAAATGTTCAGCGTACCATAACTTTTCTTCAAATGAGTTTCGGACATCCATTTTTACTGCGGTGAACTTGGTTCTAGATTCCAGATTATTGTAATATGCTGAATTACATTGTAACTCCTTCAGTAAGTAAAAAAAAAGTGTTCCCCAAAAGGTACGTGATATATTTTAAAAACTACATATTATACTAGAATACACATTTTTGTGCCCCCTTAAAATCAAAGTAAAACATTTTATACGAGCTGCACAACTGTGGCATGTGGAGGGGTGTTAACACTGCATACCAAAAAAACTTAAAGCTTCTCTCTTGCGATGTCTCAAAATTGTGTCAGTACTCCTTTAAAGTTGACTGCCATTACTCAGTCAGCACTCGAAATTGCTTCACATTTCATGCCAGCCACCTCTGGCAGAGTGAGCTGTAGTAGGAGAATAGCTTTTTATAGAGATGCTGTATTGAATAGGTGACTATACGAGTGCATGTCGTTGTGTACATAAATGTTTGGCAGCACAAGGTCAGTGTACGAAACACAGATAAAATGCTTGCAGTGACCATTGCTTTAATGAATCTGGTCAAATGGGTGCCTTTTCTCCTCATTGAACATTGTTCGTCAAATATTGTTTTCTCTTGCATGCGCTCTGTACGTTGCTATGTTGTTGGGTTTTCTTATATGTTGGCAATTATGCATTGTTTTAACTCTGTAATCTCCCCCCCCTTGTTTGATGCCCTGTTTAGGGTTCTAAAGGGTAATAAATGATGGTTATGAATACTGGGCTTGTGTGGCCATTATTCACCAAACAAGCATCACTGTGCATTAAATAATTATTTGCACACCCAAAGCCGCCAGTTCATTTTTCAGCCTTGAGTTTGCTTGCAGTTCACTAACACTGAGCTGTATTTGCTGTAGACAGTCTTTCTGCTCCTTCAGGGATCTTATTGGCTGTGCTGATGCTATCCCCCCCCCCCCCTGAGTAGGCAGCATACGTATTGTGGCCATCTTTGATGGGCCAGCAGTGAAAATTCTTCTGATTTATTGACTCGCTGTTGTCTTTCTTTTTTTGACAGGGTTCATGAACAAGATTTACCACCCGAACATCGATGAAGTGTGAGTGTCTTCACTTTTGAGTTTCTGAAAACGATGCCCGTTAAACAATTGATGAAACGGGACAGGCTAGTCTGCATAAGGGAGAGATGTTTGTGTAGCTAGTCGTGCAGTTAAACCTGCTCATATCTAACACACACATAATGAGTTATTGCGTATATCGAGCGGGTGAGATATTTTCAACATGTAAGATATTTTATGTATCAAATTATTTATTTTTGTGATCCTCTTGGGATTCCATGTATCCACTTATTTGCCTTAGCGACGCTGGAGTTAAGGCGGAAATTCTTTCATCCCTTCATTGGTAAAGCTTCCCAGCACCGCCAAGTGAGGTGCCGCAGGTTTTAATCTCGAATTGCACTCGTACCGCGGATTTTCTAAATGAAAATACTTCGAATTCTCACTCACAGACATAGCTTATTTTTAGCTCTCAACCAGACACCAACACCTACTCTCGAATTTCTGTATAACGAGCCTTTTAATGCTATCGTGTTAAAAACCAGTTCTTGACCATACTGCATAGTTAAGAATGCCGTCAGTTTTGCCAACATCTAATTTTTTTTCCCGTACCTGTAGGTCTGGCACTGTGTGCTTGGATGTCATCAACCAAGCGTGGACTGCGCTCTATGGTGAGTGTTCAATTCACCTTTTTCACGAAGACCTGGCATGTGCATCCTTAACTTAGTGAAAAGTCATGAAACGTCTTGTAGGCTTTCCATTTGACAATACCGGTTGTCCCGACCCCTACCAACGCCCTACTTAAGTGGCAGAGGGCAGCACAGGAAAATGAGGGTCTGATTAAAAATGGGCATTTTCAACACTCACTAGATTTCCAGCAACGCACAGAAAGGCGTGTTGACTTTGGAAATGCCATAGTTCCTCAAGTTCACTCAAAAGCTTCAAGTTAAAGTTGTAATGGAAGAAAAATTCACTCTCGCAATAGGCACACTTTTTTTTTTTTTCAGAAAAGCCGGCTTCAGGTTCGGGGTACAGGCCTATTACGTGGTATAGAATTTCTGATAATTTTACTTTCGACTGCAGCATTGACCGCTGATAACGTATATCTCGTCGAAGTCACGAATATCCTCACTACAGCCGAAACAACCTTCTTCATACGCTACACTGGCGCAAAACGTGTTGAGCACGCAGTCTTACTTGCATGTCCTCGAGTCGAGGCATGTGATGGGGTGTGAATTTGAAATCCCAAATGTTAACATGGAACTGTGATGCCAACGAAATAAACACGCAATAAAAAAAACACCAACACACAGTGCCATCGCAAAAATTGGTTGATTTTGTTTCGGGTCACCTAGGGGGATTTCGCGCATTACCATGACTAAATTTTTGTGCGCTGAGCAGTACCAATCCTTCGATTTGACGGGCTCGCATCCCATATTCGAGACATTGCAGTCCAACTGTGCACCACTATGTGCACTCATGCCTTCTTTCCTTCAAGTGAAGCCACCGGAAACAGTCGGGTCGAATTCGTAAAAAAACGCAACTTCGATCGCCCACGGCCGCCACCGAAAAGCACTAACAGTGATTAGGCTTAGCGTAAAGTTTGCATAAAACAACCATGCTTTTGTCCCAAAGAAACCAATTGTAATTTTTAATTGGAGGGTGAAAGTCTAGAAAAAATTACCGCTGGCGACGCGCAACAGCAGTGTGGTCAATCTACTGGTAGGGTAGGAAATTTTCGCAGGTAGACTTATTTTGCTTAAAAACAAATGCGTATAACTTTATATCGTATTTTGTGTCCTTGAGGTTGCTTTAGGTTGTGCCAGAGAGTAATTCTTGTTTTGTGAAACCCGCCTCACGTTCGTTTCTGTAGCACATTCGGCGTGAGGGGAAGCACTACAGTTCGTTTCACAAAAATTGCAACGTTGGTGTGCCAGCGCTGTTGGAACAGACCAACTTTTCCGCTCTGCGGTGAATTTTCAGGCGCATTAAACACAGCTGGAGAAACCGTGGCAATAATACGTTACTTGACCATTTGCACGTTTTAAACAACTGCTACGGTGTTTGTTTTACTATAAAACAAAACTCAATGAAGCCTGCAAAAACGTCTCACAGCTTCGGTTTTTGGGTTTCACCAGCACTACACTTGTTATCGCCCCCACAAACCAACATTATGGACTTTCATCAGACCAATGGAGAAGACCAAACGCAGATAGAAAAATTCTGTTATAAAAATTTCTACTCGCTTTTCAGAGAAACTGTTCCAAGGTTGGGCATTTATTATGGCACGCTTTTTATTGATACAAAACGGAAAAGTCATGAAGGATGGTAGACAGTGCTTTTAAAAATGAATCGTTCATCAGACACACCAACAGAAAGACACAGACAGACCGAAATTTCTGCCTTGTATCCCAAGAAAGACTATCATGTTTAAAGGTGGCATTGGAGATGAGTATCTGACTCGCACCATTGAAAGGGTCCGTGAATTCGCCGTTGTTCTATTGTACTTTTGCAATAAATCAAATTTAGCACTTTAAGCACGATTATCTGAAATCATGTCTTTATTGTGCTTTTGTTCCTTTACCTTAGCAACCTGATTATCTAGAAACATAGATTTCTGCCAGTGTTTAATGTACTAATGAGTATACTAATGAGTATGCTAGATTTCTGCCAGTGTTTAAATAAACTACTAATGAGTATACTAAAGCAGAATAATTATTATGGGGAGCAAATGCTTTTGTTCAAGGCAACATATAATACTTATTAGCGAGCAATAATTTGGTACATGAAGTAAAAAGTAAAATGAGCAAAGGCTCCTGATCTCAATGAGAGTAAAATAATCACCGTAGCTCCTGCGGCTGTGGAGAAAAAGGTGCATAAACATTGTTTAAAATGCATGGTGGGTATAGAGCGTACCTCGTTCCCTCAACCTTTGGTGCACGCTTTCTATTACAGTGGATTAACTTCTGTAATTTATTAAGCACTTCTAATGCCTCCGTTGCATGCATGTGCATATTGGTCACTAAAGTGAACAAAGGGATTTTTAATTTGCCACCACTACATAACGCCATGGTCCTACACTTTTTTTCTGCACCTTTGTTCAAGGTGGCAGACTTCTACGTTGGTGGGTATGCCAAGTTCTTCACTTTTTTTTTTTCTAATCACACAGACAAAATCGCGCTGCTTGGTATGTTTTATTGGATGCTTGCGATAAAAGCGTCTGTAGTCGCGAACTGTAAATACTGCGGCTTAGAAAACTCAAGAAAATTTTCGAGAACTAGTTTTGCAATATGTCCATTTTAGTGGACAGCATGCGTATTGAAAACGTGGCATGCTCATGCGGGGATCCTGTATCTTATGTGGCTCTCACTTCATGTAGTTACATATTCGTGATTAGTGATGGTCACTACTTTTTAGTTATTGCATTAGTACAGTAGACTCTCAGTAAACAGAACCTGAAGGGACCGAGAAACTGCGTTGAATTTAACAGGAGTTTTATTTACTGAGAGATGAATACGGGTGCAGAATAGAAGCACAAAACCAAGCATTGCAGAGGTGATAGTTCCATTTAAGCAGCAGTTCTGTTTAACAAATTTCCGCTTACTGAGAGTCTATTGTACTTTTGTTCTGTTTCTGGAGACGTGCGTTATAAAGGTTTGTCATTTTCCCTGTCAGCAAGCATCTTGTATGAGACACTGTAAGTGCAAGACTGCATACATATGTAGAAAGTGTGACATGTACTTGAGCGTTCACGCCAGAGGCGACTTTATTTTTTTTCCTTCATCAGGAAGAGTAAGAACATACTGAAAATAGCTGAACCCTCTCCCACCCACCCCCTTAGCACCCTCCACCACTCAAGAAAAATTTTTGTTACTCTCCTGGTTCAACTACAGCTAATTTTCTGTGTGTTCATTTGTTCGATCTAGACAGTTCGCTGGCTGAAAAAAAAAAATCTTGTCAACTTTTAATAATCGAACCTCTTGTGCATGTTGACTCCTGTATCTTATACAATAAAAGTTCGACCACAATATGATTTCTCTGCTTTCTCTGAATGCAAAATGACAGACGACCAGAAGTGAATGTTGTTTAGATGCGTCGGTTCTTGCCATGAGACAATAGGTTAAAGTTGACTTGCAAGGCTGCGTGCTACTAGGATCATGTGTTCACTGTTATGGCAGAAGCTCTGGCAGTCTCGGTCAGCTCTTTCACATACCATTTCTGCAAGAGCTCTTTAGACGGATTGCCCAAAGCAGTTTTCACTGTCGTGCAAGCATCGGCTGCAAAACTTGCGAACACTTTACAGCAGTGAGAGGCTGCAAGATCGGCGATTTCTCTCGCAAGCACACAAGAAACTCTCCATTGTGAGCGCCTAGCTTTGATGTCTTGGGCACCCATCATGCATTACTATGAGTAACGAGTCCGTATGGCATTGGGCAGCAATCGGTGTTGTCATGCCTAGCCCGATTCAACTACTTATTCGAAAATATCTTTCCACTATGCAGATCTGTCCAACATCTTCGAGTCGTTCCTGCCGCAGCTGTTGACCTACCCGAACCCCATCGACCCTCTGAACGGTGACGCAGCAGCCATGTATCTGCATAAACCAGAGGAGTACAAGAAAAAAGTCCAAGGTAAATAGTGCGCTTCTTATTGCTGTCAAAAAAGTCGCTGGTCCGTTGATGTTCCATTAGCTTGTCGTTTTACTCGCATAACGACATGTGACGAGAAACATGCTTGAAATCGGTAGTGGCAACAAGTTGGTGGTTATTAGGGAACTTGAGAAACCGTGACATCAAGAAATTTGTTAGAAATGACTTGTAGTTGCATGCTCTCTGCGGGAACCTTTACCTGAGACGAGGTGTCCTGGAATATTTACGAGTGTGACAATTAAAAAGAGTAACTCCTAAGTGGAGTGATGTACATGTAGTTCAGACACTAGGTTTAGTTTGTCTGGTGCGAGCTGTCAAAACTCTCATCAAATGATGTTGTTAGTCATTATGCGGCAGGGTTGCAAACTTGTCCTAAAGTTCTTGGTACTCAATGATAACTAGAGAGAACTGTAGGTGATATTAAATTGAGCATGCAGAGGACTTTGCCTCAGATGGATGGCATCTTCAGTACACTGAGCCTCAGGCCCTGGTCGGCTTTGGCTTACCTCTGGCAATAGTCTAAGAGAGCAATATGAAACACTAACGGTGCCAATACAGCGAGGCCCCTTTATAAGAGGCATGCTCCGCGCAGCAGTTAGTCTTTTATGCGAGATTTCTCTTATAAGCAGGGTTCCTTGTATGTATTTTTTTTTTATCAGCCTATATTTCACTGTAGGCACACGCTGGTGTCTCTCATATCATTGTCTCTTATAAAGGAGTTCGACTGTACCTATGCTGTTCTCGCATACTGAAGCAGCGTTACATTAGGTATAGGTAAGATGCAACGTTCTTGGCAAGTAAATCAGTGGGCACTGGAATGTTAACATTGTATTAGCAAGTTTAGAAAACAGCTTGGAGAAATGTCTAATGTGAACGTTAGTTGTGTTACAAAATCAAGCTAGATTTCTAGTTCTGACAAGATGCTGTTTTACCACCGAAGCATCAGTCAGTTACCATAATGGGTGTTAATCGACGGCGTCAGCCGCTGTGCATGCTTCTTCTGCACTAAATTTCTTATACACTGGCGTGTTGCTTATTCTCGTTTAGAATACATGTCAAGAACTATTTCCCTGAATGTGCAGAAGTCTTGGGTTTTCAGTCTTCATGGGTGCCAAGGCTCATTAACGCCTGCAAATCACACTACTTGCGTGACCATTTGCGACAAGTGATGAAATCGCGATTCTACACGAATGATGTTTCATACCTGCATGCAGCTACCTATATCCGTTGTCACAGAAAAGTCGCATCCGCTTGCATAATATAAGCTGGTGTCCTGTTCCTGCACATCTGATTGATTCAGGGATTTGCGGATGCAGTTGTGCTACTGAAAATTCCAGCCACGAGCGACCGAGCCAAGGCAGTCGGTCACTTTATGGCCAAAGCGGCCATTGGTGACCTGCTGCACATTTCAATGAGGCCCCGCCGCTCCAACAACGCCTTTGCAAAAATGAAGTTAACTAAAGGGGACTTGGGCACTGTGATCGTTCACCGACCATGGTAATGATGGATAGTACCGTATTTACTCGATTCTACCGCACCTTCGATTGTAACGCGCACCCGATTTCCACCGCAAAAAAAAAAAAAGAAACGTAAGACATCGATTGCAACGCGCACCCATTTTTTCTCGCTGGCCCGCATGATCACACCACTCGAAAAAACGACTCCTTTCGGGAGCGTCTTCCATTTAAATATGAGGTACGGGCGAAGCTTGTGCCCATCTGACGTGTAACAGAGCATTGCCGTCACTGTAGTTTTACCGTGGACCGATGTCAGCACGCGAACTTGCTTCGCCCCCTTCTTCTCGACGGTTGTGGTGCCAGGCATGTCGAAGTAAAGAGGCGTCTGATCGGCATTCCCGATTTGCCCAAGCAGGTAGTCGTTGCGCCGCAAGTTTAGGACGAACCTCTGAAAACTGTGAAGCTTTTCATCGTACTCCTTTGCAAAACTTTTCGCATATGCATGTTCCCCTACGGAGGGAAAAGCCTTTCCTCTTCATAAAGTTAGTTAGCCAGCACCTGCTCGCTTTAAACTGGCTCCGCATTAGACCTTTTTCTAAGACTAATTGCATAGCCCGCACTTGAAGCAGTTCTGCCGTCACGGGCCGCTGTGCTGCTCGCTGCTAAAGCACATACTCGCCGAGCAGCTCTTTAATTTGCGGAAACCGACCCTGCTGTGGTCCACTGAAGCCTTTGCGTAAAGCTTTGCTGTCGAAAATCTTCTGCTTTTGTTTCCGCCGGTCCCGCACGCACGTTTCGGGAACTGCGAACGACCGCGATGCGGCCCGATTTCCGTCCGTTTCTGCACACGCGGTGACTTTTCTTTTAAAAGCGGCATCGTGGTGCACTCGAGTTTTTGGAGTCGGCCATTCCACGCCGTCGATGCTAATGCACTACTAGATGACGAACTCCTCAGCACACGTACGAAGTGCCGCACATGAGAAACACATAGGCAGAAATGGACGACGCGCCATGCCGACGCACGTAGGGGGCGGCCATTTTAGATTTGCCGATGGCAATAGATTGGCCGTAATTTTTTTGTTCGTACTCGATTCTAACGCGCATGCGATTTATGAACTCGCTTAACCGGAAAAAAGGTGCGCGTTAGATTCGAGTAATTACGGTACATGGATTCGCCTAGTCTTCGTACTTGCAGGCGGCAAATCGTACTTGTGGCTTCGTTTATTGCTGTGTTTCGGTTTCGTTTCGAACGAAAAAACGAACCCTCTTGAACTTCGTGACCTGAACTGAAATAGTAAGCCTAAAAGATTATGGTGGTGAAGTGCAACCGCTGAACATTTGCTTGTTTCGTGACAAAAAAGGTTCAAGCCACACGTACATAAACGAAGCCAGAAGTACGAAGATTAGACAAATCCGTGTACTACCCATCATTCCTATGTACACTGAAGCACCGTGCGTTGCATATCCCATAGACACTATTGCCAGAGTTCCCTCAGGTGTATATTCAGGAAACTCCATGGTTGCAACGGGTTCGCAGCGTCACACTCCAAGAGGCCTGCCCCGTTGTCCGGTCGACCCGTGCAGTGTTGCACGTATAGTAGTAGTCAGGATGACTGACAGGCTAAGAGAAAACAAAAATATGCGCAATGAAAACAATTGTGAAACAAGCTAGGTACTAAGTGAATTACAACAAGTACAAGTATAGATAACGGGGGTTGTTGATAAAGTAATTATAGACACGAGAGAGTTAAAGAGAAACACGGTGACAAATCATGTGATAACTGCCCTGCTACATCTTCGGAGCTTCTTGTGCATGCAGCGTGCTCTGCCTCAGTGATAATTACAGTTGATTATAATAAAAGTAAACGGTAGCAAAAAAATTTCATACAGACGATGTCGGCTCATAGTGCTCTTAGGGGAGTAGACAACTTGCCACCGATAGTCTCTTCAACTTCGCTAGACGAAAAGGGTGCCCAGTGTTGCAACCGGCTCTATTAATTGCACACGGCACCCTACGCTTGCTGCCTATGTAAGACCTGATAACCACTCTGTTAGCTGGTTGATCATCGGCTGCTGAAGCAGCCAAACTCTTTCGTGGTTTTTGCACCCCCACCAGAGACGCGTTCCTCCAACTCCTGCCTTTTGCCCCCTGCGTGGGAAACCGTCGGAGGTGGCAGTCGCTTAGTCAGTCGCGGGACGTTTTTCTCCCGACACCATGGTGCCCTTCGTTGGACGAAGGGTTTCCTAAACGAGAATCCCAGACATTTGCGACATGATCTTTTGTGACCAACTTGGTTGCACAACTGGTGCTAGTTGCAGGTGTGAATGAGTCTTTACTAGCCAAGTTTAGAAAAAACTGAGTTTGCTGAACTTAGCTCAGGTGACAAGCTAGCTGCCAAGTGCAGTGATGGTCTCTCGCCACTCTGTAGCCCTGTTGGGCTGACGTGAATGTACCATTTCCTGGCGCAGAGTACGTCAAGAGGTTTGCCACAGAGGAGGCGTTGCGGGAGCAGGACAACGAGTCGTCGAGCAGCGAGAGTTCCATGAGTGATTTCTCGGACGACGAGACCAAAGACATGGAGCTGTAATTCTTCATGCATCTGTCTGCCTGACAAAATTCACGGACACACACACACCACTCACGCATTACAGGGAAAAAGCGCGAAGGCCGAGGGGAAAAAAACAAACCGGACAGGACGTGCGAGCGGACGTCACCTTTTTTCCTTTCTTCGCCCGCCTCTGCCATCGCAACGCCATCTTCTCACCTTTCCGAGCATCACGCCCCATTTCCTGGCCACTACACATCCACCGCAGCCGAATTTTTGCCTCCGCGACCACCATCACTCTCCGTTGTCTTCTTGCACCTGGCTGCCGTGGCACGACGGAAATATCGCGCCTTTTGCTGACTTCGACCTCGCGGCACCGTTAAATATTCTGCCTGGTTTCGACACGACGTCCCAGCAGCGCCAGCCTCCTGCCAGCGGGACATGCAAAGATGGCCACCACGTGGTGGGACTTTTCCTGCTCCTCATGCAAGAAAAACGTGTTGTCGTATTCCCCTCGTGCGTGTGCCATTGTGGTGTTCTCTTGCGTTCGCCGCTTTCTCCACTCACTTCGCCGGGCAGTAGGAGAAGTGCCAGCCAAGCCGGGAATGTACGTGCGTGCATGTGTGTTGCGCCTCATGTGGATGTTCTTGTCTCACCCTCGCCCCCTCCCCTCCTCTTCTGCATGCCTGTAGCCATGGCAAGAGAATGTCTCTCTTCACGACCGCTCATTTTTAGCTTTTTTTTTTTCTATCTCTTTAGGTTCGTGTTTTCTGTGAGGGCCACAGATTTGGTCGATCGTTTCGGAAAGGACGTCTTTGTTTTCACATGCACTTATATAACGCGGTAGAAGCAGATGCAGCAATAAGAGTGGCAGGTTTTTTTCATTGTCACTCTCACAACACGGCATTCTTTGGCTTCGTTGACAGGAACGCGACGTAACGCAATGGAAGTAGTCTTCCCTTGAAACAGCCTGTTCGATAATGTGGCTTTCGTTCCTGTGCAAGCGGTCTATAATATTTTATTGACAATTCTGCTAGGAAAGCAGTGCAGCAAGTCCTGAAGGAGAAAGCTTTTTTTTTTTTTGCAGGGGCTTCCTTTTTCAAATGTATTGCAACCCTCAGAAGTATGGCAACTTCTTGAGCACTTTCATTTGAGCGTTCTCTGTTTCATCAACGCTTCATTCCTTATTTTCTCTCCCTTCTAACCATGCATTGACTGGTTTGCCTTTGAGGATGAAGGCCTTTCCCGACAGAGTTCTGCAACATTTGGCTTCTCTTGATTGGATTTTCATCCTTGCTGCACAACTGTGTTGCCATCAAGCTGTCTAAATTCTTTTAGTTGTGTTGGCCGGTGCCCAAGTTTTTATTCATTTGCACGGCTTGTAAAATATCTTTTTTTTTTTTAAATTGTCGGTGAGCGTATATTGTTGGCTGTTGGGTCGCGCAGGGTTTAGCATGGGCGAACTTCATTGTCAGCACTTGAGTCCAGCACAGTAAGTGTGTTTGTTCGTTGGTAGTCGTATAATCAAAATGAATTGAGGAACGACAAGCCTTCTCTCCAAGGCTGTTGTGTAGCTATGGTGTCAGTTCGTTGCCTCCAATGCATTTTAGTGCAGATGATTTTCAATGTGTAATTCGTGCCTTTATGTAGCAGTTCTTTGGCCTAGCATTACAATAGTATCTGCTTAGCCGAGAATGCAGTGTTTCACCCGGTTAGCCGGAAACCAGCGTTCTGTACGGTCTTTGTTTGGAACAGTTAGCTGCTTTAAGGGCTACTGCAAACGCGATCTTGCCACACAATTCGCGAGCATCGGATTAACATCGGCACGTTGTCGAATGTGTTCTGCCGCTCGCCATTTTTAGTGCGCATTTTTAGCGCCTTGTTCTCGGTTTGTCTCTAACCCTTGAAAAAACTGAGTTGGGGGTTGTTTTCGAAAGAAACGATTCATTCGAGCTCCACCGTAGTTGCGATTGTTCGGTCCGAACGGTCGCGCATGCGTGTATTCTTGAAATGCCTGAGCAAATGAAATCGCACTTATCACCATTTGTGAATGTCTCTCATCCCGGTACTCCACAACACTCGCCCAAATGATTAATGGGCACATATAAAAATAGCACATCTGCGAACGAGAGAGGGTGCTCTTTTTTTTTTTAAGCATTTTTGTTTTTTTTAACTTATTGCAAAACACATCACACAACTCATGCAATGTCTGTTCAATAAGAAATACAGCAGACAGCACACAGTGTAGTTATTGTTTCATTACCACAACGCGTGACACTGGGTTCATTGCAAAAAACCGGGCACTTTGGGGGAACTATGACAAGAATGATTGAAGATTATTTTTTTTTCTTTGTGCTCGGTAATGTCAAACCAAACTGTGATAACTTCACTATGAGTGGCCACTTGCAGGGAAGGGATTGCAGGGCGTGCCCCCGTTTTTTTTTTTTTTTTTTTTTTTTTTTCAATTTCCTTTAACTGTCGCAAGCTGTCGGGAGTTGTGCTGTATTGTTGTCGTTTCTTGCGTGTCTTGCCACCGCTAAGGTTGGGCATCGATATTCACATAATCCTTTGCTTATCGGCACATTTTCCGTTTTTCTGCTCGACTGGTGTGGCGCGTCTCGCAAGCAGTGCAATCTCGTACTAGCCAGTGGAATTGTGCGCGTGGCGGCTGCATCACCACAATTTCTTTCCCAGTAGTGCCAGCCCCAATATAAGCTAAATATTTTTGTGCCGCCTTAAAGCATTGTCTTATGTATACTCCCTTTGAATAAGAAGCTGCAGAAAACAGTAGATGAGCTGACTTTCTTCCATCTGCAGGAACCGATGTTAACACACCTGTTATAGTTTTAAACTTGGTGCTTCGTATGGTACATATTGATGTTTATGATGTACCGTTGTTTGCTTGCCCAATCTACATGCAGGACGTATAATTACGACCTACCTTTGGGGTAAAGCGTCAGCGCATCTGTTATGCCTCATGGTTATTATGTTCTTGTCTATGCTGAAAAACATGCCCATTTGCCAACGTCAATCTATCGTGTTGACTTAAATTGCACTCAAACCTCATTATAACTAAGTCGAACCTGCCGCAAAAATATTTCCTTATATTCTAAAATTTTTTATAAACATACATTTGTAGCACTGTACCTATGACGGAGCCATTCTTCATTTCGTTATATCCAGGTTAATTATATTGAGGTTGAACCCTTGATAAACATTTGCAATCTGAAACGTGCATACCAGTTGTAAGGGTTGCCTCGTTGAAAATGTTCTGTGCGTCTTCGCTTCGCAGTGGAAATCTGGGGATATCGCTGCTTTAGTAAACGGCTGATTGTGGTGCGCAAACTGGCGTCGCGTGCACATTTCCACCGGCGTGAGGACAGGTGTCTCGAAGGCGACAGTTGTAAACAAGTTTCTCCCGACGCACAGTTCGGCGGCAAAGGTGTACTGCAAGCTGTTGGCACGCCTCTTCAAAGGCACCGATCATTGTGTTCTCGCAAGAAATGTTACAAGCGCATGCTTGGAACAGCCGTGCATGTAGGACTGGCGCACCACGGTGTTGCATGGTAAGGTTGCCTCTGCCGCAGTTGTTTCATTATCCTCGCCAGTGCGTTCTCGTTTACGAAGGTTTCTTTGAGTAGTCTGCTCTTGGGAAAAAAAAAAAAAGGAGAGAGGTTGGATTTTCGAGCGGTGTTGCAACCGTTGTAGACAACCATTTGTGGACCCATTTTATTTTTTTGTGTTTTTTTTTTTCGACTGTTTGCTCTTATTTTTTTTTGTCTGGCAGGGGCCGTTGCTTCTCGAGTAGTATTGCCAGTGTGAACGTACGCATCTTAAACCATTGCTTGTCTCAATCACTATATAGTCTTTTTCTTTTTCGTGTGTTTGTGTGAGTGCAAAGACACCATAGTTCTATATGAATTTATAAATAAAGCTATATCCAACTTTTTTGCAATGTCTTATGTGTGCATTTTTGCGTACTTGTTCTTTTCTGAGACCTTCTTCCCATAATTTGAACAATGCGCCTCTTGCGTTTCTACTCATATTTCCTGATGAAATCAGCATTGGCTGTGCCGACATGCAGGTGACGCTCGGTTGGTTGCCACTTTTGGACCAGTTGCATATATCATCTGCACCGTCGTTGCCTTTTCAAAATAATTTCAAGGCGATTTATTTGGAACTGGTGGGTACTTGAAACAATGTGCATTTCACTGGAAACTGTCAGATGCTTGCCCTCTCTTGATAACTGTGGGAAGCCTTTACAAAGAGCTTTTATCAGTGTCTTGTTCACCATAAGATCAAGTATAAACCGCAGCACCCGAATCATTGAATTTATGAGTGAAATTATATGTGTTGTCTTGGTATGCCAAAATGTTAAATGTGTATGTATGTTTACATACATGTGTATAAGTACGTATGTACAAGTGACTTGTACATTTATATTTGGACGTGGCAGCCGCCGACGCTCCGCTTCGGCAAAATCGCCTTTGGTAATAAAATGGCGAGACAACGACACGACCACGTTGGCCGTCGTCAGGTCTTCCTCTCTCACTACATACCTTTCAGCGGAACCGTGAACAGCTGTATACATCAAATTTAGAGTCGTGTCACACACAGTGTGTTTATTCAAATGGCTTGAAATGTGGTGTGCATATTTGTGCAGGCTTCCTGAGTAAGCAAATATTGGTCATTTAGCTTTCTTGTGCTGCGTAATGCTGCAAAAAATCGCTTTGCTGGTGACACTGCACATCAACTGGTCGTCGAACATGGTAGTGTTCCTGGATCCACATCAAGATTTTTTTTGCTTGAAATAAATGCAACCAGAAAACAAACTGTTCTTGCGCTTAGGCCTAATATTTCACTTTTTTAATGCAAAAGTTGACACTGAATGAATATATAATTAGATATTTAATTACATTCCAATTAACTTTTGATTACTAAAACTGGAAAAAATAAAACATTCCTTAATTTTCTTTCTTGGAATGTAATGCTTAGTGCCTTGGAATCGTGCCATGCAAATTTGACACATTTGTAGAGTCTTATCATAATTCCATAATTCGTGTCTGAAGTGGATATGTCATATATGCTTATGGTTGCATATATGTTATCATATGCATGTTGCGCAATACAAACAGAAATTGCTCATCCAACAGTCATGTTGGAATCATAAAAAAGTATTGTGCAACAATGTAACGAGGACTGCAGCGACGTACGATGCCTGTGCAGAAAGTAATAGCAATGTGCGTAACATTCATTCTGTAGGCTCGTGTGCTCAGATTTGGGCGCACGTTAAAGAACCCCAGGTGGTCGAAATTTTCGCAGCCCTCCACTATGGCGTCTCTCATAATCGTATGGTGGTTTTGGAACCCCACATATATCTATCGTAACGTTGATTTTGAAAAATTGGCCATGAATGGACAGGTACCCAGTGGCCCGATAAATGAGGGGTCCCGCTCCATCAAGAGATCTTGATGCTTTAGACGTGCCCATGAGCCGACGGGTGTATTTGTTTTAAAAGTGCTTTAATCGTCGATATTCAAGCTGTGACGCTGCCATCAATGCAACATGCTTGCTTTCAACACAGAAGCAGTTAATATTGCAGCCTACGGGTTTAATTACCGCTCGATACCGCAGTGCTGGACGCATTCAAGGGAGTGCTTCCAAAACGTCGCGACCGATGTTCTACTATGCAAGATGAAGAGGGAGTACACAAAACGTGAAGTAGTTGACAAAGAACACTTCTTCAAAAACTTAAGTTTATATGTGGATTGTTTGTGAGATATTGTGGTTGACAGTGACCAAATACATTGCATGTGCTCTAGGAGCAACAAAAACTGAAACAGCAGTATAAAAGTGCCTGCTTGCGAAGGCAAACAGTTTACAAAGTAGCTCTAAACTGCATAAATGTACGCTCATGCGCAAACCTTGGACACACTTTTTTAAAATTTATATATGGAAAAATGTGGGAACGTAGGCTATGTTAGAGCCGGCTATCCCAACATCATCGTAGTAATGTACGGGTACACAGAGATGCGAAAAATTAAGAATAAAGAAAGGAAAAAAAATATTCGGAGGCATATGACATAGAAACAAAACGAGGCTTATAACGCGTGAGCTCAGTCTGTGGGCATAATCCAGTTCATGCAGCGTATCGCATTGCGAATAGAGTTTGTACAGGTAATGGCAAAGAAGACAGTTCATTAAATTTGTGTCCACTAAAAAAAATTGTGAAGTGCATTCACTGTGCGCCTTTATCGGAATGTGGCTACGGTCCAAGCACTTCGTCAATTGTAAGTGGTCGTCTGTCTAGGCGGTTCAATCGGACAAACTGGCATGTCGGTAGGCGCTGTTTGTACCACTTGGAATGTCAACAGCCAGCTATTGGCTGCAACAGCAGGCGACCTAGTATGCTGCATGTATACAATGTGTGGAATACATATATCGTGCTCAAGACAATTGAGGATGTTGGGATGAATCTAGAAGTGGTATTAAGCATTTCCACAACTATTGGACATTAACATTTTTTAAACATTGTTTCCTCAGCTAGAACAGTGAACTTTGTTCGGCTTCTGTATCAGCCGCATGCCTGAATTAAGTCTTGTTATTACTGTATGTATTGGCCCTTGTGCAGAAGTGACCATTTATCATTAATAAAATTAGTAAGTTCAGATACCAACAGTGCATTAAAAGTAGAGTATGAAACACTATCTACGTCATACTTGTTTTTTGTTAGATATTTCCCGAAAAGCTTTAGATATTACAAAGACGATAAAAGCTGTCTGCTACAACCATAGTTTTCTAAAATTAACTAGAGGGGACTTGGGTGCTGTGATTGTCGGCGACCATTGGAATGATTGGTAGTACACGAATTCGTTGTCTTCCTGCTTGCGGGCGTCAAGCGCACTTGTAGCTTTGTTTATTGTTTTGGTTTGGTTTTGAATAAAAGAACAAACCATTTTGATTTCCGTGAGCTGATTTGAATTGGTGAGCCTAAAAGGTTACGGTGGTAAAGCGTAACTGCTGAACCTTGGCTGATTGTCGTAAGCAGCTTCAAGCTACATGAAGCCAAACGGTATCAAAAGTATGAAGAGTTGACCGGTTTGTGTACTACCCATCATTCCCATGCTCACCGAAGTGCAGTGTGTTGCAGCTCCCACAGACACTTGCGCCAAAGTTCCCTCTTGAGTTTTTATAGGAAACTCTTCAACCACAACTTTGTAAACTTTCATTTAAATTAGCCTTCATTCTATCTATTACCCCTTTGCATGAAGTTTTCAACATTTTTCATATATCTTGTCATTCTAATGATACTGCATTTTTATGTTATCGCACACAGCTGGTTTCTATGGTTTATTGGCTACGCAGCAACGTGAATGCTGGTCTGTATATTTCTGTGCCAAATGCGAGCTTGACTGCCTGTTCATAGGCACCTCAGTGTTCTTATAGAGGAACACTATAAACAATGCATAGGGGCATTATAGAGCCGAATAAGGACTCTTGTGACGTCAAGAATCTTGGCAAGCCAGGAAATGCCGAAAAAAAAAAAAAAAAAGGAAATGCAAGTGGCGATGTACGCAACATCTTATATTTGGTGGCCTCTCCTAGTGGTCTATGCAATATTTTATTGTTGAAAACTAATGAAATTTGTGTTCTGAAAGAGCCAGGGACTCTGGAGAACTCCAGAAAATTTTATTGCATCTGTATGAACAGAATACAAAAGTAAAAACGCACCTGAAACATCAAATTGACATTCAGATTCTGGTGCAAGTTCAAAATTAAAAAAGGATACCTTGAATTTCTCTTATAATCAAAACATGGACAGCATTATCAATGACTATTTTATTGCTTAGGTATGATCTATCATTTTCCTTTGCACAGGTAGACTTGATATGTAACAAGTTGTTTGTTATGTATGACACAACATAACACCATATAAAAATTGTTTACCAGCATGAAGATATTATAAACTGTAATAGACGGTAACAAAACTATTTCGTTCACATCTGAACAGCAAACGTTGCACGCGGTTGTTTAATGTACAAGATTGACATTGATGGAGTGTTCTACGAGTTTTCATGCATTTTACATACGGACATAAACATATAATAAACTATAATAAACATATAGTTGTAAAAATATTTCATCCCCATCTGAACAGAAAAGATTGCGCGCAGCTGTTTTTAATGTGCATGAGTAAAGTTGACTGCATGTTTTTGAGAGTGTTGCGATTGGAATTTATTAGAAAGTCTGCGTTGGGTCACGAAACATGCAGAGTGGTACTTATTGGTAGGTAACGAAAGGCAACAAAAATGATCACGAGTGAAAACAGTCTTACTGTCCTGCTGTTTTCAAAAGACGCAATGCTGCGCAAGTAAGGAAACGACTGCATCGCGTAGCCTTCCAAGAGTGGAACTGCCGGGCAAAAACATGGAGATTGGCTCTCGCTATTATGCCACTGGCTGCTGAAGAAACTTCATGCGATGCCACTTGATGGTACTCTATTTCGCAGGTGCAACACTCTGTGTACCAGGCCAAGGACAAACATTACAAAACACTGCATGAGAAAGAGACTGTTGGCAAGACGACTACACTGCCAACGTAGTCCGATCACATGGGTCTGTCGAAGCATGAGCATTTCAAAACTCCACTCCCAAGGCAACAGATCACACTGTCAGCTGACACATCTCTCGGAATACTATTCGGTCTAAGTCTAAGACAAAAGCCTGACAAGCCAAGAAAGAAAACTTTTGCGCTTGTGCAGCCGACGGATGGAATGGCTTGATTGCAAGGAAGTGTTTTGTCAAGAGTTTTGAAGAAAAACTGCCATCTGCCTCTATATACACCCACCAAAAGCAGCATTCTTGGACGGCACATTTTTTTAAAAGCTACGATGAATTATTACTACGAAGCCCAACAAACAGCAAGGAAGCTTCGACAGGAAACATGGACAAAAAAGGAAGTTTGCGGGCTTTCGCAGTCGACAACATGGGGCGAGGAACTGGTAACCTTCTGTCAATCTTATTCGTTGGCTGACCTGTAAAAACTGAACGTGCCTCAACATCAAGAGTACTATAAAAAAAACTGGTGAAGCCTCCCCAAAGTATGCGTTTTTCAAGAGGAGAACGTCATTGGCACTCATTACTGCGATCTAGTCCTTGTCGCTTTGCAGGCAGATCTCCTTTTCAACAGTAGTAAACGATGGAATGGCATTACGCGAAATCTTCTTGGAAGGCATCTTTTCAATCCTAATGAGCGTTCTCCTCCACTGGTGGGCAACAGGTGTATGGACTAAAGCGTTAGAAGAATAACGAGAAAAGGGAAAGCGTCAACTGTGATGTCATGCAGCCACTTCAATACAAGTCCCAGATGAAGGCACTGTGTGGTCTTTCAGTTGATGAACAGCTCTTCCGATTTGATGCCTCCTGTCGACAGAGTCTGGGTACTAGAGCTGACCAGCTTCGGGGGCTTGCTTTTTGCCCTCGCCAAGGATGATAGTAACGAGTTTCCGTCTTCAGTCTGCACGCCCATGTCGTGGAGGACGATTCGAGTCTTCTCTCGTTCGGCGATGATTTCTGCCGCCACCATCTTTGCCAGTCGCTGGAGCACCTCGTCCTGCAAAACATGCAGGCAAGAAGAAACGAGTGTACGAGGCCAATGCTTTTGTAGATGCAAATTTTCAATTAGTTATATTTAACTCTATGCTGAAACACAGAAGGGAGAGTAAGAGAAAGCTTTATTCAAAAAGAAAAAAGTTGGTCAATTGCGTCAGGCATAGCCTGTCACCCTAGCCGTCAGCCGGAATCCCTTGGGGCACGGCAGCAGCAATGCACGGGCCACACCCATGCTTTGGTACCCATCTCTGCATTATCTGTACATCGCTACCTACAAAAATACAGCTGGGCCAATGTTGGTCCCCCCCCCCCCCCCCGTGCTCAGCCATTTCGTAGAAAAACGTGGGATGTACTTATGGGAATGATTATAGTGTTTAGAAGCATCCTACTTTAAACTGAAGCAGAAAATGAACCTGGGCCATTGCAGGCCCAATGTTGGACATTCCCAACGTTCGGAAGGATTTGTAAGGGGGCTACTCAGTAGAACATATTCTGCAAACTTTAGCTGCGCTAGAGACAAGGCACAAGAACAGAAGGAGACTAGATGAACACAGACACGGCTGTGAGCACTTATCCTGCCTCCTCCTTTTCTTTGTGTCCCGTATCTAGCGCAGTTTGGGTAATCTTGGAACTTCCCCCCTCCCAACCCTCCCGTCATGTTCCCAACCATTTGGAAAAAGAACTAGTGCAGCAGTAGAGGAGAGCACCTACAGTAGTGATGAATAGGTTAGAGGCGGCCCATTTTCTGGCACAAATCATAATTTATTTTCGAATAGTGTGGGAAGTGCAGTTAACATTTAGGGGTGGAATTGGCTCAAATGAACAAGGTCATTCACAATGCAACAAAAATAAAAGCAACGGCAACTCACATTTACATTCGACGAGAAGAAGGAAGCTTCTGGCATATCACCTGCAACAGATGTACAAGCAAGGCAAATTCAATGTGGCAAGTCCTGGTGCCAAAAAAAAAAAAAAACGACCGGTGTAGCTTATTGTGCTGTTGTGTTACGATAAATTGTTAACCTGCGTCACCCAGCAAAGTCTATATTTGGCAATGCACAAAGCATGTGAGATCGAAGCAAAGAAGAACAATACAAATGCACATGATGCCGTACATTTTTTCCACGTGCCATGCAACTGTGCAAGCGCATGCTAAAAAATTGAATCAACTACAAACGTACAGACTCGTGTTCTTTGATGAACTTGTAATTTGTATTTCCAGAGACATCTTCCCATGAATCTTTACCAAGACATGGTTTCTTGATGTGGCATTATATCTTCTTTTGTTGTTTTGACAATACAGATGTTTTTGAAATTATTATGAGAGTAAGGCCTGTCGTTTTAGTGCAAACTCCACATCAAAACAGAAATACTTTGACGTAGTGAAAATGCCACTACTGCGACTAAACAACAAAAGCTTATTCATAAATTCTTCATTATTGACTTCAGGGCAGGTACTTTTGAAAGCTGCTACGATGTTTCTTGCAGACAGGCAGAATAGTTTTTCGTGCCTGTTTATCGTTTAAAAAGAAAACAGATAAGCAACACACATGGCAGACAACAAGCTGTTTACATGTGTATTTCCAAATTCTTTCGGATTTCGCTGAAGAGGATTCTGATAACAAGGTCACTGAGTTTTGAATATTCCGAATTATGTGCAACTTGTGAGATCTTTAAAAACTGGTCATGCCGACGGTTTGCACGCAATAGTACTTTCCAATATAATCAACTGCCCTGAAGTTAATTAGCGAGTTTTTGTAAGTTAGTCGCGTCAATGCCATTTTAGCAGTAAAATATCATGGCCTTCACCTCCTCCTCACCATCACTTCCCTTTCACGACCCGTTGCCATCCTGCTAATACATTGCTATGCTACGCGTTACCTCCCCCTTCCTCCTTACACTCTCAACCCTTTCCTACCCCCTTGCTGCTTTCCTACCCACTATACATGGCTATGCTATGCTTTCTTTTTCTATTTCCTTAACTCGCCTTCTAATTTTTGTCGCTTTCTCTATGTCCATTTCTTTCACTCTCTTCCTACTCTTACCGTCTATCCTTTTCTAACTCCCATAGCATCGCAACCATTTGGTTCATATAAATGTGCGCTCTGCTAGCGTGTCTGGATAGCCGAGTGGTTAAGCTGTTTGCCTTCGGCTCATGTGTTGCTAGGCAAAGCATGGGCCGACACGCTCTGCTTGAACGTCGGAGCTTGGCAAATTTCTGCACATGATCTGGCACGTAACCTCAAGCCTGAACAGCTCTTTTGCTTAGGCTTGAGATTAGTGTCTCCTCTTTAAAAAACAGCTACGACTTTAGAGTTGAAGGAAAATGCGAACGATAAGCCAAAGTCACGCACCACAACCTCCTTTTCGATTTCCTGGAATGTGCTCAAAGCCAACTGGACTCTCAACATCTGGCAATGGATTTGGCGGGTTCCCTGTCATGGACGTTGATGTGGAGCTGCCAGGTACGCTCGGTCCATACGGCTCGTCGTCCTCAACTAATTCCTCGTTGTCTTCATTGGCTGCCTCGTCGGAAGGCACTCGAGATGGCAAGCGAGGCTCCTCCTCCACAGCGTTGCTGCTCAAAGGGCAAATGAAACGACAGACTGAGTTTGGAAACCAACCAGGTAAATTTAGCAGAAGGAAGCAAGATAGAAAGACAAGTTGGTTGGTACACATGCATCGATGAAACTTCAAACGCATACTGAGACAAGGTCAGGTGAGGAAACAACACCAGCAATTAATATTAACTAATGGCTTTATTAAGCAAGAACAAATTTACATACCCAACCAGCGCACCTGGCCTGACACATACGCACACCATTCTTCCGTGCCAATACATGCAAATAATACACTGTATTTTTTCATTAACCCCTTTCCTCGGGGAGTGACACTTTTTTACTGGAAATAGTTAACGACGGGTGACTGATACAGGTTGACACCCTTGTGTTAATTTAGAATACCTCGGCAAGTTCTCGTAATGTGCAATGATGGTGCTTGAACAGAGCGACCGTACAGGAAAAGCGTACTTCACAACTACACTGCGCACAATGCAAAGCCAAATGTGGGAGTGGTCTTCCTTCCAAAGACAAAGATAAATGCAGACATGACTTCAGATTCTGCTGCAACACCAAAGTTGCTGCACCCTTTTCAAGTTTTGCCAACAAAGGGTTTAAATATAGAATAAGATACTTATTGGCGTGGGTGTCTTTTTCAACACAACGCCACGACAGGGTGCATTGCATGACACAGACTAGTCATTGCTTTTGCTGCTTTCCGCAACACTAAACATCTCTAAAAACTTGCGAATGCAGTGCAGTGTGCCCTGTGTTTAGCGGAAGGGTTCAGATACGAGCTGATGCTAATGTAAGCGCATTACGCTGTATTAAAGCTCTGCTGTAATGCTGTTATCACGCTATTCTAAGAACATATTCCTATGATGTTCATTATTGTGTTATTGATGATATTAAACTAATCTTGAAGTAGATTTCCCTGCAGCTTTTTCTGTGTTACGGCTGCAACTTTGAGGCTTGGACAAGAGGACCCTCAACATGAAACAAATGTGCTGCCTCACCAAGGTGGTCTAGAGGCTATGGTGCTCGGGTGCTGAACCGAAGGTCATAGGATTGAATCCCACCTGTGGCGGGTGCATTTTCGATGGAGGCGAAAACGTTCGAGACCCGTGTCTTTAGGTGCAAGAACACAAGGTGGTCGAAATTTCCGGAGCCCTCCACTATGGTGTGTCTCGTAATCGTATCTCGGTTTTGGGACGTTTAAACTCCAGATATTAAAAAAAAGTGTTTCTCTATTTACACACAGAATTTACTACATGAAAATATACGACATGTGACCTTGTGGAAGCTTGTTTTATCCTCAAAGCTAAAGACAGCGATGTTGCCAAGCCCTCTGTGGTGTTACACATAGCGAAAATTGGGCATCTTGATGTGCACATGTAGGTCTTTTTTGGTGGTTAATCTTGCACACTTATCTCTTTCTGGTGGTTAAACTTGCACACTTATATTACGCTTTTATTTTTCTCAAAAAATTTTCAGTTGTTAGTACATGCCTGAGTTGTTTGTTTCTTCCTGTGTCTATGGTTTTCGTGCAGTTTAACTCGGAATTAATTATCAACTTACCCAATAGCTTATTCTTCTACGTATACGTTACACAAAACCAAGGGTTTTTTTTTTTTATGTAGTCCAATCTTTGTTCCATTTGGACTTTGAAAAAAGGAGTGATTTTTTTATTCCATTGCTTTGTAGTTAGTGCAAAAGTAAAGCCTACAATTAGTGATCAGTGACCAACTGCACTATAGAGGCTGTACTTCGTACTTGCCGATGGGTGCTGGCACGATAGAGTTTCCTAAAATTAACTGCAGGGGACTCTGGTACTGCGATTGTTCAGCGCTCCGTGGAAATGATGGGTAGTACATGGATTTGCCTGGTCTTCATGCTTGCGACCTTTGAACGCAGGTGTGGCTTTGTTCACTGCAGTATCTAGCTTTTTTTTTTTTAGAATAAAAGAACAAACCGTTTTGAACTTCCTGAGCCGATTTGAATAGTTGGTGAGTAAAAGGTGCAAGTGGCGAAGAGCAAATGCGGAACATTTGCCGATATTCGTTTCGTGACAGAGCAGTTGCTAGCCACGCAAAGCCAAACGAATATGCAAAGATTAGGCAGATCCATGTACTACTCATCATTAACATGCTCACTGAAGCACCGCGTGTCGCAAATTCCATGGACACTTGCACCAGAGTTCCCTCTAGTGTACTTATGAGCCTAGTGCGCTGCAGTTCTCACCGAAACAGTGGCGCCTTGCGACTGCGAGTGGCTGCGTAGATGGTAAAATAGCAGTTCGAAGGGAATCAAGCTAATTTGCGGTCAGACAAGAGTGTTGCGCGTGTATGGCTGTGATTACATCAGCAGAAGTGCTGCTGGTAAGCTGTCGAAAAATAAAATTGTATAAACTTGCGCGGAAGGCTCACTACAGTACGAGCAGTGAGAGCATTGGATGAGGGTGGTGTAATGTGCAAGATAAGCAGACGCTCTTCATTTTTTTTTTAGCATCTACTATTATTGTGAATTCATGCTCGATCAGCATTGCCAGTAGTGGCCGTGCGCTTGAATCCGTTGCGACGTTGTCTAAGTGCCGCAGCACCACAGTACCAGCTGTCGAGGCCTATAGGAAACTTTTTATGGCTATGATAACTTCATGACATGCACACCATGAGCACTATACTTAAACAAAGCGGTAATTGGTACCACTAATCTTATATTTATAACCACCCTGCTGTATGTATCATCACCAATTAACTTCGTGCTGCTGACATTGAAGGCACTCTTTGCTGGCCTTAACTGCCCTGCATATACCCAACTATCCTCCGAAGCATCACTTGCATTAGATGCTATTCAGTGTGTAGAATGACAGTGCATAATTTGCAATGAACTCTCTGCCACACTTCTTTTTTTCTCAGTGCTTTATTTTAAACAAAGGAACTCGCAGGTCCCCTGAAAACGCCGTTCAAGAAGCACGGGGCAGTAGGATGTCTTGCTTTTGAATGCTCAAGTATGGGCCTCAGATCGATAAATGGATAACGAGTGTGGCACCAGGTAGTGGCACTCTCTGCACTTCCTACTGAAATTCGCAAGTACTATCAGTCGGTTGACTTGTACGTGCCTCGGATCAGTTCCATCTGCGGTCGAAGACGTGGTGTATTAGTGATGCTGAATTACCGAAGCAACTCTGTCTCACGACCACATCAAAGGCCGTCGTGTAAGTATGCATCACGTCGGGTATTATAAAGCTCTGCAAAACGGCTGTCACAGCACTCTTCAGTGTATAGAGGAAATGTGGCAAATTAGTTCTACAAAAGGCCACATGGTGGAGCAAATGTTTTGGGAAGGGACCCGATTCTCAACCACCTGAATTCTCGCATAAGCAACCGCACAGCATACGTATACCTGGTAAACAAATATTCGCAACCTTAGAACTGTGCAAGATTGGATTAGTTGGTGATAATAATATTATATGGGGTTTGACGTCCCAAAGCCACAATATGATTAGGAGAGCTTTTGTAGTGGAGAACTCTGGAAATTTTGACCATCTAGTGTTCTTTAACGTGCACCAACGCCGCGCAGTACATATGCGTTTAGCATTTTGACTTTACCGAAAGGCCAGAGGCCTATGTAACCTAGAACCTTGAAGTCTGCAGCCGAGCACTATAACTGATACACCACTACGGCAAGCTGGGCAAGCTTGTAATCTATTAAATAGGATGTTAGAGAAAAAAATAACTTTTCATGCTACTACTTATCATTATCAATATCTTTCACTGCTCGTGATAGTCACCTTCACTACTTCTTTTTCAAAAGTTTTTTGCGCTAATAGCAAATAGCGCAGGCAGAATGCAATACTGGAACTGAGGTACATTGCAAAAGGATCAAAAGGTGGGCTAGTCGGTAGTTCATATTTGTTCAGCAAACTGGGAGGATCGGAATGCAAACACACAAAGGAAAAAACCACACACGTGTTGTACGGTTCTTCCTTTGTTTGCTGTGTGTTCGTGCTCTGCCATTTCACTGAACAAATGAAACAGAGGTGACGCTACACTTTTGATGATGCATACTGTTTTTAGCTATTTAGGCACTATCTCAAATCTCTTTAGTGTTAATAGCGTTGTGCGTAGCTATTGTGCAATGTAACAAGAACCTAAAGGAACAAGTGAACATGCATGACTGAGTGATGTGAAATATTACTTTGTTAACTCGGTAGCCTATGTAACAGAGTAATATATGAATTTTAGTACCACTTGTTTGCAAGAATGTTAAGGATTGATTTCACTAATGACCATGACATCTGTTCATTGTAGGATTGACAAAGCTTCTTCGAAATGCTCATAGGTTCTTAGGCGAACTACTTGGTTCACGAACTTTATGGCAGAACAGCGCAAGATACGAGACAAGTTGATAGTGTCATGTACCGTACATTTCACTGTCCAGAATTTCGCACTAAATCTTTCCGGTATAATTTTTCTTAATGATTTAATTTGGTTAGATACTCACGCTTCAGGCTCGAAGTCTCCAAAAGTGTTGAAGCTGTTTGTGGTGTCGCAATCCCGTCGGAGCCTCTTGCTGAACTCTTCGGGACTCAGCTGTGGAACGCCTCTAGGCCTCTTTCCTTGCCAGACGACGTCAAAGTGCACGATTTCCTTGCCTCCTCTGTTAATGCCAACCATATAATCAAGGCAGACCGTGCTCCCCGGATGAAGCACTTCGTTCAAGTCACCGAAGAAGATGGTTCCGTCTTTGTAAAAACAATCACTAGTAAAGTCTATCTTCCTAAAGACTCCAGACTCTTTAACCTTGCATGTCGCGAGGCATTCCATGCTTTTCAATATTGTAGCCTTGGCGCTCTCGTAAATGGACACACACGGCTGGATTGCACGTGGCGGGGGCAGCGAGGAAGACTGCCTGAAGCCCGGCTTTTTGCCAAAATCGTCTACCGGCTCCTGCACGCTGTTGGCCTTTTCTCTGTTAATATCGGCACTTTTGTTGACTATATTGTTGAAGATGTCTTCGCTGTCACCCACGTGTGGCAGTGCAGGCCTCTGCCCTATCCACACTAGCGTCGCAACCCACTTATTGTCTCCTGCATCGACGGCGTCAAAACTTACTTCTTGGCCGTCACTAACTTCCCAGAGTAGATTGTCGAGCGGCTCCTCGTCGCGGTAGGTCACACCCACAGTCGCACGAGCTGTGCTTGTCTTGTTGATGCCATACTTTATGGTTCCTTCAGCCTCGGATACTGGGTAAAAGAAACCCCGTTCGCTCGACACTTTCTGCCTGGCTTCCCATCCCGACAAGGGCGAGTTCACTAGATCCACTTTTCCTTGAATAGAAGCAGTATCGCTAAAATCTGCCCTTGTCGAACACGAGTTCCAGTCCGGGTAATCCAAGGAATGAGATTCGTCTATGTCTCCGTCACGGCTGCCGGAATCTTTGTCGTGAAGCATATCGCGGATGTCTGACTCGTCCTCGGACATGAAGACCTCGTTGCCACTTTCGTCGTCATCAACGGACCCTTCCCGTTCTGACTGCCGGCTCAGGCACACCATAGTGGCTTCCCACTTGACCTTATCAGACGGCTTCTTGCTGGGCTTGGCATGGAAGCGCACTCTGTCATCGACAGTGAGCACGTCTGGCAGGTTCTTGATGGACCTGCCCAGAGATCTGTCCACGTTGTTGGCGTGAAAGAAGGCGCGCTCCTTCAGTTTTGGGCCGAACTTGATGAATCCGTAGTTCGACTTTACCGTCTCTATGACGCCGTACTGGTTGACGATCGGCAAACCCGAGTTGCCACCGCTGCTGCCGGTGACACTGTTGGAACCTGGGGACGAGCAATTTGACGTCTGCTTGACGCGTGCCACATGGCTTGCCCGGAACTTGGCCTCACACTCCCGGGGTCCCGACTTGGCGTCCAGGACGACGGTGTCGTTGACCTGGAGCCCCGAAGACGGCAGATTGTTGTACTTGGCGTTCTCGAAGGCCTGGACGTCAAAGTAGACGCTCGTCTTGATCGGGTACTTGACCGAGATGAAGCCGTACACGTTGAAGATGCGGTACACAGTGCCCACGACGTTGCTGAGACTCGTCACGTCATCGTCGTCACGATCCGAGGCGGACGGCTGGAAGCTCTCCGTGCTGCCGTCCAACAAGGCCGCCTCCATAGTCGTCGCGCGTCGGCGCCTGGTACGCACAAACACGTTGCTCTGATTGCGAACGACGAACACCTTGGGAAACTGTTGCAGGAATATTTTCAGCGACTTGACCGAACAGCCGTACTTGGTGCGTAGGTCAGATGGCAGCTGGGACAGGTGGCCCGTCAGCTTCTGAAGCGAGATTCCCTGGTTAGACTCTACTCGATCCTTCAGAAACTTCACCATAGCCTCGCTAGAATTGCTCCGTTGCTTAGCCATAGCTTGCGCGCTGGTGCCGTAAAGTGACAGAAAGGAAATACATAGGCAGAAGCAGGGGAGAAAGAGGTTAGCGGCGGAGATGGCGTAGAGCAGGAAAGACGGGAAATCACAACCTAGAAGTGGTGAAATATCGAGGGAAGAGCGCTGCAACCGAGCCCGAGCAGCTGCACAAGACCACAGGCACGGCCGAAAGCGCAAGCCATGCGCGCTCACGGTGCATACATTGAAATCACGCGGCGAAGCAGGAACCCACATCGCTACAGGCGCGTCGCGAGACACTGCATCTAATGCTTTCATTAAATCGGGGAACAGTGAACCGAAAAGGCGTGCAAATAAACGCGATCCCATATGGCCACGTACCCGCGCAACGTTCCGACATCGATGACCCAGCAGCGATCAACAACTGGTCAAACTCCCTAGTTTCTGTTCTTCGCTGCCCGTCGGCTGGGTCAGCCGGCTCGTCATCTCGCAGTTACTCCATTCCTTCGTGGAGACTACATGAAGATCAGTTCCGAAACTTCACTATGGAATCCAGACATGTCGTTCTGTAAGAGATTAGCGAGCGAACCAGCCACCTGGGAGCGATGACATGAAACATGCATTGCTTTGAGCCACTCATCGCAAATTAGGAGGGAGATCGCAGAGCAAAAAAAAGAAAGCTGAAAAAAAATCATTTGCGATCGGAAAATACAAGCAGCACTCGCAAACCCAATGCTTGTGTCATCAATTTTAAAGTTATGTGCAAAACGTTATAAAGACATGTAATTGCCAAGTATTGGTTTGTTTATTTGGCAAAAGATGACGCCCCAATTGGCTTGTCTCGCGGTAGAGATTAAAAAAAAGTAATAATTTTGCGAAATTCATTCGTAGATTATAAAACGAGTTTCGTAACTCGCAATTTTATCCATACCAAATTATCGGTGATTGCATGGAAAGCGCCCGTCGTCGGAATCATAGTTATTCAATATTACGTGGTGCAAAACTGCGTTCGAAAACCCGGACTGTCGCGCCGTCTGACATCGAATGATAGTTGGTGTGCTGGTCAACAAGTAGCGCGACAATCTGCACATTCCCCTACATCGTCCTGATTCTCACACATACACACAAAAAAATGCCCTACGATGCATGAAAACAGCGCAAATGCTTTGATATGTTACTATATTACTAATTCAGCATTTTAAAGCGGTTGTTGGTGAATATGGAGAAATGAAGCCAGAGTTATTCAATCATACGAGTTTCGAAACTCCCCATAGGCTCCATTACACTGTAGTTCCATATGTATCGAAATCCGGACACATCGTTGTCCTGCGCCCCCCTTTTCTTCTGTCAGGAACACAGTTTTCTAAAATTAGAAAACTCTATTTTCTAAAGCGAGCAGGTTATCGCGTTATCACAACCACTATTAGACGCATTATTTGTGTTTTGTTTTGTCGCTCTAGGTGGCGTGAATAGCTAACTTCCGAAAGTTGGGCCAACTGCGTGTCCAAATTTCGGCCGCACTTGGAGCGCAGTTTCGCTACTAGTAAGATCGACAAACTCTAGAAGGAAACAACTGGATTAGAGTGTACTAGAACAGGAAGAGTGCCCGGACCGAGCTCCGAAATGTGAAGCCCAAACAGGGTCAATCTGCTTGTGGCGAACCTGGGTTTTTTTCCACTCGCATTCCACTCGACCACTTCGGGGGAACAGCCCATACACTACCGATCGCAGTGCCACAAGCGGCGATCGGTAGTGTGTAATGCTTCACTTTTAATGCACTGGTGGTGCGGCCGTTCCGGGCACTGTCCTTGTTCTAGTACACTCTAAACTGGATTAATCCTTTAATGGGCGCGTCACTTACGTATGGATCTACGGCGCGCTTTTTAAACGTTCGCGATTATGGTGTGAGCCGGCACTGCTAGCTGAAGCACTCTACTATCACGGCTGAGGGTAATCATTAGCTGCGAGTGCTTAGTGAATGTTAGGGTAAATGCACGGGGAGTCACGTGCGGCCCACAACGCAACAGCACTTGCCACCCATCGCACGCACGCCCGCATGCGGCTGAAAATCACACTTCAAAACAACAAGGCGCTGGTTAAACGCTCCTGATCATAGGCGTGCGAGGGTTTTCCTACAAGGAGGTTCGAAGGTTGCTCACAGTGCCCCCCCCCCTTTTTATTATGTCATGTATGGAGCTGACCCTGTACCACGTGTTATGGGAGTGTCCACACAATCCCCCATTGCAACCCAGGACACAACATGGAAGGGTGGGAGGCAGTTCTGTCCAGCTCGGATCCGAAGAACCAAGAGGCCCTCTTGAAACTTGCAATGACAGCGGCCCGTGCCAATGGTATCCCGGACCAAGGAAACCACTCACCTATTTACTGGCGCAGAAAATAATAATAAACGTTTTGTTCTCTCACTGACTTAGTGACCCCCCCCCCCCACCCCTAGTCACAGCGTCTACCTATTTTGACTATGTATGAGACGGACTTCCCCCCTTTTATTTGACTAGGTGCCCCCCCCCCCCCCCCCCCACACACACACTCCCCCTTTCGTGCGCACGCATAAGCATATGATGGACAGAAGGCACTGTAGTGGCATATCGGTTTCGTCGCTTCAGTCTCTCTGGCATAAACGACGTCTAACAGACAAACCATGCGGGGGATTCGAGGGAATCAATTAATTTCGTTTGTAAACAAGGGTGTTCGTAGGGGAACGAAAAATGGCAGAAATGTGCGGAGGTTCCCCTTCTGGAGGTGGGACGCAGAAGTTCATCCCAGCGCCCTCTCCCATCTTTTAAAAAGCAAACGTATCGGGCGGACTTCGCGGCTTCCTCTCTTGGGCGACTAGTGTGTGCATTTTAGCCTTGCGCAATTTGGCACAAATTGCGGAAATGTGCAAGGGAACGCACACTACACGGGGCTGAGCCGGGTGCCTGACTCAGTCGCGTTCCGCAGGACCAAAATAAAGTTATTTTCCTTCCTTCCTTCCTTCCACTGCAACCTCTCAAAAAATTGCTGAAGTTGGCCTCTAAGAGGGTCATGAAACACTTTTTTTTTCAGTAACTATGGAATTAATTCACTGGAAAAGCGTATTACCTGACAAATCCAATGCCGCAAAAATTTTAAGAATCCGTCCAGTACGCGCGGAGCTACAAAGGTTTGTCCCACGCTGCAATCGCATTATTTCTTCTCTAGTCCCGACGACAGCGCTGGAAGCTAACCAGGGAGGGGTGGAAGGACCAAAGAAAAAAAAAATGCCACTCGTGCCTCGTGACTTTGAGCACTTTTTTTTTTCTTCGAATACACGGCTTTTCAGTGCGATTGCGTGCGTACGCGTGGACAAGTGATGGCCTCTCGCGGAGACCACTGTAACAGCCGAGCGCGCCATGTTCAAATCAGCCAATGGCTGATAGATGGGCTTACTGGGCTTATTTTTATTTTCCGTGATTTTTCGACAGAAGAGAAAGCTACTTTTAGCGGAGTTTGATAATCTATTGTGAATTCCAGGCCGCGTGCTGCGCAATATAATTTGGCTCACGTGTTGTCGGGAGCCTCTACTACCGATCGGCAGCGTTTTCTGACCATGCTCAAAAAGTGTGGCAGAGCCCCTTTGAATCATCATCATCATCAGCCTGACTACGTCCATTGCAGGACAAAGGCCTCTCCCATGTTCCGCCAGTTAACCCGGTCCTGTGCTTGCTGCTGCCAATTTATACCCGCAAACTTCTTAATCTCATCTGGCCACCTAACCTTCTGTCTCCGAGACCCTAACCCGCTTGCCTTCTCTGGGAATCCAGTTAGTTACCCTTAATGACCAGCTGTTATCCTGTCTACGTGCTACATGCCCGGCCCATGTCCATTTCCTCTTCTTGATTTCAACTATGATATTGCGACAGAGATTGCTCCTACTAATTGTTTTACAAAAACGACCAACGGGACGCTATGCGAGTGTCTACAGTGCCTCGCGACTAACGAGACGCTATGTGAGCGTCTACAGTGCCTCACAACCAACGAGACGCTATGTGGGCGTCTACTGTGCCTCGCGCCTGCTCATGCATCTGGGGCAGAGCAGCGCAGGCCTCTGGTGCACGAGCCGGGAGGACTGGCGGAGTGCATGGTCGTTCAGAAAGGGACACGTAGGCGGAACACTTTTAGCAGACTCTTCTTTGTGACATAGCAACTTTTCTGGGCACGAGTTCGCCCTCAATAAATCATTGTGTGTGTTTCCCCTCTTGTATTACGTGACAATATCCTTAACCCCCGTTTGTTCCCTAATCCACTTTGCTCTCTTCTTGTCTCTTAAGGTTACACCTACCATTTTCCTTTCCATGGCTTGCTGCGTCGTCTTCAGTTTAAGCTGAACCCTCTTTATAAGTATCCAGGCTTCTGCTCCGTAGCTAAGTACCGGCAAGATACAGCTGTTATATACCTTCCTCTTGAGGGATAGTGGCAATCTACCTTTGAATATAAAAAATAATAATACCTTAATCTTAGGCTGGTTATGAAAAAAAGAAATTAGCAATTTTAATCATTTATGGTCAGAGAAATATAAAGGAAAGACAGGGAGGTTTACCAGAGGAAGGCTCCGAATTAGTGTACCCTATACTTGGGAAGGGGAAAAGGGGTGTAAAATAGTGAAAGAGAAGAAGAGTTTGTGAGAGTAGGAAAAAAAAAAGACCGTTGGAGGATTATCCGAGTACTAGCAGCAACATTGTCCGCGAACAGTCACAGCTTGTCTCTCAGTTTGGTTTATGGAGAAATATGTTACCTGCGGGTCCGCTGCAGACTTATTCCAAATGTTATTACTGCTATTTATTACATGTTTCATCACCGCCAACAATAATGATAAAAAAAAAACCTTCCCGTTGTGACATTTCCATAAAACGTCATGACACGACAGATCGCTGAAATTTTGTGTCGTCACAATGACGTCATATAATTAGGTATCTTTTTTAGAAGTACACCGTTAGAATCACCGTAACTCTGTTGGTAGATCACTGATGTTTTCTTTCCGAGTAGGGTTGATGAGAAAATCTTGTTATCCGTTTAATGTCATCTCGAGATACAGCTTTGTCATGCATGTGCCACTGTGTTATAGGCTATCACTTTGGGCCACTATAGAATAGCAATAGTCCAGAATGCTTCCGCTTGTGCGAAATATCATTGGGTGGCTGAGAACTTTAATGACAAATATAAACGTGAGCTTTATTAAATTGTGATGCTGAGTATATGTAGCGAAGGAGCGCTGATCAAAACTTCGGGGAAAGTAGAGTAATGGCTGAAGTGCATTTCGTTACTCTTTTTTTTTTTTTTTTGGCAGCGGTAATTGCAGAGCGTTACGTATTTTTTTTTTTCGTTAGGTAACGTTGGACGGTGACGCAGAGCACGTTCCCTATAGGTTGTCGTACAAGTACACGTGATGGTTTGAGCAAAACTTTTTCAGATCCGGTTATGATATTGTGCCTTAAAATGTTAAAACCAAATGCTAAAACTACACACAAAAAAAAGGAAAACAAAGATAAACACGCACGCCCCGTGCCGCGAACTCCGTATCGCCTTTTCCACGCAGCTTAGCACGGAAGCCGCACGCCGGTGCACGTGACAGCTTGCTGTCGGTTGACGGGAAGAAGGTAAGCGATGGAAAGAAACGCGAACAGCGGAGGGCGTGGCTTTCAGCCCTGTCGAACTACGACGTCGCTCGACTGTCGCTAGGTGCTTTCTGCAGACACCACCGCAGCGCTCAAATTTTACCGCTCGTGTGTTCCGAGAATGCGGTATCGCACCGCGCGCGTTTCGAATAGCGCAAGCCGGCTTTAGCCGCCGGCTGAAAGCGCAGATTCGCCCATAGCAGCGACAGTCACGGCATGCAGCAGTTCGACTTAGCCGAATGCCTTGCTCTATACGCAGTCCGCGTTTCTTACCATCGTGATGTGAAGGGCGTGTTGTGAATTTCGTAACACGTAGTCACACACAAAAACAGAACATAAAAAAAAAACGCCGGCTCACTTAACTGTGTTGTCAATGTCGTAACACGTAGCCAGACACAAAAACAGAACATAAAAAAAAAAACGCCGGCTCACTTAACTACTAGTGTGAGCACAGATAACAGTAATTGTGCTGTGATGCCCCGACGCGGTGGTCTAGTGGCTAAGGTACTCAGCTGCTGACCCGCAGGTCGCGGGTTCAAATCCCGGCTGCATTTCCGATGGAGGCGGACATGTCGTAGGCCCGTGTGCTCAGATTTGGGTGCACGTTAAAGAACCCCAGGTGGTCAAAATTTCCGGAGCCCTCCACTACGGCGTCTCTCATAATCATATGGTGGTTTTGGGACGTTAAATCGCACAAATCAATCAATCAATTGTGCTGTGATACGCTTTTTGAGATAATATATGCACTAAAGACAAAAGAGCCAGTACACCTCCCTTTGCCCCTTCCTTCTCCGATAGTACATCAAGTGACGCCCACTTTAGTTTTCTTTTTTTGCCCGTTTCCTCATAGCACCAAGCGTCTTTTGGCGACAAGTGTTATGGAGCTGTGAGAGAGTAATTCAATAATAATATGAGCAAAATCGTTTTTTCCCTTTAGCCCAAACGAGGCAGCTCTTACGTGATGTCGTCGATAAACGTTGAACCCCGATTTGTACGGAAAACTTTACCGCTACACTGTATTGTACTTTCCACGCGACTCAGCCCAAGGACTTGAATACGCCTGTGCCGTGTGGGACCCCTGGCAAAGTACTTTAAATTACAAACTTGAAAAAAAAATACAAAATAGAGCCGCAAGGTTTGTCCCAAGCCGGTACTCAACAAATGACAGTTGCACCAATATGAAAAATTAACTAGGGTGGGAATTACTCTCATCGCGTCGAAAGAAACTGCGGCTAAAGCTCCTGTACCAAATATTTCACGGTAAAACCGGCATTCGAAAAGAAAAGTACCTTCACAGTCCTCATTATATCTCTTCGCGAAATGATCATTGTTTCAAGATTTTAGAGTACCGTACCAGATCTAATTTGTATGCTAATTCGTTTTTTGTTCGTTCCATTAGAGAATGAAATCACTTATCAAATGAACAAGTGTGCTGTTTATTAATGAAGATGTGTTTTTCTCGACATTGTAACCCCCCTGCTGCAGCGCCTTCGGGCTAAGCGGGGTAATCATTGAATAAAGAATAAAGGACTCCCACGAATGCGCACGTCACCACATGGGACGCGGGCACGCACGCAGTCAATGGCGTGACACGGGGCCACTCACAAACGGAACGGAATAGAAGAAAAACGCTGACTCACTTCTGCCCTCTGTCGGCAGGGCCACTTGGGCTGCCTTATCAGCCTCGCTGACCAGCTGTCTCGAACGCAATCGCCAGCGACGCCTACATAAGCGCTTTCCCCGAGCCCTGTACTACAAGAAAGCTGTCGCCGCTTGTCGCGACACATTCCTGCAGGGAACGCAGTTCGGGTCGGTATCGGCGGCTGCACCGCTTATAGCTGGAATCACCGTCTGTGTATTAATTTAAACCAGCGTATACTCGATAGAAAGTAACAGTATCTAAGTCGACATGCACAACAAAATCATCAACCCGTTGACTCTGTTCGCCCTCTTAGAAGCGGTAGCGGCCAGGCCTTTGCTCGTCCAGCACGGTAAGTGTTGTTGCATTCGTATGATCAGTCTAACCACGCCCACTTCAGGGTGAAGGATTTGTGGATTTTTCGCTTATTATCCGGTTCTGTGTTTTCTACGGCCGCGTTGTTTCATCGGACTTCGAAACGCAATCTGTCTGCCAAACTTTCTGCCTCCTCTTCACGCGCCTGCGTCTGTGCAGAGCCGTATCCAGGAACCTCTAGGGGGGGGGGGGGGCGCCTACTTTAAGGTCTTCAACACGTAGATTGTTTTTGGCCTGTGAACCCGGTGAGAATATGTAGGTGTAATCTATGTCCCCCTGTGGGAATGGCGTTCTTTGCACCACACCAAACTTTCAAGTAGCTTAAACTAGGGCACCCCTCCCTGACTACAAGCCTGCATCTTTGAATCCAGTCTCCTACTCGTACCTCCCACCGGTTATCTTGCCTTAGCTCTCCATGACCTGTCTGTGCAAATTTCTATTGATTTCGACTCGAATGCCTTTCCCAGATGTTTGTTTCCTGATGCTGAAGGCGCACATATTTAAGGCCCGTGGGCTTAGATTAAGGAACCCTAGAAGGACGCCATTTCGGAGTCCTCCTCTACGGCGTCTTTCGTAATTATATCGAGCTTTTCGGACGTTCAACACCAAAACTAATCCTTGACCCATTCAGCTTCGTGTCCTTTAAGGCTGCACCTCATTTTTTTTTGCTTCCATGGTTGGCTGTGTCGTCCTCAATTTGCGTTGAATTTTAGTTACCTATGCTCCGCTATTCGAGTGCTAGCACATTTTTTACCCAAACTGTGTACGTAGGCGTTGGGCCGCGTGCAAAAGCAACGCTCAAGGACAATATGTCGGATAAGTTAGTTTCTTGTTTTTGTCTGTAGTTGCACTACTGTGCACCCGGATCTTCACACTCCGTCTCGCTGCGCAGGCGCCCCGAAACCGTCCAGATTCGACGAGTACGTGACGGAGCCTCCTCACATCCTCGGACGAGCCTGGCTGCACGAACAAACGCTCAGCAACAGCGAAGATGACGTCGCTTCGAACCGAGCTCCGGCCGAACTGGCACCTGCTTATGGATTACGGTACCACGACGTAGTCTACGACGCGTCGTCGGAAACGCTCAACCGCTACGATGGTGGCGACACCCGGGAAGGCACCTACTATCCGTCCGCTTACCGGGCAGACGGACATGAACCTTCGGGTTCTCTTGAGAGTTCACTGGCCACGGCAGTTCCCAGTGTGTCTTCCGAAGTAGTCAAGCGGTCGTTGGCGCCTTCCAGTCGCCTAGTCACCGAGGCACCGAGAAAAGCCCCGTTCTCCGTGGGGTACACTCGGGAGCACGATGACTGGCTCCTGTTGTCTACGTCGCAACACGATCCTCACTGGGACGACGTGTCCACCTCGTATCGCGTGCCGCCGTTCACAACGGGGGTCATGCGCCGATAAGCTTAATATCTGAGCGTAATGATGTATGCCTGCTGTATAAATTGTGATATTTATATTTCTTTTAAAACGCGATCGGCACCTTTTTATGTAACCGCGTTCGTATTCTGTGCCCATAAAATGGTTTACCTTATGCCTCTGCTTCGTGTTTTCGCCTTCTTCTCCCGACATGGTCGTTGTCTATTAGTGCTCAATAGCACAGTATAATGGTCACCCGCTTGTGTTGCCCTGCCAACGCCTTCCACACTTTTCGCTTACTTTTCGCACTTTTTTTAAAGGGTAACGAAGCTGCCACGTCTTGCACACCATTTTTTTTTCTACTGCTTCGGCAAGCACCTCAACGCAGCGTGCCCCCCCCCCCCCCCATTTCAGTGCAATTGACACATGCACAAAATGTTACGTCTTTCCATAACACGGCGCTGCGGTGTGCAGGGGGTAGGGGGAGTAAAACTTTCCGAAGCCCCTACCTCATGTTTTCCAATGGCCGCGTTATCTGGGAACGTTTGACATCCCTGTACGACGAAATCGCAGGGGCGTGTCAACAAGTTCCGTTGAGAATTTGGCGCGTGTCTTTCGTGTGCTCACGTGCTTTTGTCATTCTTCATGGCTCAGTTTCATAACGTCCAATGAAAGTTCACATCTGTCATTACTCTTTATATAGGCGCGCACCACATGGAACTTCACATCATAGTCATACAATTTGAATGATCCTAAGGTTCGGGGTCACGTAACATGATCCGAAACTTCACGTGTGACGCCCTACCGCTTCCGTACAGTTCAACAAGGAAAGTTGCTGCCTAGCGTCTTATAAGCATCCATATCTTGCAAGGGACAATGGTTAACCCAGGTCACTAGAAAGCCTGTAATCTACGCGAAATCGCCTCGCAGTCCTCACTTGGACAGCGACGTCCTACTGATGACGTCATGGGTGACGTTCTCGCTCCAATCACTTGATCTCAACCAGTAGAGGTGGTGAAAATTTTCCAGTACCACAAGAGTGGCCAACCTCGAGTAGCTCTTCGAACGCCATATTTGGAGGAACCGGGCGCATGCTCAGTTGTGGAGGGCCACAAGGCAAGATTTAAGCTTACTAAAAGGAAACGGACAACCACCATTTCATAGTATGAAATGTCTTATCTTATAGCAAACTGTCAGATCTTCACTCTCCCTTCCCAAGTGGTTTTCGTATCGACAACGGGTCATCGAGGCTGACGCAATACTTAGCAGAGTGCCACAGCACAGTTTTAGTGAGCGCCTCAACGACCAAAGTTGGGAGCTAACCAGTAACTTGCAGAGAGGTCGCCAACGCCGTATGAAGTGAGAGTGTAATTAGTGCAAAGTGTTTCAAGAGCCGAAAATCGTGATAATTACGAGACACGTCGCGTTTCAGTACTCCGAAACTTTTCACTAATTCTCTGACGTTGCACAGCCGGGGGGACTCGAGCATTTTACCTCCATCGAAATGCGACCAGCCGCAGCCGGGTCTGAACCCATGGTCTTCGCGTCAGCAAACAAGCACCGTGACCGCTGTACAATCGAGGCGTTCAGAGACCTACTGCTGAACGTGTTAAGGAGGAAAATGTTGTATACAGTAAACGTACGAAGTGGGCTGGTTGGTGATGACGATATACCTCAAGCACTCGCTAAGAATAAATTCCGTGCATAAGTATGCGCATGCAAAGAACTTCTAATGAATCCGGCATGAGAGGCGGTGCAAAACCATGTGAAATGCAGATAGCTTTCGGGAGCGCAGAATCAGCACACCGACCGAGAACAGAAAGAAGGCACACTGACGCTCTTTGTGAAAGGGAACACTCGAGCGCGTGGCTTGCGCTATGTTGCGGCTGCCCGCAGCACCATCAACCGACAGCTAAAAAATCACACCAGCACTTTTTGCGCCATCTATTGGCGAACTAAATAATGAGTCATGGCCGTTGGACAATTAAAACGCTGCTAGATAACGCTCCTCTGACAGTGGATGGTGCCGCTTTCTTCAGCTGTTGGTTAACGGTGCTGTATATAGGCGGCTGGCGCTGACCGAAGGCAACGCGCTCGCGTTTTCTTTTTCTTAATAAGGGACGACGGTGTACTTGACTTTTTGTGTAATCCTAGGTGAATGCATACGGGACCCGGCGAACTTCTTTGGGGTGTCCCTCAATGTACAGTCGCAATGTTTTTGAGAGTGAGCACTGGAGCACGTGGATTGCGGCACTATACTAGCGGCGTTTGGTCACACGTCACAGTATCTGCGCGCATGCGTGAGGAGGGCAGCTTCCCTGCGCGCGCATCACGTCGCCGCTGTGCTCTTGTGTCGTCTGCACTTTGATTTTCGACACCCTTGGTGATCGTACTATTACGGCTACTAAAGCTTAGATGCTTTAAGTTCAATCGGTGCATTTATTATGCCTGCCATGTCACTTGGTTTTCGTCTTTTTTCTGCGTTTTCGTAGTCGTACAACGAAAAGGCAAAGGAACACAATTACCCAAACGGTCATTTGGTGTACGTTCCACGAAAGATGAATTAGTTTGAGGAAGTTGTATCAGTAATCTGGAATAGCTTACCTCGATGTTACATCAGTATTTTGTCATGTTCCCCTTTGAAAAATAAGAGCACTGCTGCCATTCTGGAAGGTTGTGAGGAGTACAGCGCTGGCACAAAGTAACGATGCGCTCGAAGATTCTGACGCTCTTGCCGAACCTTCAGTTTCTCCGCAGCCGCCGCGTTCACAGGCTTCCATACCATAGCCTGTTTTATGTATATTGCCATACGTTTTCACGAATGCTCAAGCTTGCCAGAAGAGCACCGAGACCCGGCAATTTTCCGTGTGCTCGTTCATAATAAGTTTCGCAGTGTGCCCAGGTGCCAGGCCATGGTGGAACACAAAATGTGCGTCGTGGAAACACCCAGCGACAAGTCAACGATGGTCTTGAAAACATAATGTTTATTTGGGAGTTAGGTGAAGCATGATTAGAAGGTCCAGATTCTTGCCGCGTTGAAGCACCTGGCTTTCCTACTGCCGTGCAGCAGACGACACGCGCTAGCTCACTTGACGCAATGCGCGCGAAGGTATCATTTTCGCAGCACGGCCGCCCTGTCGAACCACGCGTTATCAGCAGTGTAGGTGTCGCCTGTGCAGTCACGAGCACATGTCTGAGCGCAATGCTTGTTCATTCTAGGCACCCGTATTTGTCTCTGCACTGTGCACGGTGAAGTTGTCGTTTTTTTTTTTTAACCACCGAGTGTTCTTGCTATGTGTCGAAGACGGACCGATGAAACCGCGTGGGCCCCTTGGGAAGGAACAACAGACCAAAAATCTTCAGCGTCCCGTGAACGACAGGCAAGCACTCCATGTTATATCTTGCCCCGCCGCGGTGGTCTAGTGGCTAAGGTACTCGGCTGCTGACCCGCAGGTCGCGGGTTCGATTCCCGGCTGCGGCGGATGCATTTCCAATGGAGGCGGAAATGTTGTAGGCCCGTGTACTCAGATTTGGGTGCACGTTAAAGAACCCCAGGTGGTCAAAATTTCCGGAGCCCTCCACTACGGCGTCTCTCATAATCAAATGGTGGTTTTGGGACGTTAAACCCCACAAATCAATCAATCAATCCATGTTATATCTTTGCGAAGGCAGAAATTGACACGTCTTTGAGATGTGTTAGGATAGCATCTATTGGTACTATGCAAACAAACATTCGATGTTCAACGGTACTGATTTTGCCACGCACGACACTGAAAGCAGCGCACTGGCACAATTATTGCGTTTCCGTCGTTTTTCAACGCTTCCCAGTGCACGCCGGCATCATAACGGTGAATCCAACACCCACGCCAGTGCGACCCAGCTCTTTTCGAGTGCGCTCACCGACGTATCAGTAAATGCGAGCGTGCACCAATGTTTTCACGATGATAGAGTGCGAAAAAGTGTACTGTTATCGAGTATAGGGAGCTTGCATGAACGGCGGCGACGCTATGGACTCTGATTAGGCAGCCATTTTTTTTTGTCAGAGGCAGCCGGGGAGGGCAGCAGCGGCGTCGTGTTTGCGAGCGTTGGTGTAGCTTGCAGGCGTGATCGAGTGCGATCACGACGCAAATTGAACTCCAAGAAGTTTCGTGCACGATATCAGCCTCACCGCAAGACCACGCCGCAACGCTGTGCCCGAAAGACCTCGGGCGGCACGAATAAGAGACGAGAATTTGCTACGAGTGACCCATTCAATCACGCTTCGAGCGGGCGACTGCGTAAGCGACGTGTACTTGCGGCGGCGCGTCGTCAGCTCCGATATTCGTGAATTTTTCGTTCCGAGGACGAGTTTGAAAACCCGGGAGCAGATGAAGTCCAGAAAGACCCTCGAGGGTCGCAGCATTGTGAAGAGTGGCCGAGTGCGGGAGCCGTAGGTGAAAAAAGTCGCCGCCGACACCATGGTTGTCGTCACTCAAGAAAGGCATGTTAAATTGATGAGCGCTCTTCTCGTGCACGTGCGTCGTACTTCTCGTAGAATAACAGCGCAGTGGGATGCAAGCAGGCTTCGCCGTTCCGGGCCAAAGTGCGCGGCAAGGACGTCACCATCGCTCTTGCCCGTAGACAAGACGTCGACCGGTGCTTGTTAACATTGGAGTTTAACCTGAACAGGCATCAGCATCTACGGCAAAATCAAGTAATTTAACACCTCTTACTTGAGTGACGGTGATCACGGTATCGGCGAGTGCATATATAGCGTCGCCGCCGTTCATGCAAGCTCCATATAGTAGAATGCTATAGGTATACTAGAACGGCGCTGGCTTTTGCAATGTGTATAAGCTCTCTGTTAGACACCTACAATGACTTGGGAGTATCCGGTGCCTTATTTGTGCGTGACCGTCTTCTTATACAAGAGTAGCTTGGGCATATTTATTGGCATGGTATACGGGGTGAAATTAAGCGCAAAAGACGAAGGCAGTGAAGATGCTAGACGCACACGAGCGGTCTTTAGAAATAAAGATGCTTTTCACAGCTAGTAAAGCTTTCTCTTTGAATAAACCTTCTGAGAGCACAGCGAAACCACCCTTTTTGTCTGCCGCTAAAGCGAAAAGGTCTGCAGAATGCCACGAGAAATGGTCAGCAAGGCAGCCTCTCCTGGTATGCACCAAGGATTCTTATGCCAAAAA